GAGAGGGGAGACAGACAGGAGGAGAGGGGAGACAGACAGGAGGAGAGGGGAGACAGACAGGAGGAGAGGGGAGACAGACAGGAGGAGAGGGGAGACAGACAGGAGGAGAGGGGAGACAGACAGGAGGAGAGGGGAGACAGACAGGAGGAGAGGGGAGACAGACAGGAGGAGAGGGGAGACAGACAGGATGATGCAATGAAGAGAGGGAGAGAGACACACACACTTGAAATGCTTTATTTGGATTTGGAGTAAAGCCTATAATCATGGAAACAAAAACATGGTTTACTCCTATACGCACGCACGCACACACACTGTGTTTTCCCTGTTGGCATGTCGGAAGGGCCAATGAAGGCTTGTAGGGTGTTTGAATGCATGGAGTGTATCTATAGCTAAAGGGTGTATTTATTGTTCTATGTAAGTTCCTATGTAAGGTCTATACCTTTTCCCCAGTCCAGCCAGAGACATGGCATCTATTGCATTCGGAACACATGGAAAAAATCTTGACTCTGAACTGTGATAATTTGGCAGTAGTTCACCCATTTACCAACATCAGTGGTGGAACTAATCAATGTTGTTTTTTTTATGTTTCAACCCATGTTTATCACGGGTATTACGTAGCAATAATAATGTATGTGAGAACTGAACTTTAGTTAAACACAATGACGTAATACCAAGAATACAACACAATGTACAGTATTGTAGCTTACACATTAGAACCTTTTGTAACCAGGCTGTCATCCATTATGTATAGGTTTTTCACAGCGTTTCCTATCAAATTGTCACACTGTCGTTAGAGGTGTGGTAACAGGCTCAGAGAAGGTGCTGCTCAGGAGAAACACCTCCTTCTTTACCACACTACAGTTAGCCTGAGAACATAATGAACTGTGTATGTAATTGTAGAAGTAGAGCTAGATAAGCGGTCAGGCAGGAAGCCAAGCCTTCATTTACAACACGGAACACAGAACACGCCATTGTTCCAAAGGTTCTACATAATCCGGGTCATTCCATGCCATTCATGTGGAAAAAGGAACAAATATGGCCATGCCTTTTGGAACAAAGAGTTGTCCTATGTAGTTGATTGTTTGATATGTTGTTGTATCTGAAAACAATGAATACCTCTAAGATGAAGCGCTTGAGAATGATGATGATGTTTAGTGTCTGTTACTGTCTCTGCCTGTGTACCCTCGCTGTGTGTGTGTGTTTGTCTGCCCGTGTGTGTAGGGTTGGGCGGTATCCAGATTGTCATACCGCCATACTGTTTCTGTACCATGCCGAGGTATATGGTATTACCGGAAGTGCACACAAAGGGCGTTATTTATATTGAACAAAAATATCAACTCAACAATTACAGTTCATAGAAGGAAATTAGTCAATTAGAAATACATTCATTAGGCCCTAATCTATGGATTTCACCTGACTGGGAGTACAGATATGCATCTATTGATCACAGATACACTATATATACAATAGTATGTGGACACCCCTTTAAAAATGTGTGGATTTGGCTATTTCAGCCACACCCATTGCTGACAGGTGTATAAAATCGAGCACACAGCCATGCAATCTCCATAGACAAACATTGGCAGTAAAATGGCCTTACTGAAGAGCTCAGTGACTTTCAACATGGCACCGTCATAGGATGCCACCTTTTCAACAAGTCAGTTTGTCAAATTTCTGCCCTGCTAGAGCTGCCCCGTCAACTGTAAGTGCTGTTATTGTGAAGTGGAAACGTCTAGGAGCAACAACGACTCAGCCGCGAGGTGGTAGGCCACACAAGATCACAGAACGGGACTGCCGAGTGTTGAAGCGCGTAGCACGTAAAAGTCGTCTGTTCTCGGTTGCAACACTCACTACCGAGTTCCAAACTGCCTCTGGAAGCAACGTCAGCACAAGAACGGTTCGTCGTAAGCTTCATGAAATGGGATTGGAAATGGCCGAGCAGCCGCACACAAGCCTAAGATTACCATGCGCAATGCCAAGAGTCTGCTGGGGTGGTGTAAAGCTCGCCGCCATTAGACTCTGGAGCAGTGGAAACGCGTTCTCTGGAGTGATTAATCACGCTTCACCGTCTGGCAGTCCGACGGACTAATCTGGGTTTGGCGGATGCCAGGAGAACGCTACCTGCCCCAATGCATAGTGCCAACTTTAAAGTTTGGTGGAGGATGAATAATGGTCTGGGGCTGTTTTTCATGGTTCAGGCCCCTTAGTTCCAGTGAAGGGAAATCTTAACGCTGCAGCATACAATGACATTCTAGACGATTCTGTGCTTCCAACTTTGTGGCAACAGTTTGGGGAAGGCCCTTTCCTGTTTCAGCATGACAATGTCCCTGTGCACAAAGCGAGGTCCATACAGAAATGGTTTGTTGATCGGTGTGGAAGAACTTGACTGGCGTGCACAGAGCCCTGACCTCAACCCCATCGAACACCTTTGGGATGAATTGGAACGCATGCCAGGCCTAATCGCCCAACATCAGTGCCCAATCTCACTAATGCTCTTGTGGCTGAATGGAAGCAAGTCCCAGCAGCAATGTTCCAACATCTAGTGGAAGGCCTTCCCAGAAGAGTGGATGCTGTTATTATAGCAAAAGGGGGACCAACTCCATATGAATGATTTTGGAATGAGATGTTCGACGAGCAGGTGTCCACATACTTTTGGTCATGTAGTGTACCTTTAAAAAATAAAGGAGGGGTGTGGATCAGAAAACCAGTCGGTATCTGGTATGACCACCATTTGCCTCATGCAGCGCGACACATCTCCTTCGCCTAGAATTGATCAAGCTGTTGATTGTGGCCTTTGGAATATTGTCCCACTCCTCTTCAATGGCTGTGCGAAGTTGCTGGATATTGGCGGGAACTGGAACACGCTGTCGTACACATCCCAAACATGCTCAATGGGTGACATGTCTGGTGAGTATGCAGGCCATGGAAGAACTGGTGACATATTCAGCTTCCAGGAATTGTGTGCAAATTGCTGCGACATGGGGGCCGTGCATTATCATGCTGAAACATGAGGTGATGGCGGCGGATGAATGATACGGCAATGGGCCTCAAGATCTCATCACGGTATATCTGTGCATTCAAATTGCCATCGATAAAATGCAATTGTATTCGTTGTCCGTAGCTTATGCCTGCCCATACCATAACGGCACCGCCACCATGTGGAATTCTGTTCACAATGTTGACATCAGCAAACCGCTCGTCCACACGATGCCATGCACGTGGTCTGTTGTTGTGAGGCCGGTTGGACGTACTGCCAAATTCTCTAAAACAACGTTGGAGGTGGCTTACGGTAGAGAAATTAACATTCAATTATCTGGCAACCGCTCTGGTGGACATTCCTACAGTCAGCATGCCAATTGCATGCTCCCTCAACTTGAGAAATCTCTGTCATCGTGTTTTGACAAAACTGCAAATTTTAGTCGCCTTTTATTGTCCCCAGCATAAGGTGCACCTGTGGAATGATACATGCTGTTCAATCAGCTTCTTGATATGCCACACTTGTCAGGTGGATGTATTATCTTGGCAAGCAGAAATGCTCGCTAACAGGTCTGAAAAAAAATGTGTGCACAAAATTTTTGAGAAAAAAGCTTTTTGTGCGTGTGGAAAAATTCTGGGATCTTTTATTTCAGTTCATGAAACATTGGAACAACACTTTACATGTTTTTTTGTGTGTTTTTTTTGCAATTTAGGCTAACAGGAATCTTGATCCAGAAGGGGATTAAATGTCTCTGCTGTAACCAAGAAGCTTGATCTTGACATCTAGACACTTAGCTAGCAAGTTAGCAAACCAAATGCATAGCTGGAGCCTTGAACTGGATATAATTTGACACATCTTAGATTTCTTATAGTTTGTAAGCAGTGGCGTTGCACGCACTCCCTCCGCCTCAGGATAAATAATACCATATCAACAATAAAAAAATATATACTGTATATCTATATTTTTTTATTTATATGGTATTGGAAATCATATCGTCGGTATTTCGAAATACCCCGGTATACGGTATAAACAGGGTATCGCCCAAGCCTACGTGTGATCACTTGGCCCTCTCTTTTCTCTCTCTGTGTGTATGTGTGTCTCTCTAACAGGAGCATAGCCTATTTGTTACACACTTGTAGCCCTACCTGCTGCTGCTGCCTTGTGTGTCTGTGTCTGTGTGTGTGTGTGTGTCCCCGTGTGTGTGTGTGTGTGTGTGTCCATGTGTGGAAGTGATGCACCAATGACTCACAGCGAGCGGCTGCAGCTGTCCTGTGTGTGTGTGTGTGTGTGTGTGTGTGAGATGTTCTGCTTGGTTGAGCAACAGGACCAGACAGTGAGCATGACCATCTCCTTCCCTTCTTCTACCCTGCCAACTGTCCACGTGACACACAAACACACATGCAGTGTGTACATCCTAGAAAGAATCCTGTTAAATGGTGATGAGTAGGATATGGTAGTACACATGGTTGTACTGATTCAAAACACTTGATCTGTGTGTTTGTGTCTGCATGTTTATCCTGTAAATGGAATCTCCATACGATACGCTTTATTGTCCATTTTAAATGGCTATTCATTTTGTGAAGCGATCATATAAATACACCAAATACACCAAAACGATACAGTATAAAACATCTCTGTGTTCCTGAGTGGCGCAGTGGTCTAAGGCACTGCATCGCAGTGCTAGCTGTGCCACTAGAGATCCTGGTTCGAATCCAGGCTCTGTTGCAGCCGGCCGCGACCGGGAGACTCATGGGCAGCGCACAATTGGCCTAGCGTTGTCCAGGGTAGGGGAGGGAATGGCTGGCAGGGATGTAGTTCAGTTGATAGAGCATGGCGTTTGCAACGCCAGGGTTGTGGGTTCGATTCCCACGGGGGGCCAGTATATAAAAAATAAAAAATAAATATGTATTCACTAACTGTAAGTCGCTCTGGATAAGAGCGTCTGCTAAATGACTAAAATGTAAATGTAAATGTTGTGTGTAGGCCTTACTCCCTCATAAACGTGTATGTTTGTCTTCCGTCCAGGTTGGTATGGTAAAAACGGGGCGCGTGGATGAGGAGGAGCAGCTGCAGTGAGGTGGAACACCGCGGTAACCACGGGACCGTCTAGCCCCGCCCACCCACCATGCCCTCGTCCACGCGGAAGGGAGTGCCGAAGGACCCAGAGCAGGCCGACCTCTTCTTCAAAGAAGACCCCGAGGAAGTCTTCTGTGACCTCCACGAGATCGGCCATGGCAGCTTCGGGGCTGTCTACTTTGTACGTAAACTGAGAGCCTGACTTGAGATAAAAATGCATGTCTTATACAGGTTTAAGTGTGAAACATGCATGGGTGGAACTCCAGTTATGAAGCTAGTAGTGATAAAGTAATAGTAGGGTTATATGCTTGAAAGAGTAGCATTGGCTCTACTATTACACAGAACTAGCTGGCATGGCTAGAGTGTACTCTATGCATTTTGTGGTTGAGTGCAATCCGTATTCACTAGGATGATGTTAGTCTGTGGCTATGTCAGAGTCCAGGGACAAGATCACACACTTTCTCAAGGTTGTCTGATAATAACTCTCTCTGCTGCCATTTCCGTTAAGTTTCTCTGCTGCGTTTCTTAATCCGCTCGTCACTAATGACACAAAGCCTTTGATTCTAAAGCAACGCAGAGAGAGCGAGAGGACGAATCCGCCAGCACCAATCCCTCCATCCTCCTCCTCCTCCTCCTCCTCCCTTCCCTCTACCTCTCTCCTCCATCCTTCCCCTCATCCCTCCCTCAGCCTCTCTCCTCCATCCTTCCCTCATCCCTCCTCAGCCTCTCTCATCCTCCCCATCCCCTACCCTCTCACTCCTCCTCACCTCACCCCTCAGCCTCTCTCCTCCATCCTTCCCCTCATCCCTCCCTCAGCCTCTCTCCTCCATCCTTCCCCTCATCCCTCCCTCAGCCTCTCTCCTCCATCCTTCCCCCTCCCTCACCTCCTCACTCTTCTCCTCCATCCTTCCCCTCATCCCTCCCTCTACCTCTCTCCTCCATCCTTCCCCTCATCCCTCCCTCAGCCTCTCTCCTCCATCCTTCCCCTCATCCCTCCCTCAGCCTCTCTCCTCCATCCTTCCCCATCCCTCCTCAGCCTCTCCTCCACCTCCCATCCCTCCCTACCTCCTTCCTCCTCCATCCTCCCTCCTACCTTCTCTCCTCCATCCTTCCCCTCATCCCTCCCTCAGCCTCTCCAGATGCAAGGCTGGTGGAGAAAAGGGATAAACAGAAGTCTTTCCTCCTAAGAGGACAGAGGGACGGACGGGCGGGCGGGCGGGCGGGCATGAGCATTACTACTCCATAGAATCCAGTCATTTTCAGATAAGGCTACAGCACTGTCAGCCTAGCAGTCTGGCTGATATGGCTGGCTATAGAGTCCTGGTGCCTTTATTGTGCTCATTGACACTGTTGTTTTGATAGGAGGGCAGGATATTTTACTGGACCTGTGTTGGCTGGTATTACTGCTCCTCGGAGTCCAGTCATCTACCAGACAAGGCTACAGAAATAGAATGACTAAAATTGACAATTTATTTTAAAGCGGCAATCTGGGATTCTGAAAACAAGGTCAGGTCAATGGCTATGTATCATCAATTTAAAAGTCCAGAAAGGCATGTACCAATCCCAGATTGCCCCCTTTTTTAAGTGTTCCAGTCAATTTGCCGTAGTCTGAATATTTTCTTTCCCATTCTAGTAATTCAATTTCTATGGCTAAAGTACCACTGTGTGAGGATGAGGCCGTCGTCTGTCTGGCTGATATGGCCGGCTATGATGAAATCCTTGTGCCTTTATTGTGGTCATTGACACACTTCTCTACCCAGCTGTCTGTGATCTACATGGATAGCTAATTGGGAGTTTTAGCTAGCTTTACAGGGATTTGTCTGCCATTTTAAATAATTGGGCTGGCCACCAAACGTTTTTTCGGGTTGCCTAAATCCAAACAGTGTAAACTTAAATGACTAAAACCAGATATAAAGTATATAGAAAAGATAATGGAGCTACACTACCGGTCAAAAGTTTTAGAACACCTACTCATTTAAGGGTTTTTCTTTATTTGTACTATTTTCTACATTGTAGAATAATAGTGAAGACATCAAAACTTTGAAATAACACATGGAATCATGTAGTAACCAAAAAATGTTTTAACAAATCAAAATATATTTTATATTTGAGATTCTTTAAATAGCCACCCTTTGCCTTGATGACAGCTTTGAACATTCTTGGCATTCTCTCAACCAGCTTCATGAGGTAGTCGCCTGGAATGCATTTCAATTAACAGGTGTGCCTTCTTAAAAGTTAATTTGTGAAATGTCTTTCCTTCTTAATACGTTTTAGCCAATCAGTTGTGTTTTGACAAGGTGTACAGAAGATAGCCCTATTTGGTAAAAGACAAAGTCCATATTATGGCAAGAACAGTTCAAATAAGTAAAGAGAAACGACAGTCCATCATTACTTTAAGACATGAAGGTCAGTCAATCCGGAAAATGTCAAGAACTTTGAAAGTTTCTTCAAGTGCAGTTGCAAAAACCATCAAGCGCTATGATGAAACTGGCTCTCATGAGGACCGCCACAGGAATTGAAGACTCATAGTTTCCTCTGCTGCAGAGGATATTAGAGTTACCAGCCTCAGAAATTGCAGCCCAAATAAATGCTTCACAGAGTTCAAGTAACAGACACATCTCAACATCAACTGTTCAGAGGAGACTGTGTGAATCAGGCCTTCGTGGTCGAATTGCTGCAAAGAAACACATTGCGAGATATTTGGCGAAATAGACAGACATACCTATATTTCCCCTATAGGAAACACTGGGACGACCTCAGAGTTCCATGAGTAATATTTTGTTGTTGTTGACATTTTAACTATCAGCAATTGGTTCAGCCTGGGCAGGTCTCATTGCCAACAATAGCAAAGCAGGCATTCTGACGTAGAACAATGGGCTGTGAATAAAACATTCGGAAGGCGACTTGGTGCCACGGTGCTCAATAGAACTAATAGGAGCTGGCAGGGTGAAAAATGCCCTAAAATAAGGCCTGTTTTTTCGTGATTACTTCAAAACTACGGCAAGCAGCTGGGACATATGGTAATATTATGAAACTGGGCTCCACGGTGGGTGCAATTAACTATTTTTTATCCGAAAAAAAGCATTAAAAATGCATTTCATATGTCCAGCCTAGTTACAGTAGCTAGCAACGTCAATCTAAAAACAGCTTAAATTATTTATTCATATTTAACATTTTATGGTAAAGAAAGTGTTCTCTTTCCAGTCTTTTCGGTCCTGTGAAACAGCAGGTAGTCACCAGGTTGTCACAGTCAAAAACACGGTCCTTGGAGAGCAATTATGAGGTAATAATTTCGCACGGACTGAGGGGGACCTTACGAGGTGAAATAGAACTAGAACTGCCCGTGTCCTCCTTCCTTCGCTACGAGTTAAAATAGAGCCAAGCAACCAGCATAGCAACGGACGCTTTGGTTCATTAATAAAACTGTCCAAGTTAAACCAATTGCTGATAGCTAGCTAGCCAGCTACTGTAGCTGGCTAGCTGACTAGGCAGGCTGAGGTATATAAGTAACGTTACAGTAGTCCTCTGTAGCTCAATTGTAGCTCAATTGGTAGAGCATGGCGCTTGTAACGCCAGGGTAGTGGGTTCGATCCCCGGGACCACCCATACGTAAAAATGTATGCGCACATGACTGTAAGTCGCTTTGGATAAAAGCGTCTGCTAAATGGCATATTGTTGTTATTATTATTATTACGTAATCCTGTCAGAATGTTGCAAGTTCTAGCAACAGCCCTAAAAACAGAAGCTAGAACTCATCGAATCCCATTGTGCCGCAGGGGGACACTATTTGGCATGACAGGGCCTCTAAACTGTTCTCTAAAATTCAGCCGCCCCGAGGGTCAACTATATACAGGGTCAACTACAGTGCATTCGGAAAGTATTCAGACCCCTTGACCTTTTCCACATTTTGTTATGTTACAGCCGTATTCTAAAATTGATTAAATCGTTTTTTCCCCTCATCAATCTACACACAATACCCCATAATGACAAAGCAAAAATAGGTTTTTAGAATTTTTTGCAAATGTATTAAAATAAAAAACGGAAATAGACATTTACATAAGTATTCAGACCCTTTACTCAGTATTTTGTTGAAGCACGTTTGGCAGCGATTACAGCCTCAAGTCTTTTTGGGAATGACGCTACAAGCTTGGCACACCTGTATTTGGGGAGTTTCTCCCATTCTTCTCTGCAGGTCCTCTCAACCTCTGTCAGGTTGGATGGGGAGCTTGGCTGCACAGCTATTTTCAGGTTCGATCGGGTTCAAGTCCGGGCTCTGACTAGGCCACTCAAGGACATTCAGAGACTTGTCCCGAAGCCACTCCTGCGTTGTTTAGGGTAGTTGTCCTGTTGGAAGGTGAACCTTCGCCCCCAGTTTGAGGTACTGAGCACTCTGGAGCAGGTTTTCATCAAGGATCTCTCTGTACTTTGCTCTGTTCATCTTTCCCTCGATCCTGAATAGTCTCCCAGTCCCTGCTGCTGAAAAACATCCCCACAGCCTGATGCTGCCACCACCATGCGTCACCGTAGGGATGGTGCCAGGTTTCCTCCAGACATGAGGCTTGGCATTCAGTCCAAATAGTTCAATCTTGGTTTCATCAGACCAGAGAATCTTGTTTCTCATGGTCTGAGAGTCCTTTAGGTGCCTTTTGGCAAACTCAGAGCGGGCTGTCATGTGCCTTTTACTGAGGAGTGGCTTCCGCCTGGCCACTACCATAAAGGCCTGATTGGTGGAGTGCTGCAGAGATGGTTGTCCTTCTGGAAGTTTCTCCCATCTCCACAGAGGAACTCTGGAGCTCAGTCAGCGTGACCATCGGGTTCTGGGTCACCTCCCTGACCAAGGCCCTTCTCCCCCGATTGTTCAGTTTGGCCCGGAGGCCAGCTCCAGGAAGAGTCTTGGTGGTTCCAAACTTCTTCCATTTAAGAATGATGGAGGCCTCTGTGTTCTTGGGGACCTTCAATGCTGCAGAAATGTTTTGGTACCCTTCCCCAGATCTGTGCCTCGACACAATCCTGTCTCAGAGCTCTACGGACAATTCCTTCGACCTCATGGCTTGGTTTTTTGCTCTGACATGCACTGTTAACTGTGGGACCTTATATAGACAAGTGTGTTCCTTTCCAAATCATGTCCAATCAATTGAATTTACCACGGGTGGACTCCAATCAAGTTGTAGAAACATCTCAATGGAAACAGGATGCACCTGAGCTCAATTTCGAGTCTCATAGCATAAGGTCTGAATACTTATGTAAATAAGGTATTTCTGTTTATTACTTTTAATACATTTGCAAAAATTTCTTAAAACTTGTTTTCACTTTGTCATTATGGGGTATTGTGTGTAGACTGATGAGGAAAATTTATGTAATCCATTTTAGAGTAAGGCTGTAATGTAATAAAATGTGGAAAAGGGGAAGTGGTCTGAATACTATCCGAATGCACTGTATATACACGGTCAGCTATATACAGGGTCAGCTATATACAGGGACAGTGCCAGTACCAACTTTACAATGCGCAGGGATACTGGAGTAGTTGAGGTAGATGTGTACATGTAGGCAGGGATTAGGAGAAAGTGACTGGTAGCAGGAGAGACTGTAATGATGTTCTTACTGTCTGTAGATAGGCTACCAGCAGGCTAAGGACCTGTACCTAGCTACTAGCTTCCTGTTTCCTCTATGCTCATATCTCAACTCAGGGGAGTTTCCTGTGATGTTAAAATATGTACTTTCATATTTGCTCAGTAACTCCTTAAGTGGAGATGTCAATGAAGAGACACAGTTGATTATTGTTTCCTGTTTGTTCTCATTTGACCCAGAGTCATCAGTCAGTTTATTAGGTACACCCATTTAGTACCCGGTCGGACCCTCCTTTTCTTCCAGAACAGCATGAATTCTTCAAGGCATGGAAACGTTGCTCAATTGGTATCAGGGGACTTAACGTGTGCCAGGAAAACACTCCCCACACCAATACACCACCGCTACCAGCCTGTACCGTTGACACCAGGCAGGACTGGGCCATGGACTCATGCTGCTTACGCCAAATCCTGACTCTGCCATTAGCATGACGCAACAGGAACCGGTATTCGTCAGACCAGGCAATGTTTTTCCACTCCTCAATTGTCCAGTGTTGGTGATCACGTGCCCACTGGAGCTGCTTCATCTTGTGTTTAGCTGATAGGAGTAAAACCCGGTGTGGTCGTCTGGTGCAATAGCCCATGCGTGACAAGGACCGACGAGTAATGCGTTCCGAGATGCTGTTCTGCACACCACTGTTTTACTGCGCTGTTATTTGCCTGTTTGTGGACCGCCTGTTAGCTTGCACCATTCTCGCCGTTCTCCTTCGACCACTCATCATCGAGCTGTTTTCGCCCACAGGACTGCCGCTGACTGTGTGTTTTTTTTGTATGTCGCACCATTCTGGGTAAATCCTAGACACTGTTGTGTGTGAAAAGCACAGGATACTGGAACTGGCATACCTGGCACCAATGATCATACCACGCTCAAAGTCGCTTAGGTCACAGATTTTGCCCATTTTAACGTTCAATCAAACAGTAACTGAATGCCCATCTTCCTGCTTTATATAGCAAGCCACGGTCACGTAACTCACTGTCTGTAGGAGCGAATCATTTTCATTAACGGGGTACCTAATAAACTGGCCACTAAGTGTATAAAGATGTATCACTATGATTTGACCCACTTGTACCAGCTTTTAGGCTCCAACTGGATGCTAGCCAGCTGTCCATGTTTCAGATACTTATTGAATTGAATATTAAGTGCTCCTCTTGGGTTTGCAAATGAATTGACTCTGGCAAGTACTATTTACTTACTACTAGTAATTTACTAAATGTGAACTGCAGCACAGTCTGGTTAACAAATGATGGTATTTTCTTCTGGGTCTTAATACTGATGACAGCTCTATAAAAGATGGGCCCATATCCTGGATTCATACTACTGCTGTGTCTTTCTATGAGAGATGCCTGTTCTCACATTCACCCTCTCTGTCTCGCTCTGTCTCGCTCTGTCTCGCTCTGTCTCGCTCTGTCTCTCTATGTCTCTCTCTGTCTTTGTCGGTCTCTGTCTCTCTGTCTTTCTCTCTGTCTCTCTGTCTCTCTCTCTCCTCCTCTCCTACAGGCCAGGAACTCCTACTCCAACGAGGTGGTGGCCATCAAGAAGATGTCCTACAATGGCAAACAGACCACCGAGGTGAGAGGACAGCTCCAACACACACTAAAGTCACTCACTGACCACTATACTGGCCAAACCAACCAGCTCACACTCAAGTCACTCACTGACCGCTATACTGGCCAAACCAACCAGCTCACACTAAAGTCACTCACTGACCGCTATACTGGCCAAACCAACCAGCTCACTCTGAAGTCACTCACTGACCACTATACTGGCCAAACCAACCAGCTCACTCTGAAGTCACTCACTGACCGCTATACTGGCCAAACCAACCAGCTCACACTAAAGTCACTCACTGACCGCTATACTGGCCAAACCAACCAGCTCACTCTGAAGTCACTCACTGACCACTATACTGGCCAAACCAACCAACTCACTCTGAAGTCACTCACTGACCGCTATACTGGCCAAACCAACAAACTCACTCTGAAGTCACTGTGTGTCCACTATAACGGTCACACCTGAGGTTAAAGATTTCCTGGCCAGCACTAACTCACTCTGAAGTCACTCTGACCACAGATGGTCACATCTCATGTACTCACTTTGAACTCAAACTAGAATGGTCATACCTCAGGCCTTGAAATGGCACTAACTTACTTTGAACTCATTCCCACTCTGTCTGCTTTCAGTCACACCTCAGACCTTGAAACAGAGGTCAAACAAGTTGAGAGGACAACTAATGCTAACACTTTGAACTCTAACTCTGCCCTCTACGGCCAATAGGACGGTCACACCTCAGGACGAATCAGAGGTTCAACGTTCCATGGACAGCATTCACTCAGTCTGAGGTCCCTCCCTATGGACATTATGATGGTCACAACTCACTATCTTTGAACTCACAACATGGCCACTCGAGCAGTCACATCTCAGGCCTTGTAACAGAGGTTCAACGTTCCCTGTGATCCACAAGGCCTTGTGTTGAGGTTTATGTTGGGGTCAAGGGTTAGGTTCAAACTCCTCTCTTGTGTAAATGTAACTGACCTATCCATAAACCCACTCTCTCTCTCTCCTTCTCCTTTGCTCTCTCTCTTTCTCTCCTTCCTTCTCTCCTCAGAAATGGCAGGACATCATCAAGGAGGTCAAGTTTTTGGAACAGCTGCGCCACCCAAACACCATTGAGTATAAAGGCTGCTACTTAAAGGATAACACTGCCTGGGTCAGTGGACTGTGGCAGAGCTGTATCAATGTCTTGCTCTCTGTCTCTCTCTCTCATTGTCTCTCTCTCTCTCATTGTCTCTCTCTCTCTCATTGTATCTCTCTCTCTCTCTCTCTCTGTCTCTCTCATTGTCTCTGTGCACTTTCTCACTTTTTGTTATAAACTTCTGACCTCTGACCTTTCTATCTGTCTCTTCCAGCTGGTGATGGAGTACTGCCTAGGCTCCGCATCAGATTTACTAGAGGGTGAGTAGCACACACACACAGTTCATCCAAACACAACGAAAATAGCTGGATGCTTTCGGAGCATGTGCTCTATGAATCTATCCGTAATTCAACATTCATGGTTAGCGATGAGCCTTTTCTCTAAACTCTCCATGTAATATTCCAGTATGAATGTTCCTGTTCACCATCTCCCAACATTCCTCACCTTGGCCTGACTCATGCATATATATATATATAGCACTTGTGTTTGTGGCCCATCCTGGCTGTCATGGATACCGTTTTAAACAGCCATGATGGTGTGTGTGAAGTGCTTCTGAAATTTCTCCACTGTAGTTCCGCTTTGCCCTTTGACTCCTTGGCAAGGCTTCGTTCTGCTTAGCCTGGTCCCAGATCTGTTTGCACTGTCTTACCACCTCTCTATAGTCATTGAGTTAGCAAGACGGCACAAACAGATCTGGGACCAGGCTATAGTTCTGCCAGAGCTATGAGGAATGTGTTTTATAACCCTTGTCTCCCAACCCTTTACCCAATAACCAGATGCTGTTGGTTGTTGTCGTGTGTCATATCAGGAAGGGCAGATTGCTGCTACATACGTACACACTGTACCTCATATCTCTAGATAGCAATGACGATTTTCCCCTTTGGTTTATTTTTCTATCCTCTTCTCTCTTCTAGTTCATAAGAAACCGCTCCAAGAGGTTGAAATTGCTGCCATAACCCACGGTGCCTTGCTAGGACTGGCTTACCTACATTCCCGTAATATGATTCACAGGTGAGTGGTCGGTCGGGTCTACCTGTCTGTGTCCTCGTTAAAAGGTTCCTCGACAACGGATTTAAAACCAGTTTGAACTGATGCTGAGACGATAAGTGGTGTCTCTGTTTCCACTGTTAGGTAATAATGACGTCATCAGAGATAACTGTCTCAGAGCCGTTATATCTGACAATCCTTATCTCAGTTCAACGTGCATTCCAACAAGCCCTCTTGAATGTCACTTACCGGAAAATGTTATTACGTGCAGATGCCCGTATAATTTTACTATGGTCCCATAAAGACACAAATTACTCTTTTTATTACATACAAATATGATAGGCATCCATTAATATAGCAATTCCCAAGCCCTAAATTCTCTGACAATCATAGTTTCACTACAGGTTATCATGTCGCTGCTACGCTGATTAAAATGTAGGCCTGTGTTCAAAGTTGAGAAAAAATAGAAATAATAAAAATGATCCCAGACAGAATTTCATAAATAAATTGTAAGGTTTTATGCCTCCAAAAGTAGACTTAAAAAATATCCTCTCTGTTTTCTGCGCACAAGGAAATGCCTTTATTAATACGCTTGGGTTGAGTTATTCACAATGTTTCAACCACATCAGTCTTCTTCAACCTGACAGTGAGCCAAGTTTTCGCTTTCTTCCCGGAGTTCAGCTCCTGTCATGTGCTTTTTGGATATATCATAGATGAAGAAATAACAAAGAAGGAGAAGTATACTACAAACATATGGTAGCGCTTTACTCTGGGCGTCTTTATTTGTGCATTCAGAAAGCCTTCTTAATACGTCCTATCAATATCCCACCACCCTGACCATGCTGTTTGTGTTGTCCTTTCTCTCTCTCTCTCTCTCTCTCTCTCTCTCTCTCTCTCTCTCTCTCTCCTCTCTCTCTCTCTCTCTCTCTCTCTCTCTCTCTCTCTCTCTCTATCTCTCTCTCTCTCTACTCTCTCTCTCTCTCTCTCTCTCTCTCTCTCTCTCTCTATCTCTCTCTCTCTCTCTCTCTCTCTCTCCAATTCAATTCAATTTAAGGGCTTTATTGGCATGGGAAACGTGTGTTAACATTGCCAAAGCAAGTGAAGTAGATAGTAAACAAAAGTGAAATAAACAATAAATATTAACAGTAAACATTACACTCAGAAGTTTCAAAAGAATAAAGACATTTCAAATGTCATATTATGTATATATACAGTGTTGTAACAATGTGCAAATAGTTAAAGTACAAATGGGAAAATAAGTAAACATAAATATGGGTTGTACTTACAATGGTGTTTGTTCTTCACTGGTTGCCCTTTTCTTGTGGCAACAGGTCACAAATCTTGCAGCTGTGATGGCACACTGTGGTTTTTCACCCAGTAGATAAGGGAGTTTATCAAAATTGGGTTTGTTTTCGAATTCTTTGTGGATCGCTGTAATCTGAGGGAAATATGTGTCTCTAATATGGTCATACATTTGGCAGGAGGTTAGGAAGTGCAGCTCAGTTTCCACCTCATTTTGTGGGCAGTGTGCACATAGCCTGTCTTCTCTTGAGAGCCAGGTCTGCCTACGGCGGCCTTTCTCAATAGCAAGGCTATGCTCACTGAGTCTGTACATAGTCAAAGCTTTCCTTAAGTTTGGGTCAGTCACAGTGGTCAGGTATTCTGCCACTGTGTACTCTCTGTTTAGGGCCAAATAGCATTCTAGTTTGCTCTGTTTTTTTGTTTGTTCTTTCCAATGTGTCAAGTAATTATCTTTTTGTTTTCTCATGATTTGGTTGGGTCTAGTTGTGTTGTTGTTGTTGTTATCCTGGGGCTGTGTGGGGTCTGTTTGTGTTTGTGAACAGAGCCCCAGGACAAGCTTACTTAGGGGACTCTTCTCCAAGTTCATCTCTCTGTAGGTGATGGCTTTGTTATGGAAGGTTTGGGAATCGCTTCCTTTTAAGTGGTTATAGAATTTAACGGCTCTTTTCTGGATTTTGATAATTAGCGGGTATTGGCCTAATTCTGCTCTGCATGCATTATTTGGTGTTTTACGTTGTACACGGAGGATGTTTTTGCAGAATTCTGCATGCAGAGTCTCAATTTGGTGTTTGTCCCATTTTGTGAATTCTTGGTTGGTGAGCGGACCCCAGACCTCAGAACCATAAAGGGCAATGGGTTCTATAACTGATTCAAGTATTTTTAGCCAGATCCTAATTGGTATGTCAAATTTTATGTTCCTTTTGATGGCATAGAAGGCCCTTCTTGCCTTGTCTCTCAGATCGTTCACAGCTTTGTGGAAGTTACCTGTGGCGCTGATGTTTAGGCCGAGGTATGTATAGTTTTTTGTGTGCTCTAGGGTAACGGTGTCTAGATGGAATTTGTATTTGTGGTCCTGGCAACTGGACCTTTTTTGGAACACCATTATTTTTGTCTTACTGAGATTTACTGTCAGGGCCCAGGTCTGACAGAATCTGTGCAGAAGATCTAGGTGCTGCTGTAGGCCCTCCTTGGTTGGTGACAGAAGCACCAGATCATCAGCAAACAGAAGACATTTGACTTCAGATTCTAGTAGGGTGAGGCCGGGTGCTGCAGACTGTTCTAGTGCCCTCGCCAATTCGTTGATATATATGTTGAAGAGGGTGGGGCTTAAACTGCATCCCTGTCTCACCCCACGGCCCTGTGGAAAGAAATGTGTGTGTTTTTTGCCAATTTTAACCGCACACTTGTTGTTTGTGTACATGGATTTTATAATGTCGTATGTTTTTCCCCCAACCACACTTTCCATCAATTTGTATAGCAGACCCTCATGCCAAATTGAGTCAAAAGCTTTTTTGAAATCAACAAAGCATGAGAAGACTTTGCCTTTGTTTTGGTTTGTTTGTTTGTCAATTAGGGTGTGCAGGGTGAATACGTGGTCTGTCGTACGGTAATTTGGTAAGAAGCCAATTTGACATTTGCTCAGTACATTGTTTTCACTGAGGAAATGAACTAGTCTGCTGTTAATGATAATGCAGAGGATTTTCCCAAGGTTGCTGTTGACGCATATCCCACGGTAGTTATTGGGGTCAAATTTGTCTCCACTTTTGTGGATTGGGGTGATCAGTCCTTGGTTCCAAATATTGGGGAAGATGCCAGAGCTAAGGATGATGTTAAAGAGTTTAAGTATAGCTAATTGAAATTTGTGGTCTGTATATTTTATCATTTCATTGAGGATACCATCAACACCACAGGACTTTTTGGGTTGGAGGGTTTGTATTTTGTCCTGTAGTTCATTCAATGTAATTGGAGAATCCAGTGGGTTCTGGTAGTCTTTAATAGTTGATTCTAAGATTTGCATTTGATCATGTATATTTCTTTGCTGTTTGTTCTCTGTTATAGGGCCAAAAAGATTGGAGAAGTGGTTTACCCATACATCTCCGTTTTGGATAGATAGCTCTTCGTGTTGTTGTTGTGTTTTCCAATTTTCCCAGAAGTGGTTAGTCTATGGATTCTTCAATTACATTGAGCTGATTTCTGACATGCTGTTCCTTCTTTTTCCGAAGTGTATTTCTGTATTGTTTTAGTGATTCATCATAGTGAAGGCGTAGGCTCAGGTTTTCTGGGTCTCTCTATGTTTTTGGTTGGATAGGTTTCTCAATTTCTTTCTTAGGTTTTTGCATTCTTCATCAAACCATTTATCACTGTTGTTACTTTTCTTTGGTTTTCTGTTAGAGATTTTTAGATTTGATAGGGAAGCTGAGAGGTCAAATATACTGTTTAGGTTTTCTACTGCCAAGTTTACACCTTCACTATTACAGTGGAACGTTTTGTCCAGGAAGTTGTCTAGAATGGATTGAATTTGTTGTTGCCTAATTGTTTTTTGGTAGGTCAACAGTACTTTCCTTCCATCTATAGCATTTCTTAATATTATTCAGTTCCTTTGGCTTTGATGCCTCATGATTGAGTATTGCTCTGTTCAAGTAGACTGTGATTTTGCTGTGGTCTGATAGGGGTGTCAGTGGGCTGACTGTGAACGCTCTGAGAGACTCTGGGTTGAGGTCAGTGATAAAGTAGTCTACAGGACTACTGCCAAGAGATGAGCTATAGGTGTACCTACCATAGGAGTCCCCTCGAAGCCTACCATTGACTATGTACATACCCAGTGTGCGACAGAGCTGCAGGAGTCGTGACCCGTTTTTGTTGGTTATGTTGTCGTAGTTGTGCCTAGGGGGGCATATGGGGGAGGGAATGCTGTCACCTCCAGGTAGGTGTTTGTCCCCCTGTGTGCTGAGGGTGTCAGGTTCTTGTCCAGTTCTGGCATTTAGGTCGCCACAGACTAGTACATGTCCCTGGGTCTGGAAATGATTGATTTCCCCCTCCAGGATGGAGAAGCTGTCTTCATTAAAGTATGGGGATTCTCTCTCTCTCTCTCTCGCCCCCCCCCCAGAGATGTAAAAGCTGGAAACATCCTGCTAACGGAGCCAGGCCAGGTCAAATTGGCAGACTTCGGCTCTGCCTCTACAGCCTCTCCTGCCAACTCCTTCGTAGGAACTCCTTACTGGTCAGTACCACCACACTATCTCCTTACTGGTCAGTACCACCACCACACTAATACCTTACTGGTCAGTACCACCACACTAACACCTTACTGGTCAGTACCACCACCACACTAAGTCCTTACTGGTCAGTACCACCACCACACTAAGTCCTTACTGGTCAGTACCACCACCACACTAACTCCTTACTGGTCAGTACCACCACCACACTAACTCCTTACTGGTCAGTACCACCACACTAACACCTTACTGGTCAGTACCACCACACTAACTCCTTACTGGTCAGTACCACCACCACACTAACTCCTTACTGGTCATACCCCGTAGTACCACCACACTAACCCCTTACTGGTCAGTACCACCACACTAACTCTTACTGGTCAGTACCCACCACCACTAACTCCTTACTGGTCAGTACCACCACACTAACTCCTTACTGGTCAGTACCACCACACTAACTCCTTACTGGTCAGTACCACCACACTAACTCCTTACTGGTCAGTACCACCACACTAACTCCTTACTGGTCAGTACCACCACCACTAACTCCTTACTGGTCAGTACCACCACACTAACATCCTTACTGGTCAGTACCACCCACACTAACACCCTTACTGGTCAGTAACCACCACACTAACTCCTTACTGGTCAGTAACCAACCACACTAACTCCTTACTGGTTCAGTACCACCACCAACAACTCCTTACTGGTCAGTACCACCACACTAACTCCTTACTGGTCAGTACCACCACACTAAACTCCTTACTGGTCAGTACCACCCACCACTAACTCCTTACTGGTCAGTACCAAACCCCACAACTCCTTATGGTCGTACCACCAACACTACACCTTATGGGGCAGTTTCCACCACCACTAACTCCTTACGGTCAGTTACCCAACCCCCCACACTAACTCCTTACTGGTCAGTACCACCACCACCCCACTAACTCCTTACTGGTCAGTACCCAAACCCCACCACTAACTCCTTACTGGTCAGTACCACCACCACACTAATTTTCCCTAGGGCAGTACCACCCACACTAACTCCTTACTGGTCAGTACCACCACACCACTAACTCCTTACTGGTCAGTACCACCACCACACTAACTCCGTACTGGTCAGTACCACCACCACACTAACTCCATACTGGTCAGTACCACCACACTAACTCCTTACTGGTCAGTACCACCACACTAACTCCTTACTGGTCAGTACCACCACCACACTAACTCCTTACTGGTCAGTACCACCACCACACTAACGCCATACTGGTCAGTACCACCACCACTCTAACTCCTTACTGGTCAGTACCACCACTCTAACTCCTTACTGGTCAGTACCACCACTCTAACTCCTTACTGGTCAGTACCACCACACTAACTCCTTACTGGTCAGTACCACCACACCACTAACTCCTTACTGGTCAGTACCACCACCACACCAACACCTTACTGGTCAGTACCACCACCACCACACCAACACCATACTGGTCAGTACCACCACCACACCAACACCTTACTGGTCAGTACCTAACACTACAACAGGGCTTTTCCACTCCAGTCCTGGGGCCTCCCCAGAATGCACATTCTTGCTCCAGCCCACCGCTATCACACCTGATTCAACTACTCAAGGCCTTGACGATTAGTTGATTCATTGAATTACATATTCAGCTGGAACACAATGTGGAATGTGGAATGTTGGAAGCCCCAGGACCAGATAGCTATATGTAATAATTGACAATGATTTCTTATGTTATAAAAGCCGCTGGTCATTCACATAGAAACCCTCACAGTAACGCTGGAGACAAACAAACAAACAAAACATGAGAATTCGGAGAACTCTCATAAGAAAAGTGTTGATTCTCCTGATATTCCACTCATGATCCTCAAAGCCCGCTGTGTGCTACTTGTCTCCAGCAGAACATTACTCAGACCTGATTTGCTAGCTAGGCTATCACTGCATACCAAAGGGTCTTTAAGATCTCCGGGCTCAACAGCTTATGAATTGCCATGAATTTAACAGTGCTGGTTAATTAACTTACGTGTGTGTGTGCCTCCGTGTGTGTGTGTGTGTGTGTGTGTGTGTGTTTATCCGTGTGTGTGCATCCGTGTGTGTGTACCAGGATGGCCCCGGAAGTGATCCTAGCCATGGATGAGGGTCAGTACGAAGGGAAGATAGACATCTGGTCCCTGGGAATCACCTGCATAGAACTGGGTGAGTTACGATTATTTCTGTTTTACTGGGAATCACCTGCATAGAACTGGGTGAGTTACGATTATTTCTGTTTTACTGGGAATCACCTGCATAGAACTGGGTGAGTTACGATTATTTCTTTTTACTGGGGAAACACCTGCATAGAACGGGAGTTACGATTATTTCTGTTTTACTGGGAATCACCTGCATAGAACTGGGGTGAGTTACGATTATTCTGTTTTACTGGGAATCACCTGCATAGAACTGGGTTTAGTTACGATTATTTCTGTTTTAAATGGGAATCAAAATGCATAGAACGGTGAGTTACGATTATTTCTGTTTTACTGGGATCACCTGCAATAGAAAATGGGTGGAGTTACGATTTTTTTTATTGTTTACTGGGAATCACCTGCATAGAACTGGGTGATTTACGATTATTTTCGTTTAACTGGGAATCACCTGCATAGAACGGGTGAGTTACGTTATTTCCCTTTTTACCTGGGAATCACCTGCATAGAACGGGTGAGTTACGATTATTTCAGTTTTACTGGGAATCACCTGCATAGAACTGGGTGAGTTACGATTATTTCTGTTTTACTGGGAATCACCTGCATAGAACTGGGTGAGTTACGATTATTTCAGTTTTACTGGGAATCACCTGCATAGAACTGGGTTACTTTATTAATTACTTGTACATGTGAGTCATTTAGCGGACGCTCTGAGTCAGTGCATTGGTAGGTAGTTACTCCTCTTCACTCCCTGTAGAGCATAAAGCCTGCAACTAACCCACTCAGCTTCTAGCACAGACTCTATTATGGACATCTCAGGAGGCATCATTGTTATCAGTATACTGTTTTGGCCTGCCTCAGAATGTCAAACAGACATAGCTAGACCATCTGGCGAGAGCAGTGACACTCCTGGTTGACAGTTGATTCACATTGTTGCTCAGTCCTGTTTGTCATGTGATTACTGTGGCCCTTTTATCTATTTCAGACACTGCATGTAAACATTCACTCACACTTCTATACAAACAGACAGATAATGAGAATCACTAGGTCAATAGTATCTCTTATCTTTCCTCCTGGTCAACCAGATATGAACTCCCTCCTAACTCTCTTTTCTCTCTATCCCTCTCTCTCCCCCCTCCCCCCTCCCTCTCTCCCCTCCCCCCTCCCTCTCTCTCTCCCCCTCCCCCCTCCCTCTCTCTCTCTCCCTCCCCCCTCCCTCTCTCTATCCCTCCCCCCTCCCTCTCTCTCTCCCCCCCCTCCCTCTCTCTCTCCCCTCACATAGCGGAGCGGATAGCCTCCCCTGTTCAACCATGAAACGCTATGAGTTGCCTATATCCAAATTGCCCAGAACGACTCTCCCACGCTGCAGTCCAACGAGTGGTAAGTCCTCACCGTCCCTCCACTGAGCTGTGTGACCACACACACACACACACACACACACACACACACACACACACACACACAACCTCTCTGTGACGAGGTGTGAATGAAGGAGTCAGGCGCAGGAGGTAAAACACCGAAGTCCAGAGTTTATTCCGTTTACATAAATAAAACGCACCAAGCTTCAAAACGAAACTATCACAAGGGAAATATTCCACCTTGGCAATAACAAATGGAAGAGTAGCTCAACCGAGCTACACGCTCTCACAATGAAACAATCACTCACAAAGACAAGGGGAACAGAGGGAACACTTATACACATACTAATTAGGGGAATGAGCACCAGGTGTGTGTGATTGACAAGACAAGACATGACAAGTGGAGTGATGAGAATGGGATCGGCAGTAGCTAGTAAGCCGGTGACGACGAACGCCGAAACCTGCCCGAACAAGGAGGGGAGGCAGCCTCGGCGGAAGTCGTGACACTCTCGCAGCCCTGGAATTCCCAGTCAAAGTACATACACTACATGACCAAAAGTATGTGGATACCTGCTTGTCGAACATCCCATTCCAAAATCATGGGCATTAATATGGAGTTGGTCCCCCCTTTGCTGCTATAACAGCCTCCACTCTTATGGGAAGGCTTTCCACTAGCTGTTGGAACATTGCTGAGGGGACTTGCTCCCTTTCAGTCACAAGTGCATTAGTGAGGTCAGGCACTGATGTTGGGCGATTAGGCCTGGTTCACAGTCGGCGTTCCAATTCATCCCAAAGGTGTTTGATGGGGTTGAGGTCAGGGCTCTGTGCAGGCCTGTCAAGTTCTTCCACACCAATCTCGACAAACCATTTCTGTATGGACCTCTCTTTGTGAACGGGGGCATTGTCATGCTGAAACATGAAAGGGCCTTCCCCAAACTGTTGCCACAAAGTTGGAAGCACAGAATCATCTAGAATGTCATTGTATGCTGCAGCGTTAAGATTTCCCTTCACTGGAACTAAGGGGCCCGAAACATGAAAAACAGCCCCAGACCATTATTCCTCCTCCACCCAACTTTACAGTTGGCACTATGCATTGGGGCATGTAGCGTTCTCCTGGCATCCGCCAAACCCAGATTAGTCCGTCGGACTGCCAGATGGTGAAGCGTGATTCATCACTCCAGAGAACACGTTTCCACTGCTCCAGAGTCCAATGGCGGCGAGCTTTACACCACTCCAGCCGACACTTGGCATTGCGTGTGGTGATCTATGATCTTAGGCTTGTGTGCGGCTGCTTGGCCATGGAAACCCATTTTATGAAGCTCCCGACTAACAATTATTGTGCTGATGTTGCTTCCAGAGACAGTTTGGAACTCAGTAGTGAGTGTTGCAACCGAGGACAGCAGATTTTTTTTATGCGCTACGCACTTCAGCACTCAGTGGTCCCGTTCTGTGAGCTTGTGTGGCCTACCACTTTGCGGCTGAGCCGTTGTTGCTCCTAGACGTTTCCACTTCACAATAACAGCACTTACAGTTGACCGGGGCAGCTCTAGCAAAGCAGAAATGTGACAAACTGACTTGTTGGAAAGGTGGCATCCTATGACGGTGCCACGTTGAAAGTCACTGAGCTCTTCAGTAAGGCCATTCTACTGCCAATGTTTGTCTATGGAGATTGCATGGCTGTGTGCTTGATTTAAAAAAACAGGTGTGGCTGAAATAGCCGAATCCACTAATATGACGGGGTGTCCACATACTTTTGTTTATGTAAGTGTATGTTATGTAATTACCTGAGGGGCCGAGCTGTGGCCTATTTAAAGAATCAGGCTCACGTACACAGGCTTCTACTGTAATCTACTATTCACTATACCACTCCGCAGGACGGAGAGAGACAGACAGACAGGCAGCAATCACACTACCCCCCCCTATGTTGCTGTTGATGGTGTGATGACTGCCATAGGAGGAAGATCCAGTCAAACATTACTCTACGTGTCAACATTTACAATAGCATGACCCACCCACTATACAGTAGTATCTCACCATAAAGGTGGAAGTTTGTACTCTACTTGACCCAAATACAGAAATAGGACTTATATGGCTCTAAGGATACATTCCTTTCAACAAATACAGTTGCTTACACTACAGCTAAAACAAGTGGCAGCGTGCGTCACTCTTTACAAGGTGATTTTCCTGAAGGTGTAAGTGTTCATTACTAAACAGTGCTACTCATTGTTCTCCAGTGTAAGAGAGTCGATTGTGGGAGTTATGAAACCCAAAGCAAGCAGATTCACAAGTAGCGCACTCTCCAAGAAATTAGTGTTTGATGTTCTATTCATAATGCAAAGATTATGCACACTTTGACAAATTAACATTAAAAGAAAGCCCTATCCTTGTACTAAAGAGTGTGTGAAGCAGAGTTATGATCCTACCGTAGAGGTACATTATAATAGTGTTGCATTTAATTCTGTGGGTGCCTTCCTAGCCAGTGTGTTGTTGGAGGTGTTCCAAACAGGCCTCTGGCATAAACATAGTCTCTCAAAGCTGAAACTAGCGGAGACATCACCATGCATCGTTAGCCTTAAAGAAGACAGGTGACATGTTGACAAGCAATACAGGTGCTCTTAACCCTGACTCTGTGTATACTGCTGAATGTATGACACTTTGACAGATGAAGGTTGAAAGTGACAGCTATTGTCTTTATGCCCGTTTCTCCCAGAGCTAAGACTAGTACAACGTTTAGGAAACTATGTAGACTGTATGATGTACCCATGCAAAGAGTTTGAAGATGGACTTTCAATAACACTGACAAACACAGTGAATAGCTATAGAAGCACGGCTTGGCCCTTACTCTGGTTTGAAAGGTGGGAAAGATGTTGACTACTATTGCCTTTTGTGCCTGGCGTAATCATTGTTGTGTTCTGTTTTCTTCCGTCCCTCCGCTCCACCTCTCCACTCCTCTATCTTTCTACAAGGTCGGACCCCTTCCGGAGCTTTGTTGACTGCTGCCTCCTCAAAATTCCTCAGGACAGACCCTCGTCTGGGGAGCTGCTGCGAGTGAGTGCACTTCCTGTTATCTCTGACAGAGGCTGTCACCTCACTTCCTGTGTCAGTCTCTTAAAGACCATCTGGTCGTGTGCGTCCTAAATGGTACCCTATTCCCTACATAGTGCACTACTTTTGACCAGAGCCCTATAGATAGTAGTGCACTACGTAGGGAATAGGGTGCCATTTGGGACACAACCGATGACTCACTGCCTCCCACAGCTCTAGAGAAAATATGAATAAAAGATTCCACAGCGGTTATTCCACACACACAAACACACACTGGTTCGACAGGGGTTAGGGTTTTGTTGTTCAGTGTTTTTGAACGTTTATTTATTTATTTATTTATTTATTTATTTATTTATTTTGCTGTGCTACACCTCGTGTTAGAGGTTGATAAGGCGTCATGTGTAAGCTTGCCTGTATGTGGACTCACTCTAAACATTCTGACCAAATCCCCTTGACACCCAATGAAAGCTGTAGTCAGACTGCCCGCCCACATAGACCCCCATAGAGTTACACTACAAGTGCACAGTCACACGGTCTTTGTCATTTGTACGTCCTGATCTGCCAATCCACTGTGTTCATCTGTGTTCATTGTGTGTTTGTGTTAATTTGCGTGCTGTCAACAGATGCTTTCCTTTCAGGTTCCACTTCCACTGAGTGAGAAAATTACAGACGCACAAATATCATACCCCCCCCCCCACCAAAAAATGCTAATCTCCCCTGTTATTGTGATGGTGAGAGGTTAGCATGTCTTAGGGGTATGGTATTTGTGCGTCTGTAACTTTCTCACTCAACATTATTCACGATTCATTCAGGATTATCCGTAATCATGGAAGCATCCACATTAACGTAGAAGTGTTTAGAAACATATTATATTCTTATTTACTATAAAAGTGACTCCAAAATGACACAATACAATATTTACCATTCATTTCTATTGGGAATAAAATAATCTGAAACATAACCAAAAAAAAACAGCAAATGAATCCAACATATATGTAGAGTTGCAAGCTTTATGTAGTCATTGCGTGCTGTGATTATGGGACAAATACTAAACTTTTTACTACTTTAATACACATATACAGTGAGGGAAAAAAGTATTTGATCCCCTGCTGATTTTGTACGTTTGCACACTGACAAAGAAATGATCAGTCTATCATTTTAATGGTAGGTTTATTTGAACAGTGAGAGACAGAATAACAACAAAGAAATCCAGAAAAAAGCATGTCAAAAATGTTATAAATTGATTTGCATTTTAATGAGGGAAATACATATTTGACCCCCTCTCAATCAGAAAGATTTCTGGCTCCCAGGTGTCTTTTATACAGGTAACGAGCTGAGATTAGGAGCACACTCTTAAAGGGAGTGCTCCTAATCTCAGTTTGTTACCTGTATAAAAGACACCTGTCCACAGAAGCAATCAATCAATCAGATTCCAAACTCTCCACCATGGCCAAGACCAAAGAGCTCTCCAAGGATGTCAGGGACAAGATTGTAGACCTACACAAGGCTGGAATGGGCTACAAGACCATCGCCAAGCAGCTTGGTGAGAAGGTGACAACAGTTGGTGCGATTATTCGCAAATGGAAGAAACACAAAATAACTGTCAATCTCCCTCGGCCTGGGGCTCCATGCAAGATCTCACCTCATGGAGTTGCAATGATCATGAGAACGGTGAGGAATCAGCCCAGAACTACACAGGAGGATGTTGTCAATGATCTCAAGGCAGCTGGGACCACAGTTACCAAGAAAACATTTGGTAACACACTACGCCGTGAAGGACTGAAATCCTGCAGCACCCGCAAGGTCCCCATGCTCAAGAAATAACATATACAGGCCCGTCTGAAGTTTGCCAATGAACATCTGAATGATTCAGAGGAGAACTGGGTGAAAGTGTTGTGGTCAGATGAGACCAATATCGAGCTCTTTGGCATCAACTCAACTCGCCGTGTTTGGAGGAGGAGGAATGCTGCCTATGACCTCAAGAACACCATCCCCACCGTCAAACATGGAGGTGGAAACATTATGCTTTGGGGGTGTTTTTCTGCTAAGGGGACAGGACAACTTCACCGCATCAAAGGGACGATGGACGGGGCCATGTACCGTCAATTCTTGGGTGAGAACCTCCTTCCCTCAGCCAGGGCATTGAAAATGGGTCATGGATGGGTATTCCAGCATGACAATGACCCAAAACACACGGCCAAGGCAACAAAGGAGTGGCTCAAGAAGAAGCACATTAAGGTGCTGGAGTGGCCTAGCCAGTCTCCAGACCTTAATCCCATAGAAAATCTGTGGAGGGAGCTGAAGGTTCGAGTTGCCAAACGTCAGGCTCGAAACCTTAATGACTTGGAGAAGATCTGCAAAGAGGAGTGGGACAAAATCCCTCCTGAGATGTGTGCAAACCTGGTGGCCAACTACAAGAACCGTCTGACCTTTGTGATTGCCAACAAGGGTTTTGCCACCAAGTACTAAGTCATGTTTTGCAGAGGGGTCAAATACTTATTTCCCTCATTAAAATGCAAATCAATTTATAACATTTTTGACATGCGTTTTTCTGGATTTTTGTTTTGTTATTCTGTCTCTCACTGTTCAAATAAACCTACCATTAAAAATTATAGACTGATCATGTCTTTGTCAGTGGGCAAACGTACAAAATCAGCAGTGGATCAAATACTTTTTTCCCTCACTGTAAGTGAATTTGTCCCAATAATTTTGGTCCCCTAAAATGGGGGGACTATGTAGAAAAAGTGCTGTAATTTCTAAACGGTTCACCCGATATGAATGAAAATACCCTCAAATTAAAGCTGACAGTCTGCACCAAAGTGCTGGAGTACAGAGCCAAAACAACAAAAAATGTGACACTCTCCCAATACTTTTGGAGCTCACTGTAGATCTAAAAAGACTCTTCCCATACTCCTTCACTCCTACACCCATCCAAAACTACACTACCACACTTTGGAGAATCACAAGGTTGGGTGCATGTGTCGAAAAATATGGGAGTTACATTTTGGGGGTTGGGGGGAAGGAGGAAAAGGAAACGGTCCGACTACATTTATTGTCCCCAATATTGGGGTTTTATTTATTTTTTAATTCGGAGGGTATACTCAGAAGATTAGTTCTATCGCTCCCCCCCCCCGCCTTGTAAAAGTATTCAATTGATTTAATTGTCATTTTATGTCAACATTCTACACAAAATACTCTGTCAATGTACATTTTACATTTTAGTCATTTAGCAGATGCTCTTGTCCAGAGAGTGCATACATTTTGTTTTTGTTCTTTTTTGTTTTTTCATACTGGCCCCCTGTGGGAATCGAACCCACAACCCTAGCGTTGCAAACGCCATGCTCTACCAACTGAGCTACACGGGATCATTTAATGTTACATTCTCTACCATAAGCCGCCTCAACGTCGTTTTAGAGAAATTGGCAGTACGTCCAGCCGGCCTCACAACAGCAGACCATGTGTAACCACGCCAGCCCAGGACCTCCACATCTGGCTTCGTCACCTGCGGAATCGTCTGAGACCAGCCACCCAGACAGCTGATGAAACGGAGGAGCGTTTATGTCTGTAATAAAGCCCTTTTGTGGGGAAAAACTAATTCTGATTGGCTGGGCCTGGCTCTCCAGTGGGTGGGCCTGGCTCCCTAGTGGGTGAGCCTATGCCCTCCCATGGCTGCGGCCCGTCCCAGTCTTGTGAAATCCATAGATTAGGGCCTAATGAATTTATTTCAATTGACTGATTTCCTTATATGAACTGTAACTAAGTAAAGTCGTTGAAATTGTTGCATGTTGCGTTTATATTTTTGTTCAGTGTTGGTGTGTGTATATAAATGCACTGAGTGTACAAAACATTAGGAACACCTGCTCTTTCTTTGACATAGACTGACCAGGTGAATCCAGGTGAAAGCTATGATAATCCCTTATTGATGTCACTTGTTAAATCCACTTCAATCAGTGTAGATGAAGGGGAGGAGACAGGTTAAAGAAGGATTTTTAATCCTTGAGACAATTGAGACATGGATTGTGCATGTGTGCCATTCAGAGGGTGAATGGGCAAGACCAAAATATTTAAGTGACTTTGAAGGGGGTATGGTAGTAGGTGCCAGGCGCACCGGTTTGTGTCAAGAACTGCAACGCTGCAGGGTTTTTCACACTCAACAGTTTCCCATGTGTATCAAGAATGGTCCACCACCCAAAGGACATCCAGCCAACTTTTTTTATTTATTTTTTATTTCACCTTTATTTAACCAGGTAAGCCAGTTGAGAACAGGTTCTCATTTACAACTGCGACCTGGCCAAGATAAAGCAAAGTAGTGCAATAAAAACAACACAGAGTTACATATGGGGTAAAAAAAAAAAAACATAAAGTCAGAAATACAACAGAAAATATATATACAGTGTGTGCAAATGTAGCAAGTTATGGAGGTAAGGCAATAAATAGGCTATAGTGCAGAATAATTACAATAGTATTAACACTGGAATGCTAGATGTGCAAGAGATTATGTGCAAATAGAGATACTGGGGTGCAAAAGAGCAAAATAAATAACAATATAGGGATGAGGTAGTTGGGTGGGCTAATTTCGGATGGGCTGTGTACAGGTGCAGTGATCGGTAAGGTGCTCTGACAACTGATGCTTAAAGTTATTGAGGGAGATAAGAGTCTCCAGCTTCAGAGATTTTTGCAATTCGTTCCAGTCATTGGCAGCAGAGAACTGGAAGGAATGGCGGCCAAAGGAGGTGTTGGCTTTGGGAATGACCAGTGAGATATACCTGCTGGAGCGCAGACTACGGGTGGGTGCTGCTATGGTGACCAATGAGCTAAGATAAGGCGGGGATTTGCCTAGCAGTGATTTATAGATGGCCTGGAGCCAGTGGGTTTGACGACGAACATGTAGTGAGGACCAGCCAACAAGAGCGTACAGGTCACAGTGGTGGGTAGTGTATGGGGCTTTGGAGACAAAACGGATGGCACTGTGATAGACTACATCCAATTTGCTGAGTAGAGTGTTGGAGGCTATTTTGTAAATTACATCGCCGAAGTCAAGGATCGGTAGGATAGTCAGTTTTACGAGGGCATGTTTGGCAGCATGAGTGAAGGAGGCTTTATTGCGAAATAGGAAGCCGATTCTAGATTTAACTTTGGATTGGAGATTCTTTATGTGAGTCTGGAAGTTGAGTTTACAGTCTAACCAGACACCTAGGTATTTGTAGTTGTCCACATACTCTAGGTCAGACCCGTCGAGAGTGGTGATTCTAGTCGGGTGGGCGGGTGCCAGCAGCGTTCGATTGAAAAGCATGCATTTAGTTTTACTAGTGTTTAAGAGCAGTTGGAGGCTACTGAAGGATTGTTGTATGGCATTGAAGCTCGTTTGGAGGTTTGTTAACACAGTGTCCAATGAAGGGCCAGATGTATACAAAATGGTGTCGTCTGCGTAGAGGTGGATCTGAGAGTCACCAGCAGCAAGAGCGACATCATTGATATACACGGAGAAAAGTGTCGGCCCAAGAATTGAACCCTGTGGCACCCCCATAGAGACTGCCATAGGTCCAGACAACTTGACACAACTGTGGGAACCATTAAAGTCAACATGGGCCAGCATCCCTGTGTAACGCTTTCGACACCGTGTAGAGTCCATGCCCCGACGAATTGAGGCTGTTCTGAGGGCAAAAGGGGGAGGGGGGGGGGTGCAACTCAATATTAGGAAGGTGTTCTTAATGTTTTGTACACTCAGTGTATATCTCTCCTTTTCCCTCTCTCTCCATCTCTTTCCCTTATTTTCTCTCTCTTATCTCCCTCTCTCCCTGCCCCCTGGTCCGTGGGAGCTCTCAATCTCTGTCACTCACTCATTCAGTCTCTGTCACTCACTCGTTCAGTCCCTCTCTCTGTCCGTTTGTTTGAAAAACTGGAAAATGTGTCATCTCTGTTTCCAGAGTATGATGTCATCAGTGTGCTGCTGAAGGAGAGAGTGCATTACACTACATTACCCCAGCCAGCCAGTATCTGTCAGATAGAAGGAAGGAAGCAGGAAGATGAACACACACACACAGGCGTTTCAGACCCCAAGTGGTTGCATACATTACATTTCCACGCCATTTAGCAAATATATTTTTCATGAGTGTGTGTGGGTGGGAGCCGGCTTGAGCCTTTTGGGGCCCTAAGCGAGAATTGGTTGGTGGGCCCCCTACCTCGCAGCAAAACATTTTAGTTGTCCGCCTCTTGACGGTGGAGAGAACTATTTAACTTTTAAAGTTCATTTCCTGCAATTCTGCTCATTTTGCAATGGGGCAGAGAGAATAAATGTGCCGTTTTTAAAGGTAACTTCCTGCATTCTACCCGTTTTGTAATGAGTTATGCCATGTCAATATGATATCTGAGTGAGAATGACTAACTGGGGGCGGGGCTACCGCTTCCCACATGTCCTCTAGTCTATAGGATGGATTCCTGGTAAACCTAGATAGGAACTCGATCTAGATGGGAACTCTATCTAGGTTGAATAACCCACAGGCGCCCTCTAGTGACAAATGGACAATAGAGATTTTTCAAATAGATATTCTTTCAGATAATCACATGTATTTATATATATCATGGAGTTATTGATATCTGAAATTTCTCGCGACCCCAACCATGTGAAAAAAAAGTATGTATTTAACAGCCAATGTTTACTTTTTTATTTGGGGCTATTTCTGATTGTCTTAACTCACCATCACATACTTTTAATGTGGGGCTATGACAGTCAATTGCAAATTAGTCTGACATCATGTATCTTATCTCACCACCGCTAATGTCGCGTGTCGCGTTGGAGATTCTCAAAGTCGGGGGGGGGGCGTGGTCGACAGTGCGCACCTCATCTCTGCTGTCACATCCAACCTGGATCGATATTTGGTTTTAATGCAGACGAGAGCACTGAATCCAGCTTCACACAGATATGAGCTGGCGAAGGGTACCATGAGTTTTATGGTGCTTTCAAGACAACTGGGAACTTTGAAAGATATGAGGTGAAATCATGACGTCAGTGATCTTAAGGTTGGAAAGTTGGAGCTCTAGAAAGAGGCCCAAGTTCCTGAGTTGGAATTCCGAGTTGGATGACCGTTCAAAACTATTTTTCCCAGTCAGAGCTGTTTTTTTTTTCTCTAGAGTTCCCCGTTGTCTTGAACGCACTGACGTCGGAATTCTGAGACTTCAGAGTTCACAGTTCACAGTTGTTTTGAACACGGCATGGTATTCCCGATAGGGTATTCCCTTTGAGTCATGAACTAAAACTCCTCCGTAGTGTGCCGTGAATGTATTCAGTCACATAACCGCTCGATCAGCTGTTCGATTTCACTTACCGGCATGTCAACTGAGCCAGGATCACAGTCAAACGGATTGGGAAGTAGGTCCCAAAGTGCTCTTCCAAGCGTTGGAGGTGATCAGTCATCACTCGTGTGGGACACTTACTGATGCTGTTTTCTGTTAGAAACATGCACAGCAGAGGGAAGGGGGCATGGATCTCTTTTGAAAGACTCTCTCTCCAATAATAATTATTTCCTCTGAATCCACTGATTCGGTCACTCATCTGTAGAATGTTTTGTATTTCCCCTGCATGCTTGCGTTCAGTTCGTTAGTTTACCAAATATGTCTGTTACATAGGCAAGGAGACACATTTTATTTTCATTACACAGTCAATCAATCAATCAAATGTATTTATAAAGCCTTTTTTCATCAGCAGATGTCACAAAGTGCTATACAGAAATCCAGCCTAAAACCCCAAACAGCAAGCAATGCAGATGTAGAAGCACGGTGGCTAGGAAAAACTCCCTAGAAAGGCAGGAACCTAGGAAGAAACCTAGAGAGGAACCAGGCTCTGAGGGGTGGCCAGTCCTCTTCTGGCTGTGCTGGGTGAAGATTATAAGAGTGGCCATTTAAGGCCAGATGGTTCTTCAAGATGTTCAAACGTTCATAGATGTCCAGCAGGGTCAAATGATAATCAGTGGTTGTAGAGGGTGCAACAGGTCAGTACCTCAGGAGTAAATGTCAGTTGGCTTTTCATAGTCGAGCATTCAGAGGTCGAGACAGCAGGTGCGGTAGAGAGAGAGCGGATCGAAAACAGCAGGTCCGGGACAAGGTAGCACGTCCGGTGAACAGGTCAGGGTTCCCTAGCCGCAGGCAGAACAGTTTTAAACTGGAGCAGCAGCACGACCAGGTGGACTGTGGACAGCCAAGAGTCATCAGGCCAGGTAGTCCGGAGGCATGGTCCTAGGGCTCAGGTCCTCCGGGAGGGGAGGGAGAGAGGGAGAGAATTAGAGGGAGCATACTTCAATTCACACAGGACACCAGATAAGACAGGAGAATTACACCAGATATAACAGACTGACCCTAGCCCCTCGGCACATAGACTATTGCAGCATAGATACTGGAGACTGAGACAGGGGTGGGTCAACAGTTCTTCTCTCAATGTGAAAAATCTTTCCAACACTCTCCCTCTAAACCTCCAAGCATCGGTGTGAAATAGAGCGTTGCCCACTGAAGTCAGGTCAATACCCCGGTGAGGACGACGAGCATGCAGATGAGCTTCCTTGAGATGGTTTCTGATAGTTTGTGCAGAAATTATTCGGTTGTGCAAACCCACAGTGTCATCAGCTATCCGGGTGGCTGGTCTCAGATGATCCCGCAGGTGAAGAAGCCGGATGTGGAGGTCCTGGGCTGGCGTGGTTACACGTGGTCTGCAGTTGTGAGGCCGGTTGGACGCACTGCCAAATTCTCTAAAACGACGTCGGAGGCGGCTTATGGTAGAGAAATGAACATTACATTTTCTGGCAACAGCTCTGGTGGACATTCTTATAGTCAGCATGCCAATTGCACGTTCCCTCAAAATGTTGAGACATCTCTGTGGCATTGTGTTGTGTTACAAAACTGCACTTTGTGCACCTGTATAATGATCATGCTGTTTAAGCAGCTTCTTGATATGCCAAACCTGTCAGGTGGATGGATTATCTTGGCAAATGAGAAATGCTCACAAACAAGGATGTAAGCAAATTTGTGTACAAACTTGAGAGAAAGAAGCTTTTTGTGCATGTGGAAAATTTCGGGGATCTTTTATTTCAACTCATGATATAGATATGAGTTTCTGTGCCTCTGCCTCCCCACATTGTTTTCACCATATCAATTGTGGCTGCTAATATCAAAGTCTCTGCAATAGTGTGTGGTTTCATAGCGTAGCAGGCCTAGCCATTCACGTGGGAATAATTCAAGTGCAACGGTCAAGTACCGCCTTTTCCCATGATCTAAGCGCGCTCTCTGGTTGAATTTGATCTTTTAGATTTAAATCATTTTCATTTAAATTTAAGGTTAACCACATTAAAATGATTATGAGATACAAAGACAATATTATAATATATATACTTTATATGTTTTGATATTATTATAAAAAAGAATGTCTTCAGGGTTTTGGAAATTCTCCCGCGACCCCATTTTCATATCAGGTGACCCCTAGTTTGGGAACCGCTGCTCTAACCTGTAACCTCTCTTTTCTCCCCAGCATGACTTTGTACGTCGGGAGCGCCCCCCGCGGGTCCTTATGGATCTGATCCAGAGGACCAAGGACGCGGTGAGGGAGCTGGACAACCTGCAGTACCGTAAGATGAAGAAGATCCTCTATCAGGAAAAACACATGGGGGAGAGCCTGGAGGAGGAGGAGGTGAGGATGGAAGGGGGGAGCCAGGAGGAGGAGAGGATGGGAGGGGGGAGCCAGGAGGAGGTGAGGATGGAAGGGGGGAGCCAGGAGGAGGTGAGGATGGAAGGGGGGAGCCAGGAGGAGGAGAGGATGGGAGGGGGGAGCCAGGAGGAGGTGAGGATGGAAGGGGGGAGCCAGGAGGAGGTGAGGATGGGAGTGGGGAGCCAGGAGGAGGAGAGGATGGGAGGGGGAGCCAGGAGGAGGTGAGGATGGGAGTGGGGAGCCAGGAGGAGGAGAGGATGGGAGGGGGGGAGCCAGGAGGAGGAGAGGATGGGAGGGGGGAGCCAGGAGGAGGAGAGGATAGAGGAAGGACAGAGACAGGAGGAGGAGGAGGAAGTACATCCACTATAACCACTACTATTCTTACTTTACTATGAAACATGTCAGTAGGATGTGTACACAATTGATTACATGAATAGAATAAGAAACCATGCCATTGTGTGTCCGGGTGGATAACCCTCTGGAGTCAACTGAACTCCTGTTTTGGTCTGGCACAAATGGAATGGGTGTCCCAGAGGTCAACAAAGGTTGACCTGGAGAAGACACATGTCCTCCTGTTCACCTGACTTGAACTAGGGCAAAGGAACACTGATACAGAGTCGTGAGACCCTGTCATCTAGCCCTGCGTCTCAGTTCTCCACCCATTTTTTTTTTGCCCATGCTTATTAAGCTCTTTATGGACATTATATAAATAAACACATTTCCAGACATTCTGTTTTTGATTTCCCTGTGCTGGGTTTGTTTTTGTGCCACAAGCTCTGTTTTGTATGGCACACTCAAGCATGCTGATTCTGTTAGGACCGACAGACACAGACCGACAGACACCCACAGACGACAGACACCCACAGACCGACAGACACCCACAGACGACAGACACCCACAGACCGACAGACACCCACAGACCGACAGACACCCACAGACCGACAGACACCCACAGACCGACAGACACCCACAGACCGACAGACACCCACAGACCGACAGACACCCACAGACCGACAGACACCCACAGACCGACAGACACCCACAGACCGACAGACACCCACAGACAGACAGACACCCACAGACCGACAGACAGACACCCACAGACCGACAGACAGACACCCACAGACCGACAGACAGACACCCACAGACCGACAGACAGACCAAGAACAACACCACAGACCGACAGACCGACAACGACAGACAGACAGACAGACAAACCGACCGACAGGACAGACAGACAGACACGACCGACAGACAGACAGACACCGACCCGACAGACACCACAGACAACCGACCGACAGACAGACAGACAACCGACCACAGACACCGACAGACAGACAGACACCGACGACAGACAGACAGACACCGACAGACAGACAGACACCGACAGACAGACACCGACCGACAGACAGACAGACACCGACCGACAGACAGACAGACACCGACAGACAGACAGACACCGACAGACAGACAGACACACCGGACAACGACCGACAACAACAAGAGACAGAACACGACCGACAGACAGACACCGACCGACAGACAGACACCGACCGACAGACAGACACCGACCGACAGGACAGACAGACACACACGACACGACACCGACGACAGACAGACAACCGACCGACAGACAGACAGACACCGACAGACAGACAGACACCGACCGACAGACAGACAGACAGACACCGACCGACAGACAGACAGACAGACAGACAGACAGACACCGACCGACAGACAGACAGACAGACACCGACCGACAGAGAGACACCGACCGACAGACAGACAGACACCGACCGACCGACAGAGAGACACCGACCGACAGAGAGAGACAACAAAAAAACCGACCCAACAGAGAACAGAGCAGACACAGAGACACAGAGACACAGAGACAGGCACAGACTGACACACACAGACTGACACACACAGACTGACAGACTGACACACACAGACTGACAGACTGACACACACAGACTGACAGACTGACACACACAGACTGACAGACTGACACACACAGACTGACACACACAGACTGACACACACAGACTGACACACACAGACTGACAGACTGACACACACAGACTGACACACACAGACTGACACAGACTGACACTGACAGACACTGACAGACACAGAAACACACAGAGAGACAGACAGCGAGAGACACACAGACAGCGAGAGACACACAGACAGCGAGAGACACACAGACAGCGAGAGACACACAGACAGCGAGAGACACACAGACAGCGAGAGCCACACAGACAGAGAGAGCGCACACAGACAGAGAGAGCCACACAGACAGAGAGAGCCACACAGACAGAGAGAGCCACACAGACAGAGAGAGCCACACAGACAGAGAGAGCCACACAGACAGAGAGAGCCACACAGACAGAGAGAGCCACACAGACAGAGAGAGCCACACAGACAGAGAGAGCCACACAGACAGAGAGAGCCACACAGACAGAGAGAGCCACACAGACAGAGAGAGCCACACTGACAGAGAGAGCCACACTGACAGAGAGAGCCACACTGACAGAGAGAGCCACACAGACAGAGAGAGACACACAGACATACGCAGACAGAGACATACACAGACAGACACAGAGACACACAGACACACAGACAGACAGACACACAGACAGACAGACATGACTGGAGGACTGACATCGATACGGTCTGTCTGTCTGTGTGAATCAAATGGTGGTTAATAGGCTATTTAGCATGACTTTGACTATGTTGCCCTCTTGATGGCAGGACATTATTTCTGCTATATCAAGGTCACTCCAAGTTTAATGAGGCTATTTGGAAACCCATATTTACAGTTGAGGGGAGGGAAGGGGTGAGGGTTGTGTGTGTGTGTGTGCGTTTCCAACAGTGTGTGTATACTGATTTCTCTCTCTCTCTCTCTCTCTCTCTCCCCCCCCCCCCCCCCCCCCCTCCAGGACTGTGAGCAGGCCAGCTGTAAGACGAACAGCCTGGGCAGTAACCACTCCATCCCCAGCACCTCAGTCAGTACAGGAAGTCAGAGCAGCAGCGTCAACAGCATGCAGGAGGTCCTAGACGAGAGCTGCTCCGACGTGACCATGATGCACCACGACTATGACAGCAGCTTAGAGTCCTCCGCACACACCAAAAAGGTATTACTGACAGAGGGAGACATACACACACACACACCAAGATGCTACACACTGTAGCGCCTAGAAGAAAACTAGCACTATCAGTGTCCCTCCAGCAAGTCACCCACTACCCACGTCTTCAAGAATGACACCAACAAACATGAACACACACACATCAAGAAGACTCATCTAGCCCCTCAGTCTCTAGCCAGCCATCCAGCAACCACCTACACCAAACTTCAACCCACGTCCTCAAGAATGACAGCTCTCAGGGCTGTATAAAGGGTCATACACAGAAGTGAAATGTGTACACTCCAACCCGCACCCAAATAATGACACACACCAAACAGAACCAACCTCGCCGAGGTAATCATATAATCATACTATATTAACCTAAACAAACCTAACACCCTTCGAAAACACTGACGCCATGGAAACCAAAGATACAGTTGAAGTTGGAAGTTTACATACACCTTAGCCAAATACATTTAAACTCAGTTTTTTACAATTCCTGACATTTAGTCCTAGTAAAAATTCCCTGTCTTAGGTCAGTTAGGATCACCACTTTATTTTAAGAATGTAAAATGTCAGAATAATTGTAGAGAGAATGATTTATTTAAGCTTCTATTTATTTCATCACATTCCCAGTGGGTCAGAAGTTTACATACACTCAATTAGTATTTGGTAGCATTGCCTTTAAATTGTTTAACATGGGTCAAACATTTTGGGTAGCCTTCCACAAGCTTCCCACAATAAGTTTGGGTGACTTTTGGCCCATTCCTCCTGACAGAGCTGGTGTAACTGAGTCAGGTTTGTAGGCCTCCTTGCTCGCCCACGCTTTTTCAGTTCTGTCCACACATTTTCTATAGGATTGAGGTCAGGGCTTTGTGATGGCCACTCCAATACCTTGACTTTGTTGTCCTTAAGCCATTTTGCCACAACTTTGGAAGTATGCTTGGGGTCATTGTCCATTTGGAAGACACATTTGCGACCAAGCTTTAACTTCCTGACTTATGTCTTGAGATGTTGCTTCAATATATCCAAATAATTTTCCTTCCTCATGATGCCATCTATTTTGTGAAGTGCACCAGTCCCTCCTGCAGCAAAGCACCCCCACAGCATGATGCTGCCACCCCCGTGCTTCACAGTTGGGATGGTGTTCTTCGGCTTGCAAGCCTTCCCCCTTTTTCCTCCAAACATAACGATGGTCATTATGGCCAAACAGTTCTATATTTGTTTTATCAGACCAGAGGACATTTCTCCAAAAAGTACGAACTTTGTCCCCATGTGCAGTTGCAAACTGTAGTCTGGCTTTTTTATGGCGGTTTTAGAGCAGTGGCTTCTTCCTTGCTGAGCGGCCTTTCAGGTTATGTCGATATAGGATTTTTTTTATGTCAAAAACTAAAAACTAAAAAGATACCTTATTTACGTAAGTATTCAGACCATTTGCTATGAGACTCAAAATTGAGCTTAGGTGCATCCTGTTTCCATTGATCATCCTTGATGTTTCTGCAACTTGATTGGAGTCCACCTGTGGTAAATTCAATTGATTGGTTATGATTTGGAAATGCACACACCTGTCTATATAAGGTCCCACAGTTGACAGTGCATGTCAGAGCAAAAACCAAGCCATGAGGTCGAAGGAATTGTCCGTAGACCTCCGAGACAGGATTGTGTCGGCACAGATCTGGGGAAGGGTACTAAAAAATGTCTGCAGCATTGAAGGTCCCCAAGAACACAGTGGCCTCCATCATTCTTCAATGGAAGAAGTTTGGAACCACCAAGACTCTTCCAAGAGCTGGCTGCCCGGCCAAACTGAGCAATCGGGGGAGAAGGGCCTTGGTCAGGGAGGTGACCAAGAACCTGATGGTCACTCTGACAGAGCTCCCGAGTTCCTCTGTGGAGATGGTAGAACCTTCCAGAAGGACAATCATCTCTGCAGCACTCCACCAATCAGGCCTTTATGGTAGAGTGGCCAGGCGGAAGCCTCTCCTCAGTAAAAGGCACATGACAGCCCGCTTGGAGTTTGCCAAAAGGCACCTAAAGGACTCAGACCATGAGAAAAAATTATCTGGTCTGATGAAACCAAGATTGAACTCTTTGGCCTGAATGCCAAGCGTGACGTCTGGAGGAAACATGGCACCATCTCTACGGTGAAGCATGGTGGTGGCAGCATCATGCTGTGGGGATGTTTTTCAGCGGCAGGGACTGGGACACTAGTCAGGATCGAGGGAAAGCTGAACGGAGAAAAGTACAGAGCGATCCTTGATGAAAACCTGCTCTAGAGCGCTCAGGATCTCAGACTGGGGCGAAGGTTCACCTTTCAACAGGCCGACGACCCTAAGCACACAGCCAAGACAATGCAGGAGCGGCTTCGGGACAAGTCTCTGAATGTCCTTGAGTGGCCCAGCCAGAGCTCAGACTTGAACCCGATCGAACATCTCTGGAGAGACCTGAAAATAGCTGTGCAGCGACGCTCCCCATCCAACCTGACAGGGCTTGAGAGGATCTGCAGAGAAGAATGGGAGAAACCCCAAATACAGGTGTGCCAAGCTTGTAGCATCATACCTTAAGACTCAAGGCTGTAATCACTGCCAAAGGTGTTTCTACAAAATACTGAGTAAAGGGTCTGAATACTTATGTAAATGTGATATTACTGTTCTTTATTTTTTATACATTTGCAAACAATTATACATTTATTTTTGGTTTGTCATTATGGGGTATTGTGTGTATATTGATGAGAGGAAAAACATGTTTTAATCCATTTTAGAATAAGGCTGTAACGTAACAAAATGTGGAAAAAGTCAAGGGGTCTGAATACTTTCTGAAGGCACTGTATACAGTGCCTTCAAAAAGTATTCACAGCCCTTTACTTTTTTTTTGTTGTGTTACAAAGTGGGATTAAAATGGATTTGGCATTTTTTGTCAACAATCTACACAAAATACTCTGTGGAAGACACATTTTCATTTGTAAAATATAACACTAATATACAGTATGTTGATTAGATAAGTCAATACATGTTAGAATTACCTTTTGAGTCTTTCTGGGTAGGTCTCTAAGAGCTTTCCACACCTGGATTATGCAACATTTGCCCATTTTTTTGTTTTCAAAATTCTTCAAGCTCTGTCAAATTGGTTGTTGATCATTGCTAGAACACCATTTTCAGGTCTTGCCATAGATTTTCAAGCAGATTTAAGTCAAAACTGTAACTCGGCCACTCAGGAACATTCACTGTCTTCTTGGTAAGCAACTCCAATGTAGATTTGGCCTTGTGTTTTAGGATATTGTCCTGCTGAAAGGTGAATTCAACTCCCAGTGTCTGGTGGAAAGCAGACTGAACCAGGTTTTCCTCTAGGATTTTGCCTGTCCATAGCTCCATTCCGTTTCTTTTTTATCCTGAAAAACTCCCCAGTCCTTAACGATTACAAGCATACCCATAATATGATGCAGCCACCACTTTGCTTGAAAATATTGAGTGTTACTCAGTAATATGTTGTGTTGGATTTTCCCCAAACATGACAATTTGTATTCAGGACAAAAAGTAAATTGCTTTGCCAATTTTTTTTGCAGTATTACTTTAGTGCCTTATTGCAAACAGGATGCATGTTTAGGAATATTTTCTTCTGTACAGGCTTCCTTTTTTTCACTCTGTCATTTAGGTTATTATTGTGGAGTAACATCCATTAAACTCTAACTGTTTTAAAGTCACAATTGGGCCTCATGGTGAATACCCTGAGCAGTTTCCTTCCTCTACAGCAACAGAGTTAGGAAAGACACCTGTATATTTGTAGTGACTAGGTGTATTGATACACCATCCGCAGTGTAATTAATAACGTCACCATGCTCAAAGGGATATTCTGTGTCTGCTTTATTTATTTTTTACAAATCTACCAATAGGTGCCCTTTGCAAGACATTGGAAAACCTCCCTGGTCTTTGGTTGAATATGTGTTTGAAATTCACTGGTCAACTGAGGGACCTTACAGATAATTGTGTGTGTGTGGGGTACAGAGATAAGGTAGTCATTCAAAAATCATGTTAAACTCTTATTATTGAAAGAAAGAATTGCGCCCGAGGGGATGGCTGCCGTTTTACGGGCTCCTAACCAACTGCTATTTTGTGTGTGTTTTCGCATTGTTTGTAACTTATTTTGTACATAATGTTGTCTGCTACTGTCTCTTATGACCGAAAAGAGCTTCTGGGTATCAGAACAGCGATTACTCACCTCGAACTAGACAACGTTTTTTCTTTAATGGGTCCGACGCAAAGGATATACTGCTTCTCCGAGACCAGGCCCAAATCCCCATCTTTCACGTGAAGAAAAGGCGGAAATACAGGGGGCGGAGATCGGGGTGCCTTGTGAGAATTTGTTGGTGAGTGGGTAACCCGCCTCTACCATCCGTTTTATTGGCCAACGTGCAATCACTGGAAAATAAACTGGATGAGCTCTGTTTGAGACTATCCTACCAACGGGACATTCAAAACTGTAATATCTTATGTTTCACCGAGTCTTGGCTGAATGACGACACAGATTATATACAGTTGGCTGGGTTAACCGTGCATCGGCAGGACAGAATAGCTACGTCTGGTAAGACGAGGGGTGGTGGTGTGTGTCTATTTGTCAATAACAGCTGGTGTGTGATGTCTAATATTAAAGAGGTCTCAAAGTATTGCTCGCCTAAGGTAGAGTATCTCATGATAAGCTGTAGACCACACTATCTACCAAGATAGTGTGGTCTACAGACCGCACTTAACGAGCTGTATAAGGCCATAAGCAAACAAGAAAATGCTCATCCAGAAGCGGCGCTCCTAGTGGCCGGGGACTTTAATGCAGGCAAACTTAAATCCGTTTTACCTCATTTCTACCAGCATGTGCAACCAGAGGGAAAAAAACTAGACCACCTTTACTTCTCACGCAGAAAAACTTTCCCTCGTCCTCCATTTGAAAAATCTGACCATGCAAAAAACAAAAGCAGGAAGTACGAGTGACTCGCTCAATACGTTCCTTGGTGTCCACATCACCAACAATCCGTTTTACCTCATTTCTACCAGCATGTGCAACCAGAGGGAAAAAAACTAGACCACCTTTACTTCTCACGCAGAAAAACTTTCCCTCGCCCTCCATTTGAAAAATCTGACCATGCAAAAAACGAAAGCAGGAAGTACGAGTGACTCGCTCAATACGTTCCTTGGTGTCCACATCACCAACAAACTATCATGGTCCAATCACACCAAGACAGTCGTGCAGAGAGCACGACAACACCTTTTCCCCCTCAGGAGACTGAAAAGATTTGTCATGGGGTCCTCAGATCCTCAAAAAGTTCTACAGCTGCACCATCGAGAGCATCCTGACCGGTTGCATCACCGCCTGGTATGGCAACTGCTCCGCATCCGACCGTAAGGTGCTACAGAGGGTAGTGCGTACGGCCCAGTACATCACTGGGGACAAGGTTCCTGCCATCCAGGACCTACATACTAGGCGGTGTCAGAGGAAGGCCCAAACAATTGTTAGACTCCAGTCACCCTAGTCATAGACTGTTCTCTCTGCTACCGCACGGCAAAACGGTACCGGAGCGCCAAGTCTAGGTCCAAAAGGCTACTTAACAGCTTCTACCCCTAAGCCATAAGACTGCTGAACAATTAATCAAATGGCCACCTGGACTATTTGCATTGACCCCCACCCCCTTTGTTTTTACTCTGAAGAAATTCGGCTTGGCACCTAAAACCCTCACAAACTTTTACAGATGCACAATTGAGAGCATCCTGTCGGGCTCTATCACCACCTGGTACGGCAACTGCACCGCCCGCAACCGCAGGGCTCTCTAGAGGGTGGTGCGGTCTGCCGAACGCATTATCGGGGGCAAACTACCCGCCCCCGATGTCACAGGAAGGCCAAAAAGATAATCAAGGACATCAACCACCCGAGCCACTGCCTGTCCACCCCGCTATCATCCAGAAGGCGAGGTCAGTACAGGTGCATCAAAGCTGAGACCGAGAGAAGGAAAAACAGCTTCTATTTCAAGGCCATCAGAATGTTAAATAGCCATCACTAGCACATTAGAGGCTGCTGCTGCCTATTGAAATCACTGACCACTTTAAGAAATGGAACACTAGTCACTTTAATAATGTTTACAGTCACTTTAATAATGTTTACATATCTTGCACTACTCATCTCATATATACAGTGGGGGAAAAAAGTATTTAGTCAGCCACCAATTGTACAAGTTCTCCCACTTAAAAAGATGAGAGAGGCCTGTAATTTTCATCATAGGTACACGTCAACTATGACAGACAAAATGAGAATTTTTTTTCAAGAAAATCACATTGTAGGATTTTTAATGAATGTATTTGCAAATTATGGTGGAAAATAAGTATTTGGTCAATAACAAAAGTTTCTCAATACTTTGTTATATACCTTTTGTTGGCAATGACACAGGTCAAACGTTTTCTGTAGGTCTTCACAAGGTTTTCACACACTGTTGCTGGTATTTTGGCCCATTCCTCCATGCAGATCTACTCTAGAGCAGTGATGTTTTGGGGCTGTCGCTGGGCAACACGGACTTTCAACTCCCTCCAAAGATTTTCTATGGGGTTGAGATCTGGAGACTGGCTAGGCCACTCCAGGACCTTGAAATGCTTCTTACGAAGACACTCCTTCGTTGCCCGGGCGGTGTGTTTGGGATCATTGTCATGCTGAAAGACCCAGCCACGTTTCATCTTCAATGCCCTTGCTGATGGAAGGAGGTTTTCACTCAAAATCTCACGATACATGGCCCCATTCATTCTTTCCTTAACACGGATCAGTCGTCCTGGTCCCTTTGCAGAAAAACAGCCCCAAAGGATGATGTTTCCACCCCCATACTTCACAGTAGGTATGGTGTTCTTTGGATGCAACTCAACATTCTTTGTCCTCCAAACACGACGAGTAGAGTTTTTACCAAAAAGTTATATTTTGGTTTCATCTGACCATATGACATTCTCCCAATCCTCTTCTGGATCATCCAAATGCACTCTAGCAAACTTCAGACGGGCCTGGACATGTACTGGCTTAAGCAGGGGGACACGTCTTGCACTGCAGGATTTGAGTCCCTGGCGGCGTAATGTGTTACTGATGGTAGGCTTTGTTACTTTGGTCCCAGCTCTCTGCAGGTCATTCACTAGGTCCCCCCGTGTGGTTCTGGGATTTTTGCTCACCGTTCTTGTGATCATTTTGACCCCACGGGGTGAGATCTTGCGTGGAGCCCCAGATCGAGGGAGATTATCAGTGGTCTTGTATGTCTTCCATTTCCTAATAATTGCTCCCACAGTTGATTTCTTCAAACCAAGCTGCTTACCTATTGCAGATTCAGTCTTCCCAGCCTGGTGTAGGTCTACCATTTTGTTTCTGGTGTCCTTTGACAGCTCTTTGGTCTTGGCCATAGTGGAGTTTGGAGTGTGACTGTTTGAGGTTGTGGACAGGTGTCTTTTATACAGATAACAAGTTCAAACAGGTGCCATTAATACAGGTAACGAGTGGAGGACAGAGGAGCCTCTTAAAGAAGAAGTTACAGGTCTGTGAGAGCCAGAAATATTGCTTGTTTGTAGGTGACCAAATACTTATTTTCCACCATAGTTTTCAAATAAATTCATAAAAAATCCTACAATGTGATTTTCTGGATTATTTTCTTCTCAATTTGTCTGTCATAGTTGACGTGTACCTATGATGAAAATTACAGGCCTCTCTCATCTTTTTAAGTGGGAGAACTTGCACAATTGGTGGCTGACTAAATACTTTTTTCCCCCACTGTATATATATATATACTGCATTCTATTCTATAATATTCTACTGTATCTTAGTCCATGCCGCTCATTCATTGCTTGTCATTGCTTGTATATTTTCTTAAATTCTATTCCTTACTAGTTTTGTGTGTATTGGGTATATGTTGTGAAATTGTTAGATATTACTGCACTGTTGGAGCTAGAAGCACAAGCATTTCGCTACACCCGCTATAACATCTGCTAAACAAGTGTATGTGACAAATAGAATTTGATTTGATTTGCTGCTACTCGCTGTTTATTATCTATGTATAGTCACTTTACCCCTACCTACATGTACAAATTACCTCGACTAACCTGTACCCCCGCACATTGACTCGGTACCGGTACCCCCTGTATATAGCCTCGGTATTGTTATTTTATTGTGTTACTTTTTATTTTTTATTTTATTTAGTAAATATTGTCTTAACTCTATTTCTTGAACTGCATTGTTGGTTAAGGGCTTGTAAGTAAGCATTTCACGGTAAGGTTGTATTCGGCGCATGTGACAAATGAAATTTGATTTGATTTATTGCACTCTGAGTGAGTCCATGCAACTTACTACGTTACTTGTATTTAGGCTTGCCATAACAAAGGGGTTGACTCAAGACATTTCAGCTTTTTTTTTTTTTATTAATAAAACAATTCCACTTTGACACTATGGGTTATAGTGTGTAGACAACAAATCTACATTTAATCAGTTTTAAATTCAGGCTGTAACACAACAACATTTGGAAAAAGTCAAAGGGTATGAATACTTTCTGAAGGCACTGTAACTGGTGAACAGGTCATGAGCTGACATAAAATATGAAGGTTTATACACACTCCAGTTTGATAGTCTAACCATCTAACTTTGGGTTGAGTTAAGTACAAAACTGTTCACTACCATTCTGTGGCACTACAAAACTATGTGTGAACAACCACCATACATATCCACCCCTGCCAGACTCGCTATATGAAGAATAATTTGGCTACTAATAATGCAACAGTCAATTATATCAACTACGGTTACATGTAGGTTTTGAAATAACAGGCCAGGAAATTCAACGTTTCTCCTGTCTCTCTGTCTCTCGTCAGGACCACATGTATAACTGGGATGATGGTCTGAAACGTGACCACAGGCCGGAGCTGATTCCAGCATCCTCTGACATGAGCAAGGCACACAACTATCGCCACAACAACTTCTCCACCATCAAATCAGCATCACTGGTAAGGGTCAACACTCCTTTATCTCTCTAGCTTCATTTATCTCTCTCTCTTCTCTCCTCTCTCTCCACTATCCACTATCAAATCAGCATCACCGGTATCATAGGGCTAACATCATAGTTCGCTCTCCTTGGGGGATACCAAGTCTCCCTCATACTCTGTCCATCTTTCCCTCTTTCCTTTGTGTCTCGCATGCTGTCTCTCTCTAGCTTCCTCTTTCCTTTGTGTCTCGCATGCTGTCTCTCTCTAGCTTCCTCTTTCCTTTGTGTCTCGCATGCTGTCTCTCTCTAGCTTCCTCTTTCCTTTGTGTCTCGCATGCTGTCTCTCTCTAGCTTCCTCTTTCCTTTGTGTCTCGCATGATGTCTCTCTCTAGCTTCCTCTTTCCTTTGTGTCTCGCATGCTGTCTCTCTCTAGCTTCCTCTTTCCTTTGTGTCTCGCATGCTGTCTCTCTAGCTTCCTCTTTCCTTTGTGTCTCGCATGCTGTCTCTCTCTAGCTTCCTCTTTCCTTTGTGTCTCGCATGGTGTCTTTCTCTAGCTTCCTCTTTCCTTTGTGTCTCGCATGCTGTCTCTCTAGCTTCCTATTTCATTTGTGTCTCGCATGCTGTCTCTCTAGCTTCCTCTTTCCTTTGTGTCTCGCATGCTGTCTCTAGCTTCCTCTTTCCTTTGTGTCTCGCATGCTGTCTCTCTAGCTTCCTCTTTCCTTTGTGTCTCGCATGCTGTCTCTCTCTAGCTTCCTCTTTCCTTTGTGTCTCGCATGGTGTCTTTCTCTAGCTTCCTCTTTCCTTTCGTTATCTCTCGCGTCTCTCTCTCTTCTCTCTCTCTCTCTCTCTCCTTCCACTCACTCGACCCCTTTGTGTTCTCCCGGTTCTTCACTCTGCTTCTGCTCCACTTTACCTCCCTTTCTCTCTCCCTCTCTCCCTCTCTCCCTCTCTCCCTCCCTCTCTCCTTCTCTCCCTCCCTCTCTCCTTATCTCCCTCCCTCCCTCTCTTTCTCTCCCTCCCTCTCTCATTCTCTCCTGTACTTTTCCCCTCACTAATATATCACTCTCCGACCCCCTCTGGTTTAAGTCCGGAGGGATGCAGTGCAGTATGGAGTAAGATTACCCTCCTTGCCTCTCTCTCGCTCTTTCTCTCTCCATGTATGTTGTCATGGATACAAGGTTCCAGTAAGTAGTCAGTCAGTCAGTCATTCAGTTGCAATGGTGTCTACGGTCTGTCTGTCCTCCCACTGGATTTAATGGTGTCTATGGTCTGTCTGTCCTCCCTGGACTGGCTTTGGGACTGTGGGAACTGTGTGTCCTTAACATGGCATGTGTTAGCTAGTTTACCTGACTGGGGTTTACTGTGGTGGATATTTGGTTCTGACTGCCATAGGTAGTGTTTAATTCATCCTTTATCAATAGTGTGAAATCAGCGCTGTAATGACTGTTAATCAAATGAATTGGTTGTTCACTTGGTTGTTGTTTCAGGAGTCAGGGTATAGTGGTGTTGATTCCACATTGCGGTAGGTATGAGTTGCGTGGAGTCTGTTGCTGCTGCGATGAGTCGATGACATCACCACTTTCTGCCGCCGTGAGGCGAGCACACGTCCCCAGATGGACCGGCACTGCTCGCTCAGACTGGAAAGAACAGGTAGAGAGAGGGGAGGGGGAGAGAGAGGGAGAGATAATGACATAATGTAGAGGGAAGGAGTAAAGAAATGGGATGGGCAGAGAGGAGAAAAACAATAGATAGATGGAGAGGGAGGGAGGAAGACTAAAGGAGGAAGACTAAAGGAGGAAGACTAAAGGAGGAAGACTAATGGAGGAAGGCTAATGGAGAAAGACTAATGGAGGAAGACTAAAGGAGAAAGACTAAAGGAGAGAGAGCGGGAGAGAAGTGTGGTGCACTCTGTCTGATCTCACTGAATGAAGCGTTAGATATCAGTTAAGAGGAAAGGGGAAGGAGAGAAAGAGAAGTAAAGAGAGATGGTGATACCCATCTGGAGGACAGAGAGATGGTGACACCCATCTGGAGGACAGAGAGATGGTGACACCCATCTGGAGGACAGAGTGATGGTAAAACCCATCTGGAGAACAGAGGGATGGTAATACCCATCTGGAGGACAGAGGGATGGTTATACCCATCTGGAGGACAGAGGGATGGTAATACCCATCTGGAGGACAGAGAGATGGTAATACCCATCTGGAGAACAGAGGGATGGTGAAACCCATCTGGAGGACAGAGAGATGGTGACACCCATCTGGAGGACAGAGTGATGGTAATACCCATCTGGAGAACAGAGGGATGGTAACACCCATCTGGAGAACAGAGGGATGGTAATACCCATCTGGAGGACAGAGGGATGGTAATACCCATCTGGAGGACAGAGGGATGGTAATACCCATCTGGAGAACAGAGGGATGGTGAGACCCATCTGGAGAACAGAGGGATGGTGAGACCCATCTGGAGAACAGAGAGATGGTGAGACCCATCTGGAGAACAGAGAGATGGTGAGACCTGTCCACAGGTAACAAACTGAGATTAGGAGCACTCCCTTTAAGAGTGTGCTCCTAATCTCAACTCGTTACCTGTATAAAAGACACCTGGGAGCCAGAAATCTTTCTGATTGAGAGGGGGTCAAATACTTTTTTCCCTCACTGTACAGTACCAGTCAAAAGTTTGGACACACCTACTCATTCAAGGGTTTTTCTTTATTTTACAATTTTCTACATTGTAGAATAATAGTGAAGGCATAAACTATGAAATAACACATATGGACATTCTGAGGCCTCTGTTTCCTCTCTCCGTCCTCATAGCTTCACCATACAGTGAGCACCATAATTAATTGGACAGTGACCATTCTTTTGTTATTTTGGTTCTGTACTCTAGCACTTTGAGTTTGAAAGGATACAATGACAATGAGGGTGAAGTGCAGACTGTCAACTTTAATTTGAGAGTATGTTCGTACATATCGGATGAACCGTTTAGAGATTATAGAACCTTTTGTACATGGTCCCCCACATTTTCGGGCATCAAAAAACATTGGACAGTTTAACATAATGTAGAATAAAGTAATCATTGTTAATATTTGGTCGCATATCCTTTGCATGCAATGACTGCTTGAAGTCTGCGATGCATCGACATCACCAGACGCTGGGTATCTTCCCTGGTGATGCTCTGCCAGGCCTGTACTGCAGCCATCTTCAGTTCCTGCTTGTTTCGGGGACTTTTGCCTTCAGTCTCCTCTTCAGCATGTAAAATGCATGTTCAATTGGATTCAGATCCGGTGATTGACTCGGCCAGTCAAGGATTTTCCACTTATTGGCCATCAAAAACCCCTTCGTTGCTCTAGCAGTATGTTTAGGGTCATTGTCTTGTTGCATGATGAAGTGCTGAGCAGATAAAATACTTTCAGAATTCATTGTTCTACTTCTGTCTGCAGTCACATCATCGATGAAGACAAGTGAGCCTGTTCCACTGGCAGCCATACAGGCCCAAGCCATAACACCCCCTCCACCATGTTTCACGGATGAGGTGGTATGCTTTGGATCATGGGCATTTCTTTTTTTTTCTCCACACTTTCCTTTCTTTTTGGGGCTCTTTTAGGTGCTTTTTAGCAAACTGTAATCTCGCCTTTCTGTTCTTCAGGCTTATCAGTGGTTTGCATCTTGTAGTGTACCCTCTGTAGTCCTGCTGGTGTAGTCTTCTACATATGGTAGACTTTGACACATCTACACCTGCATCCAGGAGAGTGTTTTTGATCTGTTGGGCTGTTGTCAGGGGAGTTTTCTTCACCATAGAGAGTATTTTCCGGTCATCCACTACAGTGGTCTTCCTCGGTCTACCGTGTCTTTTGACATAATTGAGTTCACCGGTTGTTTTTTTCTTGTTAATGATGAACCAAACTGTTGACTTGGGCATGGCCAGGGTTTTTGCAATGTTCCTGATTTATTGATTTTCATTTCTGAGCCTTATGACGGCCAGCTTCATTTGCATCGACACTGCTGTCTTCCTCATGTTGTCACACCCCAACAACAACCTCCAAAGGCAATAGCAAAGTCTAGAATCATTACTATTCAGCAACAGCTCTCCTGCATTCACTATGACACAAATGAATACACCTGCCTAACGACACACATCTGTGAAGCCAATTTAACAAATACTTGTAGTACCTTAAAATGGGGGGACCATGTACAAAAGGTGCAGTCATTTCTAAACGGTTCATCCGATATGTATGAAAATACCCTCAAATTAAAGCTGACAGTCTGCACTTCACCGTCATTGTATCCTTTCAAACTCAAAGTGCTAGAGTACAGAACCAAAATAACAAAAAAATAGTCACTGTCCAATGAATTATGGAGCTCACTGTATGTCACTTAAGTTATGTTAACCCTCTCCTCCCCTATCCTCTCCTCTGCTCTCCTCCCCTATCCTCTCCTCTCCTCTCCTCCCCTATCCTCTCCTCTGCTCTCCTCTCCTCTCCTCTGCTCTCCTCCCCTCTCCTCTCCTCTGCTCTCCTCCCCTATCCTCTCCTCTCCTCTGCCCTCCTCTCCTCTCCTCTCCTCTCCTCTCCTCTCCTCTCCTCTCCTCTCCTCTCCTCTCCTCTCCTCTCCTCTCCTCTCCTCTCCTCTCCTCTCCTCCCCTCTGCTCTCCTCCCCTATCCTCTCCTCTCCTCTGCCCTCCTCTCCTCTGCTCTCTTCCCCTCTCCTCTCCTCTCCTCTCCTCTCCTCTCCTCTCCTCTCCTCTCCTCTCCTCTCCTCTCCTCTCCTCTCCTCTCCTCTCCTCTCCTCTCCTCTCCTCTCCTATCCTCTCCTCCTCTCCTCTCCTCTCCTCTCTCTCCTCCTCCTCTCCTCTGGTCTCCTCGTCTCCTATCCTCTCCTCTCCTATCCTCTCCTCTCCTCCCTATCCTCTCCTCTGCTCTCCTCTCCTTCCTCTGCTCTCCTCCCTCTCCTCTCCTCTGCCCTATCCTCTCCTCTCTCTCCTCCCTCCTCTGCCTCTCCTCCTCTCTCTCCTCTCCCTCCTCTCCTCTCCTCTCCCTCTCCTCTCCTCTCCCTCCTCTCCTCTCCTCCCTATACTCTCCTCCCTATCCTCTCCTCTCCTCTGCCCTCCTCTCCTCTGCTCTCTTCCCCTCTCCTCTCCTCTCCTCTCCTCTCCCTCCTCCCTCTCCTCTCCTCTCCTCTCCTCTCCTCTCCTCTCCTCTCCTCCCTCCTCTCCTCTCCTCTCCTCCTCTCCTCTCCTCTCCTCTCCTCTCCTCTCCTCTCTCCCTCTCCTCTCCTCCTCCCTCTCCTCTCCTCTCCTCTCCTCTCCTCTCCTCTCCTCTCCTCTCCTCTCCTCTCCTCTCCTCTCCTCTTCTCTCCTCTCCTCTCCTCTCCTCTCCTATCCTCTCCTCTGCTCTCCTCCCCTATCCTCTCCTCTCCTCTGCCCTCCTCTCTTCTGGTCTCCTCCCCTATCCTCTCCTCTGCTCTCCTTTCCTCCACATACAACATCCTGTTTTCTTTTCAGAGAGAAAAGCATTTAAATTGTGACATTTTGAAATGGCTAAACATTTCAATAAGATAGAATACTACATCTCAATATAAACTCAGCAAAAAAAGAAACGTCCCTATTTCAGGACCCTGTCTTTCAAAGATAATTCGTAAAAATCAAAATAACTTCACATATCTTCATTGTAAAGGGTTTAAACACTGTTTCCCATGCTTGTTCAATGAACCATAAACAATTAATGAACATGCACCTGTGGAACGGTCGTTAAGACACTAACAGCTTACAGACGGTAGGCAATTAAGGTCAAAGTTATGAAAACTTAGGACACTAAAGAGGCCTTTCTACTGACTCTGAAAAACACCAAAAGAAAGATGCCCAGGGTCCCTGCTCATCTGCGTGAACGTGCCTTAGGCATGCTGCAAGGAGGCATGAGGACTGCAGATGTGGCCAGGGCAATAAATTGCAATGTCCGTACTGTGAGACGCCTAAGACAGGACGGACAGCTGATCATCCTCGCAGTGGCAGACCACGTGTAACAACACCTGCACAGGATCGATACATCCGAACATCACAGGTACAGGATGGCAACAACAACTGCCCGAGTTACACCAGGAACGCACAATCCCTCCATCAGTGCTCAGACTGTCCGCAATAGGCTGAGAGAGGCTAGACTGAGGGCTTGTAGGCCTGTTTTAAGGCAGGTCCTCACCAGACATCACCGGCAACAACGTCGCCTATGGGCACAAACCCACCGTCGCTGGACCATACAGGACTGGCAAAAAGTGCTCTTCACTGACGAGTCGCGGTTGTCTCACCAGGGGTGATGGTTGGATTTGCGTTTATTGACGAAGAAGTGAGCGTTACACCGAGGCCTGTACTCTGGAGTGGGATCGATTTGGAGGTGGAGGGTCCGTCATGGTCCGGGGCGGTGTGTCAAAGCATCATCGGACTGAGCTTGTTGTCATTGCAGGCAATCTCAACGCTGTGTGTTACAGGGAAGACATCCTCCTCCCTCATGTGGTACCCTTCCTGCAGGCTCATCCTGACATGACCCTCCAGCATGACAATGCCACCAGCCATACTGCTTGTTCTGTGTGTGATTTCCTGCAAGTCAGGAATGTCAGTGTTCTACCATGGCCAGCGAAGAGCCCGGATCTCAATCCCATTGAGCACGTCTGGGACCTGTTGGATCGGAGGGTGAGGGCTAGGGCCATTCCCCCCCCCAGAAATGTCCGGGAACTTGCAGGTGCCTTGATGGAAGAGTGGGGTAACATCTCACAGCAAGAACTGGCAAATCTGGTGCAGTCCATGAGGAGGAGATGCACTGCAGTACTTAATGCAGCTGGTGGCCACACCAGATACTGACTGTTACTTTTGATTTTGACCCCCCCTTTGTTCAGACACATTATTCAATTTCTGTTAGTCACATGTCTGTGGAACTTGTTCAGTTTATGTCTCAGTTGTTGAATCTTGTTATGTTCATACAAATATTTACACATGTTAAGAATGCTGAAAAAAAACGCAGTTGACAGTGAGGACGTTTCTTTTTTTGCTGAGTTTATAAGTCAAAATACACTGTACAAAACATTAAGAACACCTGCTCTTTCTATTAAATAGACTGACCAGGTGAAAGCTATGATCCCTTATTGATATCACATGTTAAATCCTCTTCAATCAGTGTAGATGAAGGGGAGGAGACAGGTTAAAGAAGGATTTTTAAGCCTTGAGACAATTGAGACATGGATTGTGTATGTGTGCCATTCAGAGGGTGACTGGGCAAGACAAAATATTTAAGTGCCTTTGAATGGGGTATGGTAGTAGGTGACAGGCACACATGTTGGAATGTGTCAAGAACTGCAACGCTGCTGGGTTTTAGACGCTTAACAGTTTCCCGTGTGTTTCAAGAATGGTCCACCACCCAAAGGACATCCAGCCAACTTGACACAAATGTGGGAAGCATTGGAGTCAACATGGACCAGCATCCCTGTGAAACGCTTGACACCTTGTAGTCCATGCCCAGATGAATTGAGGCTGTTCTGAGGGCAAAAGAGGGTGCAAATCAATATTAGGAAGGTGTTCCTAATGTTTTGTACACTCAGTAAGACTTTTTTTCAAAACACACATTAAGGCTCCCTTGATCAACCAGGTCATTGGCTGAGTGGCTTACCTGGCGAAAGGTCAACTAAACAAAAATGTCCTCACAATCCAATAAATCTTAATAACCTTTGACCTGGAAGTGTTCCCCCCTGGATCATAATTCCCTCCTAGAGCCCAGGCTGTGAATGGTGATCACATGACGTGACTTGGCCTGTGGTGGCAGCAAGGTGAAAGCAAGTGATTAGGATTGGCTCTACATTACAGTAGGAGTATTGATTCAGATAGATTAGGAGGGGATCTCTCACTCTCTCAACCTCTCTCTACTTCTCTCCCTCTCTCTCCCTCCCTCTCTCCGTCTCTCACTCTCTCAACCTCTCTCTACTTCTCTCCCTCTCTCTCTCACTCTCTCAACCTCTCTCTACTTCTCTCCCTCTCTCTCTCTCACTCTCTCAACCTCTCTGTACTTCTCTCACTCTCTCAACCTCTCTCTACTTCTCTCTACTTCTCTCTCTCTCTCTCTCCCTCCCCCTCTCCGTCTCTCAAAGAGGCTTTCATGTGACCCACCTGCTGAACGCGGCCGCTCGGCCCCCAAAGAGCCCCCTCTGTTCTGCCTGTCCGTGGAGTCTGCTCCCTCTCCCTCCCTCATTCACACTTTCTTCGCCCCTGTGTAGCCCACAGCCGCCGCGTTTGTACAAATTTGTTTGTCTAAACGTTAACCAACCAGTGGGTTTGTTGCTGGGCTGGCTGAAGCTGAGCTGAGGGGTTTTGGGCGTAGGATATACCACACATGGTTTCTGGATGCTCGCGTGGCTGTTGAACATGAACGTTGCGATGATGCTTGGCCTTAAGAAGAGGAGTTATGAGAAGATGATGGACTACTATGGGGATCTGGATAGTCCCTTTTGTCAGGTTTGGTTTGTTTGTCATCTTGACTCTTTAGATTGTTGTGACTTGGACTAACTTGACTTGACTTAGTTAGATTGTTGTGAGGTTGGTATGAATGCATTGGTACTGATTGCCTTTCAAGAGTGTTGCCGTTGGTTGATGGTGGTGCTTTGCTTTGTACTGTATAGGGAGATTGATCTGTCAGCAGACCAGTGTTATAGACTCACCTGTCAGTGTGACTTGACTTTGTTAAAGCCTATCAAACCTCTTTCAGTTAGCTTCATTATAGGCTCTCTTGACTGTGCCATTGAGGGTATAGTGTAATCTTTGGCTGCCAGATTAAGGTGTTGTGTTATCCTGTTGTCTCTCTCTTTCTCTCATTCTCTCTCTACTCTCGGTCTCTCGCTCTCTAGTCCACTCATAAAGTCAATCTAAGCTGATTAACCAGTTGGAGTTCAATCAAATCTGTATGAACAGGGTAATTGGTCAATCTTGAAGACCAATGTTGGATCTACTCCTCCCTCCTCCTCCTGTCTAATGTTGGATCTACTCCTCCCTCCTCCTCCTGTCTAATGTTGGATCTACTCCTCCCTCCTCCTCCTGTCTAATGTTGGATCTACTCCTCCCTCCTCCTCCTGTCTAATGTTGGATCTACTCCTCCCTCCTCCTCCTGTCTAATGTTGATCTACTCCTCCTCCCATTGGATCGACTCCCCCCTCCTGTCTAATGTTGGATCTACTCCTCCCTCCTCCTCCTGTCTAATGTTGGATCTACTCCTCCCTCCTCCTCCTGTCTAATGTTGGATCTACTCCTCCCTCCTCCTCCTGTCTAATGTTGGATCTACTCCTCCCTCCTCCTCCTGTCTAATGTTGGATCTACTCCTCCCTCCTCCTCCTGTCTAATGTTGGATCTACTCCTCCCTCCTCCTCCTGTCTAATGTTGGATCTACTCCTCCCTCCTCCTCCTGTCTAATGTTGGATCTACTCCTCCCTCCTCCTCCTGTCTAATGTTGGATCTACTCCTCCCTCCTCCTCCTGTCTAATGTTGGATCTACTCCTCCCTCCTCCTCCTGTCTAATGTTGGATCTACTCCTCCCTCCTCCTCCTGTCTAATGTTGGATCTACTCCTCCCTCCTCCTCCTGTCTAATGTTGGATCTACTCCTCCCTCCTCCTCCTGTCTAATGTTGGATCTACTCCTCCCTCCTCCTCCTGTCTAATGTTGGATCTACTCCTCCCTCCTCCTCCTGTCTAATGTTGGATCTACTCCTCCCTCCTCCTCCTGTCTAATGTTGGATCTACTCCTCCCTCCTCCTCCTGTCTAATGTTGGATCTACTCCTCCCTCCTCCTCCTGTCTAATGTTGGATCTACTCCTCCCCTCCTCCTCCTGTCTAATGTTGGATCTACTCCTCCCTCCTCCTCCTGTCTAATGTTGGATCTACTCCTCCCTCCTCCTCCTGTCTAATGTTGGATCTACTCCTCCCTCCTCCTCCTGTCTAATGTTGGATCTACTCCTCCCTCCTCCTCCTGTCTAATGTTGGATCTACTCCTCCTCCCTCCTCCCCTGTCTAATGTTGGATCTACTCCTCCCCTCCTCCTCCTGTCTAATGTTGGATCTACTCCTCCTCCTCCTCCTTCTAATGTTGGATCTACTCCTCCCTCCTCCTCCTGTCTATGTGGATCTACTCCTCCCTCCTCCTCCTGTCTAATGTTTGGATCTACTCCTCCCTCCTCCTCCTGTCTAATGTTGGATCTACTCCTCCTCCCTCCTCCTCCTGTCTAATGTTGGATCTACTCTCCCTCCTGCTCCTGTCTAATGTTGGATCTACTCCTCCCTCCTCCTCCTGTCTAATGTTGGATCTACTCCTCCCTCCTCCTCCTGTCTAATGTTGGATCTACTCCTCCCTCCTCCTCCTGTCTAATGTTGGATCTACTACTCCTCCCTCCTCCTCCTGTCTAATGTTGGATCTAACTCCTCCCCTCCTCCTCCTGTCTAATGTTGGATCTACTCCCTCCTCCTCCTGTCTAATGTTGGATCTACTCCTCCCTCCTCCTCCTGTCTAATGTTGGATCTACTCCTCCCCTCCTCCTCCTGTCTAATGTTGGATCTACTCCTCCCTCCCCTGTCTAATGTTTGGATCTACCCTCCCTCCTCCTGTCTAATGTTTGGATCTACTCCTCCCTCCTCCTCCTGTCTAATGTTGGATCTACTCCTCCTCCTCCCTGTCTAATGTTGGATCTACTCCTCCCCCCCTGTCTAATGTTGGATCTACTCCTCCCTCCTCCTCCTGTCTAATGTTGGATCTACTCCCTCCCCTCCTCCTGTCTAATGTTGGATCTACTCCTCCCTCCTCCTCCTGTCTAATGTTGGATCTACTCCTCCCTCCTGCTCCTGTCTAATGTTGGATCTACTCCTCCCTCCTGCCTCCTGTCTAATGTTGGATCTACTCCTCCCTCCTCCTCCTGTCTAATGTTGGATCTACTCCTCCCTCCTCCTCCTGTCTAATGTTGGATCTACTCCTCCCTCCTCCTCCTGTCTAATGTTGGATCTACTCCTCCCTCCTCCTGTCTAATGTTGGATCTACTCCTCCCTCCTCCTCCTGTCTAATGTTGGATCTACTCCTCCCTCCTCCTCCTGTCTAATGTTGGATCTACTCCTCCCTCCTCCTCCTGTCTAATGTTGGATCTACTCCTCCCTCCTCCCCCTGTCTAATGTTGGATCTACTCCTCCCTCCTCCTCCTGTCTAATGTTGGATCTACTCCTCCCTCCTCCTCCTGTCTAATGTTGGATCTACTCCTCCCTCCTCCTCCTGTCTAATGTTGGATCTACTCCTCCCTCCTCCTCCTGTCTAATGTTGGATCTACTCCTCCCTCCTCCTCCTGTCTAATGTTGGATCTACTCCTCCCTCCTCCTCCTGTCTAATGTTGGATCTACTCCTCCCTCCTCCTCCTGTCTAATGTTGGATCTACTCCTCCCTCCTCCCCCTGTCTAATGTTGGATCTACTCCTCCCTCCTCCTCCTGTCTAATGTTGGATCTACTCCTCCCTCCTCCTCCTGTCTAATGTTGGATCTACTCCTCCCTCCTCCTCCTGTCTAATGTTGGATCTACTCCTCCCTCCCTCCTCCTGTCTAATGTTGGATCTACTCCTCCCTCCTCCTCCTGTCTAATGTTGGATCTACTCCTCCCTCCTCCTCCTGTCTAATGTTGGATCTACTCCTCCCTCCTGCTCCTGTCTAATGTTGGATCTACTCCTCCCTCCTCCTCCTGTCTAATGTTGGATCTACTCCTCCCTCCTCCTCCTGTCTAATGTTGGATCTACTCCTCCCTCCTCCTCCTGTCTAATGTTGGATCTACTCCTCCCTCCTCCTCCTGTCTAATGTTGGATCTACTCCTCCCTCCTCCTCCTGTCTAATGTTGGATCTACTCCTCCCTCCTCCTCCTGTCTAATGTTGGATCTACTCCTCCCTCCTCCCCCTGTCTAATGTTGGATCTACTCCTCCCTCCTCCTCCTGTCTAATGTTGGATCTACTCCTCCCTCCTCCTCCTGTCTAATGTTGGATCTACTCCTCCCCCCTGTCTAATGTTGGATCTACTCCTCCCTCCTCCTCCTGTCTAATGTTGGATCTACTCCTCCCTCCTCCTCCTGTCTAATGTTGGATCTACTCCTCCCTCCTCCTCCTGTCTAATGTTGGATCTACTCCTCCCCCTGTCTAATGTTGGATCTACTCCTCCCTCCTCCTCCTGTCTAATGTTGGATCTACTCCTCCCTCCTCCTCCTGTCTAATGTTGGATCAACTCCTCCCTCCTCCTCCTCTCTAATGTTGGATCTACTCCTCCCCCTGTCTAATGTTGGATCTACTCCTCCCTCCTTTCCAATCCGTGCAGATGAAGGGCAGTAGAAGAGGAGACAGATTTTTAAGTAATTGAGATAGAGCGTTGGTGTACCCCATACCTTTTGGCCTCTGACCTCAGTGACCCTAACTACCTTTCCGATTGGTTGGTTGATTGATTAAATCCCCTCCACAGGTAACCAAGCAGATCCATCAGCATGAGCAGGAGAATGAGCTGCGGGAGCAGATGTCGGGGTATAAACGGATGAGACGGCAGCACCAGAAGCAGCTGATCGCTCTGGAGAACAAGCTGAAGGCAGAGATGGACGAACACCGACTGAAGCTGCAGAAGGAGGTGGAGACCCAGGCCAACAATGCCCACATAGAGCTGGAGAAACTGGCCAAGAGACACACCGTCCACTGTGAAAAAGAGGTGGGTCTGGGGATGGGGTGAGGGAGGGAGGGATGGAAGGGGGGGTTCTGTCCTGTCCTGGAGAAGTGCCATGCCGTCCACACAAAGAAGGTGTCTGGGGAGGAAGAGAGGACAACTTGCTCATGTTATGGGTTGGGCATTGCTGCCACCCAATGTCAAGACGCTGTTAAAAAGCAAACCAGGTCATCTGTAACTCTGCAGATTATAGGTTAACCTCCATGGTCCTCCTTGGCATACACTAACACAAACAACACTAACAACATTAACACTAACAACACTAACACAAACAACACTAACAACATTAACATTAACAACACTAACACTAACAGATACACTAACAACATTAACACTAACAACACTAACACAAACAACACTAACAACATTAACAGCCAGAAAGCTTGCTAGCAAAACAACATTAGCCATGTGTCGTTTTCTCCATGTGTTCCTCTCTCACATACAAGACCCCTTCACAGCTAACTAACATCTCTGCCTCTCTCCACCTCCCCTTATTTCCCCACCCCTCTCTCCCCCCTCTCTCTATCTCTCTCCCCCTCCCTCCATTCCCCTGTCTCTCTCTCACTTCCTCTCTCTCTCTCCCTCCCCTTCTCTCCCCACCCCCTCTTTCTCCCTCCCTCCCTACATCCCCCCGTCTCTCTCGCTCTCTTTCCCTCTCTCTGCCCCTCCCTCTGTCTCCCTCTCTCTCTCATCTCCCCTCAGATGAAGACAACGTCATCAGATGAGAAGAAGTTCCAGCAGCAGATAGTGTCCCAGCAGAAGAAGGATCTCACCACCTTCCTGGATAACCAGAAGAAGCAGTACAAACTCTGCAAGGAGAAGATTAAAGAGGTCCACTATTCCCCCTTTCCCAGCCTCACACTATATGCTCTGTATTGGGCTGAGTTGAATCGATCCTTAGTACAAGCTCTGCTAGGAAAAGATTTGAGGTCGCAACACTGTTTGTTTATGTCCTCGAGCTAGCTAGTACACTACTGATCCTCTTATAATGCCTCTATAGTATGAATCATCTCAGCACCCATGACACATCTAATATTCTATGTATTGCGATGGGTGGAATCAACCATCCTACGAATACACACACACACACACACACACACACACACACACATACAAGCTAGCACAAACATACACAAGTACAGTATGTTCGTTTATCGTGCAGTTTCATTTCACTGAGGAGGAGCTGAGTCACTCCTCCTACTCACTACACACACACACACACACATTCTGTTTATGTTTCTAACAACCTTGACGCACTGTTTCTCAGAACTGGATCCATTGTTGTGAACAGAACTAGGCCATCTCAGTTAACAGACATTGTTGGCCAGGACTGATATTCCCCAACAAACTGTAGGTAGAGATGAATTATTCCCCAACAAACTGTAGGTAGAGATGAATTATTCCCCAACAAACTGTACAACAAACTGTAGGTAGAGATGAATTATTCCACAACAAACTGTAGGTAGAGATGAATTATTCCACAACAAACTGTTCCCCACACAGAGAGAGCAGCATCAGTGTGTTAAGTGCATTAGCTAGAAAGTGGATTAAGACATGGTAATTGTGTCCCAAATGGCCCCCTACTCCATTTAGTGCACTACTTTTGACCACAACCCAAAAGTAGTGCACTAAATATGTAGTAGGTTACGATTTGGGATGCAGCCTTGGATTTAGCCTAACATCCATGAAGCAGAATGGGGACCGACACCAGCTGATGGGATAGTTTACCCAGAAACTGAGGCTCTGTGATGCAACCTGAGTCAAGTTGGTGACAGAGGGACTTCTGTTTGGCCATGAGCTAGAGCAGGCAGGAGCGACAGTACCTGATAATGTGCATTTCACACAGTTTCCAAATCACTAGCTACAGTGAGGGAAAAAAGTATTTGATCCCCTGCTGATTTTGTACGTTTGCCCACTGACAAAGAAATTATCAGTCTATAATTTTAATGGTAGGTTTATTTGAACAGTGAGAGACATAATAACAACAAACAAATCCAGAAAAACACATGACAAAAATGTTATAAATTGATTTGCATTTTAATGAGGGAAATAAGTATTTGACCCCCTCTCAATCAGAAAGATTTCTGGCTCCCAGGTGTCTTATATACAGGTAATGAGCTGAGATTAGGAGCACACTCTTAAAGGGAGTGCTCCTAATCTCAGCTTGTTACCTGTATAAAAGACACCTGTCAACAGAAGCAATCAATCAATCAGATTCCAAACTCTCCTACATGGCCAAGACCAAAGAGCTCTCCAAGGATGTCAGGGACAAGATTGTAGACCTACACAAGGCTAGAATGGGCTACAAGACCATCGCCAAGCAGCTTGGTAAGAAGGTGACAACAGTTGGAGCGATTATTTGCAAATGGAAGAAACACAAAAGAACTGTCAATCTCCCTCGGCCTGGGGCTCCATGCAAGATCTCACCTCATGTGAGTTGCAATGATCATGAGAACGGTGAGGAATCAGCCCAGAACTACACGGGAGGATCTTGTCAATGATCTCAAGCCAGCTGGGACCATAGTCACCAAGAAAACAATTGGTAACAAATTACGCTGTGAAGGACTGAAATCCTGCAGCGCCCGCAAGGTCCCCCTGCTCAAGAAAGCACATATACAGGCCCGTCTGAAGTTTGCCAATGAACATCTGAATGATTCAGAGGAGAACTGGGTGAAAGTGTTGTGGTCAGATGAGACCAAAATCGAGCTCTTTGGCAACAACTCAACTCGCCGTGTTTGGAGGAGGAGGAACGCTGCCTATGACCCCAAGAACACCATCCTCACCGTCAAACATGGAGGTGGAAACATTATGCTTTGGGGGTGTTTTTCTGCTAAGGGGACAGGACAACTTCACCGCATCACAGGGACGATGGACGGGGCCATGTACTGTCAAATCTTGGGTAAGAACCTCCTTCCCTCAGCCAGGGCATTGAAAATGGGTCGTGGATGGGTATTCCAGCATGACAATTATCCAAAACACACGGCCAAGGCAACAAAGGAGTGGCTCAAGAAGAAGCACATTAAGGTCCTGGAGGGGCCTAGCCAGTCTCCAGACCTTAATCCCATAGAAAATCTGTGGAGGGAGCTGAAGGTTCGAGCTGCCAAACGTCAGCCTCGAAACCTTAATGACTTGGAGAAGATCTGCAAAGAGGAGTGGGACAAAATCCCTCCTGAGATGTGTGCAAACCTGGTGGCAAACTACAAGAAACGTCTGACCTCTGTGATTGCCAACAAGGGTTTTGCCACCAAGTACTAAGTCATGTTTTGCAGAGGGGTCAAATACTTATTTCCCTCATTAAAATGCAAATCAATTTATAACATTTTTGACATGCGTTTTTCTGGATTTTTATTTTTTTATTCTGTCTCTCACTGTTCAAATAAACCTACCATTAAAATTATAGACTGATCATGTCTTTGTCAGTGGGCAAACGTACAAAATCAGCAGGCGATCAAATACTTATTTCCCTCACTGTAAGTACTTTAAGATATATTTCACTCCAGAGTCAAATCATGTGAGATGTTTTCACGCCTCAGACGTGTTCCAAGGTGGAATTGAGTGCACCATCTCCACAGTCTGTTGTTGTATATTAGCCAGAAATAGATGTCCTTGTTATATTATAACTTAGCGTCCTATTATGACCTCTGTGTCCACCCCCTCATATACCCCCATATTCCCTTGATATAGATGACCCCAGAGCCATATATTTAGTGAGTTGGGCCAACTTGTAGAATTTGGAATATTGTTCTAATTCTAGACATTCAGTTACATAGTATTGTTTAAATCATAGAATTAAGAATTAGAATACTAGAATGGTCATGAACCTTCTTATGATGGGATAAAGGTCAGCCATTTTGGTCAGGGAGTTGGTCAACCATGGTTTTCCAGTCCTGTGATAAGATATTGTATAAAATAATGAATTTGAAGAATGTATCTGCACTGTATGTTTGATCGCTAGCCAGACAGTTTTAGAGGAATTATTCCATTATATGTTTTTTATTAACTACCAATATGCCAACATTCCATTCAAACAATGCAGGCAATCCACTGGCTGAAATCAGTTGATGATAGGACATAGACAAGGTGTAAATGCAACCAGTGCTGATATTGTATCATATAATAGCACTCACAGCTTTCCAAGAAAACTAAAATGGAGACATGTATGTTCTGTTTCCATTTATTCTAGAGGCTATTTTTACAGATTTTTTTTATATAACCTGTATAAACTGTATTTATAATTATATGACAATATTTTAGGTTGACAATCATTCTATTGCACAATTTCTGATGTATCACATGCCTTACTTTTATTGGCCTGCATAAATAAAATCAGGATTATGCCTCTATACTGCCATTCATTCCAATTAGACTGGTTTGGATTTCTCCCTGACCAATATGGCTGCCATTTTCACCCCATTCTGGAACTTTGAGGGTTTATGACATAGCCCCTCTAGTAATTGAATAGGTCAATAGAACTCGACCAAAACAATGGAAATGCCATGGAAACGCTTTGGGGAAAGATACCGTGGGGGAAAGATCCCGAATCTCCTCGTTGCCCCCCAGCAAAATTAGCCTATATTTAGGATATTGTATATATGTGTATTTCACACTATGTTGAGGTAAAAATCTGAGTATAATGCTTGTATGGATGTCAACCCCAATACATGTTAATGTCATTGTCACCAATCAACTGCATTTGATTTTACTACCAACACCAATTTCTGTATGCCAGCTACGCTACCAGTTTACATGTATACGAGTTAGCATTTAGCAGTCACTTCTAAATCTCAAATGGGACGACTTCTAAATGTAATGCAGCTAAATCGAATTTTAGTAACCACATGGTGGGCCTGTTACAATACATCAATCATGACGGATTTGAGGAATATCCACTTTGTTAGATCAGATGTGTTGAATGTGGGCCAATCCAGCGTCCTTCTACCCCCCACGGTCTGCGTTCCAATGACCTCTTTATCGCAATATGGAATGTTAACGGGGAGCTAATATGGCTGCCATAGAATGTTGTAGTGTAATGGAAATGCATCATAATGGTCATTCTAGACATTCAGTTTTATAGTGTTTTAAAAAAATATTCCCAATGTAATGTTAACGGGGAGCTAACATGGCTGCTATAGAATATTGAAGTGTCATGTAAATGCATCATAATGCAGAAACTGCATTGGCTCATCTCTAAATATATTGCTCTGGAGGACCCTTTATATCTTTTAGATAATGAGATGATCTGCTGCACACCTGACCATTAGACAGGAGACAATGTATATCATGGACTGTTATATATCCGTAACAATATCCTCTGTCTCTCCCCATCTTCCAGGAGATGAATGACGACCACCACACCCCTAAGAAGGAGAAGCAGGAGCGCCTGTCGAAGCACAAGGAGAACCTGCAACACAGCCAGGCTGAGGAGGAGGCCCAGGTCCTGAGCCAACAGAGGGCCTTCTACGACAGGAACTGCAGAGGCTTCAAACGCAAAGTCGTGATCAAGAGGCACACGTTGGAACAGGAGCAGATACGAGAGGTACTGTATATTGTATAGATGTATAGATAGCCATTTCAAATGAGAGGCAAGGAGGAGTGGATGACGCAGTGTGAAGAATGACTGGGATGTACTGTATCTTGGATAGATATACACACATTTTAGTTCAAGTTCAGTCTGTAGTGGTGTGAAGTGAACACTGCAATCCAGTAGGGATGTGAATATCACATGTCCAACTGCTTATCCATAACATTCCCGAGGTCAATGTTGTCCTCGAAATGGCTTCTGTAACATGAAAAATTATGTTCCCCCAAATCTTTGACCAATACCGGTATTTTCTGATGTTTGTGGAAAACACCAAGAAGTAGTTTCCCATCTCGTGGAATGCAGATTAGAAAGTATAAGCAAGATAACAACGGGGGGGGTAGGTAAATGTCAATAAAGCAACAATGGCCTAATCTCCTAATCTGCTCTGTATATCAGGAGGGGCGGTAATGTCAATAAGGCAACAATGGCCTAATCTGCTCTGTATATCAGGAGGGGGGGGTAATGTCAATAAAGCAACAATGGCCTAATCTCCTAATCTGCTCTGTATATCAGGAGGGGGGGTAATGTCAATAAGGCAACACCACGAGATACCGTGCTCCGTACTAATGTCAGTAGGTTCTCATCATCCAGTGTCTGTATAAAAGCAACGTTTTTATCATTGGATGGGCATGATAATTCCTCTCTCTCTCTCCCCCCACCCCCTCTCTCCCTATCTCCCCCCTATATATCCCTCCTTCTCTCTCTCCCTCCCCATGTCTCTCTCCCCCTCTCTCTCTCTCTCTCCAGGAGCTGAACAAGAAGAAGACCCAGAAGGAGATGGAGCATGCCATGCTGATCAGACATGACGAGTCGACCCAGGAGCTGGAGCATCGTCAGCTGAAAACCCTTCAGAAGCTCCGCATGGACCTGATCCGTCTGCAGCACCAGACAGAACTGGAGAACCAGATAGAGTACAACAACCGCCGCGAGAGAGAGCTCCACCGCAAGCACGTCCTGGAGCTACGACAGCAGCCCAAGAACCTCAAGGTGATGGCTAGGCCAGGTGCAGCTAGCTAGTGAATGTAGCCCTGGAATGTGATGGCTGCATTGGTAGCTACATTAGGCTGCATTGGTAGCTACATTAGGTGTTCTCAAGGAAAAGGCTCTGATGTAACCAGGTAGCGGAGGATATGAACCTAAAGGTGAGGGTGCAGCTAGCTAAGGCAGTCCTGAAAAAGGGGAAATCCTCAGTGGTAGCTCCAATGTCCTCTCCATTTCCACCAGGCCATGGAGCTGCAGATTAAGAAGCAGTTCCAGGACACGTGTAAGGTCCAGACGCGTCAGTACAAGGCCCTGAGACACCACCAGATGGAGGTGACGCCCAAGAGCGAGCACAAGGCGGTCCTCAAGGCCCTGAAGGAGGAGCAGACCAGGAAGCTGGCCATTCTGGCCGAGCAGTACGAACAGAGCATCAACGAGATGATGGCATCGCAGGCGGTGAGTTGCCTCAAAATGGAGGACGGATGTTATGATGAGGATTAGTGAGCAGTGATGTTGTTATTTGATCATTTACTTTATAGCAATCTCAAAGATTCATATAAATGTCAAAGATCTTCTCTAATATCTAACATGAAAATGAAAGAATAGTTCCATAAGGGAATTCTATCATTTTCGGCCCTAAACCATAGGAGATTTAGGTCATTGTAGGAGTTTGTAACTCTACTTCTGTTATTCCCATCTCTCCTCCTATCTCCTCTTCTATTCCATCTCTCCTCCTATCTCCTCTTCTATTCCATCTCTCCTCCTATCTCCTCTTCTATTCCATCTCTCCTCCTATCTCCTCTTCTATTCCATCTCTCCTTCTATCTCCTCTTCTATTCCATCTCTCCTCCTATCTCCTCTTCTATTCCATCTCTCCTCCTATCTCCTCTTCTATTCCATCTCTCCTCCTATCTCCTCTTCTATTCCATCTCTCCTCCTATCTCCTCTTCTATTCCATCTCTCCTCCTATCGCCTCTTCTATTCCATCTCTCGCTCCTATCTCCTCTTCTATTCGTTCATCTCTCCTCCTATCTCCTCTTCGATTCCATCTCTCCTCCTATCTCCCTCCTCTTCTATTTTCATCTCTCCTCCTATCTCCTCTTCTATTCCATCTCTTCCTCATCTCCTCTTCTATTCCATCTCTCCTCCTATCTCCTCTTCTATTCCATCTCTCCTCCTATCTCCTTTTCTATTCCCTCTACTCTCCCTCTCTCCCACCCTCTTTTCTCTCCCCGTTTCCTTCTTGCTCTCTCGCGCTCTCGCTCTCTCTCTCTCTCTCGCTCTCTCTCTCTCCTGCTTCCTCTTTGTTTCTCTCTCCTCTCAGCTGCGTCTGGACGAGGCCCAGGAAGCCGAGTGCCAGGCTCTGAGGCACCAGCTGCAGCAGGAGATGGAGCTGCTTAATGCCTACCAGAGTAAGATCAAGATGCAGACCGAGGCCCAGCATGACAGAGAGCAGCAGAAGCTGGAGCACAAGGTGTTGCTGCGCAGAGCCCACCTCGAACAAAAGGTACAGACAGAGAGAGAGAGAGCTGCGCAGAGCCCACCTCGAACAAAAGGTACAGACAGACAGAGAGAGAGAGAGCTGTGCAGAGCCCACCTTGAACAAAAGGTACAGACAGACAGAGAGAGAGAGCTGCGCAGAGCCCACCTCGAACAAAAGGTACAGACAGACAGAGAGAGAGCTGCGCAGAGCCCACCTCGAACAAAAGGTACAGACAGACAGAGAGAGAGAGAGCTGTGCAGAGCCCACCTTGAACAAAAGGTAGAGGGGGAGGAGTCACAGAGAGACAACAGAGAGAATCACACTGATAGAAACATAGAGCCCACCTGGTAGAGAGGGGAGAGTTAACGCATGAGACACAGAGACACAGACTTACACACACATACGCAGAGCCCACATTCACAAAAGGTGCCAAAAAAAGGTGTGGGGGAGGGGGGAGTCAACACAGACAGACACCCACACAGATACCCAGACAGACACTGATGTACGCACACACACACGCATGCAGGCTGGAGCAGAATGTGCTGGAAGCAGAATCAACACGCACCCACACAGACAGACAGACAGACTTCCCTTTCATTTCACACACATTTCACTCACCACTGATTTATAACCCAATAATTGGTCATGCACTCAGCTTTTGTTGTGAAATCCCATGATGTGTTATTCTTACAACATGCTCTCTCTATTTTTTTAAAATCATAAGCAGTGTTAAAAAATGTATAATTGATTCTTGATCATAGATGATGTAATATGGAAATGTTCAACAATAAGACGTTACTTACTCAGCGACACTGCCTCTAGTCTCCTGTTTTATTCATCAAACCATACTCTCCATTCTGTGTCATACAATCTGGAGTCACAACACCTTCTCCCAACTCACTACCCGGCTGTTGACCATTTACAACAGTGGATGCTGATGGCATGACATGGTATACAATAAATTCACCATAGGCCAGTTTATCAGTCATAATACTCGTTTTTTTAAATACTAGAATACAAAGTTTTTCGAATGCAATGATGTCATCGCTCCTGGACAACAAAGGAACATGCAGCCCTGATCCAGTTTCAGTTGCCCAGACAGTATCCTACAGTAGTATCGTACAATATAATGCAACCAGTGGTGCTGTGGCGCCATCTGTTGACCATCTGTCTCCCTGCAGTCTGTCTGGAATAGATTACATCATCGAAACCAGTATCAGGGTTGTATTAATCAGGGAAGGTAACAAAATACGTTTTAAAACGTTCTCCAATGGAAAACTAAAATGAGCGTTTCTTATTGGACCAGTTTAGGTAGACAGACCCCTTCCTGTTTCAATAAGTGTTCTTCTGTTTGGTGCCTAATGAACACACCCCAGACTCATATGCTTCATTTCATATGAAAGAGAAGTGCAAACTGCAGATATCGATCCACTGGCTGGACTATTACGTGATTCAGGGGCCAGATGGAATCTGTTGCTAAAGGCTTTATGGAATTAAATCATGAATCAATACAAACCGAACACTGAAAATGAAATATGAACAGCTATATATTTATTGATTAAAGATGCAGACAACGGCTATAATGGATTGATAAGCTTCACTGATAATGTCTGGTCCTAATCATGACTAGCGCAGGCGTATTTCTGTCTGTACTTTGTTGACTATGGAGTGGTTACAGATTCATGCTGAATTTCAAATCAATCCCCTAGACTAGCTTGAGCAAAAAAGCAAAAACCTGCACCAGCAGCCTTTGCAGATCAAACTCAGCAGGACTCATTCAAACCTTACTTCAGTATGTTGTGGTTCCAAATACTCTTGCTTCCAGTAGTTTAATGAACTAAGTTGTGGTTTTGTAGATTGAAGAGGAGCTGGCTTCCCTTCAGAAGGAGCGTACAGAGAGGATCAAGCACCTGCTGGAGCGCCAGGCAAGAGAGATTGACACGTTCGACATGGAGAGTCTCCGTCTGGGCTTCGGTAACCTGGTGGCCCTGGACCCCCCCAAGGACATCTACAGATGATTAGACCAGCCCAGGTAATCTGGTGGCCCTGGATACCCCGAAGGACGACTACAGATGCCTAGACCAGCCCTGGTAACCTCCTCGTGACCTCCTGTCTATCTTCATCATCTGGTCTGACCCTCCTCGTCCCCCTGACCTGGTCTGGTCGGGATTGACCGGGCAGTTAGGGTCTTTAGCCACTGATGCACACACACACACACACATTAACACACACACACACACATTAACACACGCACATGTGCATGTACACACACTCCAGCCCAGTGCTAGTCTAATGCCAACGGGGCCCCCAATCTCATAGTATGGTGTACAGATGACTAAAAATGCTGGATAACTTCCTAGGCTTTCTTTCTTTTTAAAGAACAACAACACAATGTCACAGTGTTTCTGTTTCTTATGCAGTGATGGCACTTTTAGTGTGACTGAAACCGGAAAGCAGACAGAGAGAATAAGAGAAAAGAGTATGATGATACAAGTGAGTAATATTGTGTTGCTCAATGATCATGCATTAGAGGTTAATAATTGGTTCAAGCTGTGCAAAAAAACTTCCAAAGCCCAAAAACTCAAAAACAAACTGATCCTTCTGCAGCCTTGTTGTCTTATTGGCGCTGCTTCCAGTTCCTTCAACTATTTTTTAGATTTATATTCATCGGGACATTTTTATAGAAAAATCAAGCAATTTCATACGTTGAGAACATGTTTGAAGTCATAATGTACATGTTGGTACGTTAATAATTTTGACTCTTTGGAGAGAATTTGACTTGACTTGGGAGGGACACTGAGGAGGGAGACTTGCAATGCACACTGGTACTCCACTGTATTATACTGATTCTCTGCACTGGCAGGTAATGTGAATACTACATGGTTACGTCTGGAATTGCACCCTATTCCCTATGTAGTGTAGTACTTATGGGGCACTGGTTAGTGCACTATATAGTAATAAAATAGTGCACTACATAGGGAATAGGTTGTGATTTGAGACGGAGCCCATGTGAATCCCTACTCCCAGGTAGCACAAAGGGCTTTGTCGCAGGGGGAGGGATATGTATTTTGTGTATAGAAGGATTTATGGTAGAGCCTTTTACTTATTTTCGTATTGTACTATTTTAATTGTTATTCAAATCGATTTTTTTTTAAATGATGGTTTTCTCCTCTTCGTTCAGTAAGTCGACTCGATCACTCAATGGGTTTCTTTCTCTGAAATGTCTGTCTGAAATGAGTCATTATTTTTGCTTTAACCGCCACTCTACAAGCTGAGTATTTTCTTATAAACCAGATCAGTAAAATAAATGCTTTATTATTGCATGCACTTTCATTTTGTTTTCCAGGATTAAGAGAAAGCATGAATCTGTCAGCTTTTAATTATATTTGTAAATAAAGTGCTCATCACACAAGTTCTGTCTGGATTTATTTGATTTAATATTTTCCATATCTGCCATTGGATTTATAACAGCAAGTTATTAGATAACATTTGCTTAGTTTACAGCAAACCATGGATTTGAGTTTATGCTTATTTGCAAATGGTCAAAATAGACTGCACACTATGCTCTCTATTAATATGGTTTATTATGATCTTTTGATCACAGGTCTTTCCAGATATTTTCCACATCTGCTGTTAGCATTATGGATGTTCAATAGGTACATGTGACCTTGGCCACATTCAAGGTCCACTAGTGAATGCATTTTCCATTTGTTTGAATGGTGCCATGGTTATTGCAGGGCCAGGTTTTGTTAAAGGAGCACTCCACCACATTATCTCCAGCAACATGCCAGTGTCTACAAAAAGAATAACTGATGCAACAGAGAGTAACTCATTCAAACAGTATACACCACACAGTGCTGGAGAACAGTCAGCAACAAAATAATATAAACCAAACAAGATGAGCTGTTTTGTTTGACTGATCATGGGGATAGAGAGATTACTTTTTAATGAGCCAGCATGAACAAATCTAGGGAATTGCTTTGTTGGGGTTTCTGCAGTTATCTTAGCTACATAAATGTTAATTTCTGAATACTCCTTTACTTTGTTTATTTTCCAGCCAGTTGCTCATAGAGTTTAGGGACATAGTTATCCCACTCTGCCTGATAGCAGGTTCCAGCCACGGGAACTCCCAGTCCGTATTTCTGGCGGAAGGCTTGGATCTTGAACTTGCCGCGGTTGTCTCCACAGCAGTTGGTGAGGATGGGCTCCTCACAGGAGAGGCTTCCTGACTGCTCATAGACCAGCCACACATACCTGTGGAGACCTGGAGGGACACACACAGACACAATGAGATGTCACATGGTCAATGAGGGAGGAAGGGTGTTGGACAGGTAAAATAAAGGGCTGGTGCAAGGAGTGAGTTATCCCCTTAGTGTAAAGCGTTTGAGAAAAGAGCTATAATTCAAAATGCATGTGTTCTTTTCCTGCTCAAAGACAGTGCGCAAGGGCTGTGTGAAGCAATGCAGAAAATGTCCAATAATAAACTTATCCAGTTGTGTAGGAAATGCATCACTGCAGAGATTTCACACATTCAAGCTTCATAAATCGCTATAGGAATACAACAGCCGCTCCAATCATCATTGGATAAGGAGGGACAGTCACGCAGTCTTCTTACCAGTGCCTTTTGGAGGGCCAGACCCAACGTAGTCGGACATAACACATCCACTAGACACGTCATTTCCCTTCATGTTCACCACCAGAAAGTGATGCCACTCCCTTCAAGAGAATAAATGCGTTAGGAAGAAATATGGTTATCCAACATCCTTGAATACACAATATTCAGAAATAAGATTATCGATCACACAAAATCTCAGTTGGCTTCAAATGATCGGGGGTAAAAAGGTCAAGCAAAGTTGTGTGTTATGTGCAATCATTAAAAGATCAGAGCCAATAAATGGGAGCTGCAGCCTAGGGCTGGGCAATATGGCCGAAAAATAATCTTGATTTATTCAAATGTATGGGCGATTCATATCTCAAATGTGTTTGTTTTCTCTAAATAAGTTTTGTTCTACAATTAAAGGGCAAGCCTCCCACAACCATAAGACCCACTAATAATTTTTTTTTTTTTCAAAATAGTTTAACCTGCTTTTTTGCAATCACTGATCTGGTTTTCAAGTCTGTCTATGAAAATGCAATTTTTTAAAATGTACCATAATGCACATTCACTAATAATGACTAACTTCTTGTAACAGGTATTATAGAAAATTAACACAGGTCTCAAACAATCTCTCAAGCACAAGCCCACGTGCTAGTGAGTAACCGGCTAATCTTTACATTTAAAGTTTAGCCAATTTGGATCTATTTGCTAGCTAACAAGGTAGAACAGTTGAATTGTTATGAACACACCCTGCTGTCTGTCTCCAACTGTTTGAACAGCATGCTAGCCTGTCCACTTTTTTCAGATGTTGAAATTAAGTGACCTACCTAATTTCTCAGAATGAGAATGAGTTACCAATTCCTTATATAATTGTGTTTTATGCTTACTGCACATTTATAAAACAGACTAATGTGATTCTTGCAAAACATGCATTTGGAATATTGTGCTAAAACAAATTCTAATTAATTTGATATCGCCCAGGCCGACTGCAGCCCACCCGAACTTGGGGTCTTTCCTGCTGGGTGCATCGGGGTCGGTCATGGCCAGGGTGTACAGCTTAGTGGAGTCACACCCATCCCACTCGATAGAGGTGGGTCGACTCTGCACCTGTGAAGAAACAAACCAGGGGGAATGTAGTTGGTATCACAATAAATACAAGCCAATCTCATTTTGGTAATGGTATCACAATAATAACTCATACAAGCCATGGTCAATATAGTTGGCATCACAACAAATACCATACAAGCCAAGAATGCTTTCACAACAAGTCAAGGTTGGTATCCCAATAAATAAGAATATGGTTATCACAAATACAAACCACACACAGTCAATATGGTTGGTATCACAAACAATAAGCAACAGATATCAGTTTAATATATTAAAGATACTAGATTGAACTATGGATAATTATGTTAATTTGAGTTAAAGTGCAGGACTTTTGGGCTAAGAGGAGAGTGCTGACTGACATACATTGATTGCCCAACCCTTGTCTCTGCAGTGCAGATGATCAGTGTATGGTCAGACCATTGGGTCAGACCACCACTTATGCAGTCTAAGCAAGACTGCAACATTGTTGCACACTGACACTTTTGTGCATTGTGTCACACATTCTTGCAAATAAGCCTAGGCCTGCAAATTCAAGCTAGTTAGCAATCAATTTGGCTATTCAGCTACCAATCAATAACATTCTTTTTTTAAATGAGCTTTTTCATGTAATGTATCAACTACTATCTATTGAGCATAACCGTGAGCACGTGCTGTCAGCCCTACAACTGGATTATATTCGACATTTGTAAGCATGCAAGCTAGCGCCACAGATAGAACAATGAGACAGATATTTCACCGGATGTGTAAATGTGAAGCATCCGCTTGGCGTTTCCGCTCACTACCAAATATGTAGTCAGAGGAAGCACACTGGCCGGAGAAGATGGAAAAGATGATGGTTTTTGGCCGACATTCTGCACATTTTCTCATCGATGAAACATTTGATCTCAATACAGTTTTCTGTTCCCAAAACTATGTTATGGACAGAGTGGTCTAAGTTTTGTAGACATAACCCCTTCGCAAAAGTTTTTATTTTATTTTTTTTAATCGCGTTGTTTGGGAGTGCAACGGTTAATTGAGTTATTGCATACGCGCACTTCACATAGGTGGCGTTCCCTAACAGAAATATGTAGATACAGGCTAGAACGCGCCAATAGGATCTCGCTATCTCGTGCTTGGCTCTGCCCACTATGACTCATTTGTTCCCATTGGAAATGACAGACCGTAGTCTATCTTGGTTTAGTTATAAAAAATCTTCGCTAGTTCGTTAGCATTCATATTTGACAGTACCTGTGTTGGCGTGAGCACTTTGCCCAACTCGTCGATTTCAAGAGAGCCATACTTGACATGGAGGGTCTGTGCAGGCTTCTCATCCACCTCTGTTAGGGCAAGAGCCCCTGTCCAGTGGCTTAAATCTACCGGCATTTTCACTGATTCCGGAGAGCTGCACACAGCAGCTGCTTTCACTTATTATGCGCAAAAACACAACACAAGGGGGCAGGCACAGGCAGGGCACGAAGTCCGGACTATCGTATGCTTTGCGTTTAGGCCAATCACAGTACGTCTAGCGCTACAGTTAGCACTTATGATTGGCCTAAAGTTCTGTCAATCTCTCACTTTACTGCCCATCGACCCAAATGTGTCTTTCTAGAAAGTTCTTTTCACAACCAAACCAAGGTCCACTCCTACTCAAATTGTCAAGTTTTGCTGATAATGCTACATTGTGTCTTTAGGATTTGTAAAGAAAAAAAGACTTTTGTTTCAGTTTTCCCCCAGTTATATCTAACACTAGAGAAATATATAATAGGCTGTCTGTCACCTTCTCAATGAACTTGAGTAACCAGCCTCGTTGATCAGTGCGGTGACAGCGGTATCAACTGTCAACAAGCGAGAAATCACCTGCTGCACCTTTAAGAAGGTAAGTGTTGGGTGTGGTTTGATGGTTCCGGATGAACGTGCCGGATGAACAGCCAGGTAGCCAAATGGGTGATACGTTATAGCATGTGGCAGTTCCAATGTAAAAGAGAAATGTTGAATCATAGTGGCTCATACGTCCTCTCTCAGCTACTCTAACCAGTCCTATATAAACTAGGTGTAGAGGTGTGTTGTGTCACCGCATGCACAACAGGTAGTCAGAAAGAGATTGGCAGGCAAAGCTTTTGTCTAACTAGAAATCAGGGTATGTATGCTATACAGTAGGAGGAATAATTATGAAGGCCTTCGCTTTTGCAATTTTTCTTCTGGTCATGCATCAGACAGGTAAGTGTCCGCTTGTGACATGTTTATGAATATGTAGCCTAACCTACATGTGGATTTGAAACATCCATTGATTTTAGCCGATACAGTGAAATTAGTTATATATTACGTCTGAAGTTTTCATCTATGTAGGCCTACTGCTCACTTTTATATGCTATTTGTTGAATCATGTTTCTTATCTTAAATTATCTTGCTCATTGTCTTTATGAAAGTTGCAGCAAATGGGCGCTCAGATGAAACCACTGTAGCTGGAACACTGGGAGAGAATATTATACTTCCATGTGGGAACACTTTGACCAATGTGACTCCCTCATTCACGCGATGGCTGAAGAATGGACAGTTTACCATTGATCGCAATCATTCCATTATAATTCCAATATCCTCAAGTGAAGGGCACCTGACTATACTGTATAATCAAAGCTTGTACATCAATCGAATAACTCTATCAGATGAGGGGACCTATCTCTGTGATTCTTTACCACATGACAACAAAACTCAAACAAGTCTCACATTGCAAATAGTCAGTAAGTATCTGTTTTCTATCATAACAATGTGTGTTGATGTCCTTCATATAATGACTTGTAGATACTGTACTGGTATCTTGGTCAATTGCCCTGGAAATTATTTTGAGCAATTGTTGCCTTGAAACTGGTTATTCCAGATGATTTGCTGCTGGGGCTGGTTTCATGGCACATGCTGTAGGAGCCCATGTGTCTTGTAGGTATTTGAACGAGAATGATCGGAGGGGTACTGTAGTGTACCTTGACAACTATGTAGTATATGATGGATGGAATGGGACTGTATCATTTTTACAAACATTGTGCATGTTGTGGCATCAGTCCACATTGCTCAATAATGAAAGATGGGTGCCTTGGGTTGTAACAATGCTTGATTGTTGTATACTGTGAGGACTGTTTTCAGGTGGAAAGTGTCTGCCTGCTTTGGCAACACTATAGTAAAGTACCTCATGTTTACTTCTTGCAGGTGGTCCTGACAATAGCATCACAGACATCCAGCCAGCCACGCCTCTTTCCAACGGAACCCTCGTTGTTGTCAGGGGTTCCACGGTGTCATTTAACTGCTCCAGCTTGTCCTACCCCTCCCAGAGCCTGTCCTTGGGGTTTCAGGGTGTGGCATCCAGTAACGACTCTCTGGCGGTGGGCAGTGGATCATGGCTGGGCTTCAGGATAGAGGATGTTCAGCCCACAGCTCAGGGGAACTACAGCTGCAGAGCCCAGAACTCAATCTCCCAGAAGGCTGTTGGCTGGAGCACAGAGCTGCTTGTATACTGTAGGTGACTATTAGGGAAATAGACTCAATGGTCTCTGATACAGTGGTTGCTTAGTGACAATTTGAGTATCGGTATAGCCTAAGCTCCTAATAAATACCTATCAGATACAGTGGCCAGTGGTGCTTGTTCAAATTACTTGTGTACCTATCTTAGTGCTGTGTAATAACCCAAATACCTCAGCAATTCTATACTGTAAAGAGCATCCATCTTTCTCCTTTAGATTCCCCAGAAAGGCACCCAGAGTGTCTGTGGAAGGCAGGGAAGGATCCGTCTGATGTCCAGTTCAACTGTAGCTGGTTTGGAGGCTACCCCTCTCCCACGTTATTCTGGGGGGAGAACCACCAGGAGCCAGGGAGCCAGGGGAACCAGGTGTTTGTTTTGCGTGGGGTTAAAACACAACTTAATTGGATACCATGCATTTAAAATAATTGAGTATAACACAAAAAAAAAAACGAACTTATTTCCTTTGTGGTCTTCTTAGGTGGCTGGACGGCTGATGGAGTCGGAGGAGACAGACAGTCTGGTGGTGAATCTGAACAGGTCGTTGTTGTTCGACGGGCAGACGCTGAAGTGTGATGGGCGTCACCCTACGATCAGTCTAGGAGAGGAGAAGTTCTGCTCCTTCACCCTGAGTAAGTGAGAGATGACTGCAGACGTATGCCCGAATGGCACACTATTCTCTATATACAGTGAGGGGAAAAAAGGATTTGATCCCCTGCTGATTTTGTAAATTTTCCCCACTGACAAAGACATGATCAGTCTATAATTGTAATGGTAGGTTTATTTGAACGGTGAGAGACAGAATAACAACAACAAAATCCAGGAAAACTCATGTCAAAAATGTTATAAATTGATTTGCATTTTAATGAGGAAAATAAGTATTTGACCCCTCTGCAAAACATGACTTAGTACTTGGTGGCAAAACCCTTGTTGGCAATCACAGAGGTCAGACGTTTCTTGTAGTTGGCCACCAGGTTTGCACACATCTCAGGAGGGATTTTGTTCCACTCCTCTTTGCAGATCTTCTCCAAGTCATTAAGGTTTCGAGGCTGTCGTTTGGCAACTCGAACCATCAGCTCCCTCCACAGATTTTCTATGGGATTAAGGTCTGGAGACTGGCTAGGCCACTCCAGGACCTTCATGTGCTTCTTCTTGAGCCACTCCTTTGTTGCCTTGGCCATGTGTTTTGGGTCATTGTCATGCTGGAATACCCATCCACGACCCATTTTCAATGCCCTGGCTGAGGGAAGGAGGTTCTCACCCAAGATTTGACGGTAAATGGCGCCGTCCATCGTCCCTTTGATGCGGTGAAGTAGTCCTGTCCCCTTAGCAGAAAAACACCCCCAAAGCATAATGTTTCCACCTCCATGTTTGACGTGGGGATGGTGTTCTTGGAGTCATAGGCAGCATTCCTCCTCCTCCAAACACGGCGAGTTGAGTTGATGCTAAAGAGCTCGATTTTGGTCTCATCGGACCACAACACTTTCACCCAGTTCTCCTCTGAATCATTCAGATGTTCATTGGCAAACTTCAGACAGGCCTGTATATGTGCTTTCTTGAGCAGGGGGACCTTGCGGGCGCTGCAGGATTTCAGTCCTTCACGGCGTAGTGTGTTACCAATTGTTTTCTTGGTGACTATGGTCCCAGCTGCCTTGAGATCATTGACAAGATCCTCCCGTGTAGTTCTGGGCTGATTCCTCACCGTTCTCATGATCATTGCAACTCCACGAGGGAGATCTTGCATGGAGCCCCAGGCAGAGGGAGATTGACAGTTATTTTGTGTTTCTTCCATTTGCGAATACTGTTACTGCACCAACTGTTGTCACCTTCTCACCAAGCTGCTTGGCGATGGTCTTGTAGCCCATTCCAGCCTTGTGTAGGTCTACAATCTTATCCCTGACATCCTTGGAGAGCTCTTTGGTCTTGGCCATGGTGGAGAGTTTGGAATCTGATTGATTGCTTCTGTGGACAGGTGTCTTTTATACAGGTAACAAGCTGAGATTAGGGGCACTCCCTTTAAGAGTGTGCTCCTAATCTCAGCTCGTTACCTGTATAAAAGACACCTGTGAGCCAGAAATCTTTCTGATTGAGAGGGGGTCAATACTTATTTCCCTAATTTAAAATGCAAATCAATTTATAACATTTTTTACATGTGTTTTTCTGAATTTTGTTGTTGTTATTCTGTCTCTCACTGTTCAAATAAACCTACCATTAAAATTATAGACGGATCATTTCTTTGTCAGTGGGCAAATGTACAAAATCAGCAGGGGATCAAATACTTTTTTCCCTCACTGTAGTGCGGTACTTTTTACCAGGGCCCATAGGTAAAAAGTACACTATATAGGCAATAGGGTGCCGTTTGGGACGCATGTCTAGCCAACATCTGATATGCCTTTTGTTTGCGTTCAGCTTGATGTTTTTTGCATTGCAACTGTAGTTAGACGCCCTGAAACGTGTCAATATCAGTTCAGTTCAGGACGCTTTATTGGGACATCCTACCATTGGCCAATTTAATACAATGATATTGGGTCATTAATAAAAGACACCTCTCCTCTGTCTCTTGTTTACTTTCAGCTTTAAACCAACTGAATGGTTTCCACAACTGTACACATTTCATAGAATATTAGTCATGTGTGAAACCCCCAGTGGCTGTGGCACACCTGGTCTGATTCCAAAATAAACCTGCAAGGTAGGGCGCTGTCTGTGTGATTGCAGAAAGGCGGGATATTTTTTTAATCAATTATCAGCGTTTCTGAGCACCAGGCAAATTGACTCAAACAATGAGGAGGAACAAAAACAACGTGTAACCTTCACCTCTTACCAGGCTTCACTTTTCCCATGTCACACCCAACGCAGTTTGTGTGATTGTGTGCATACCTGTATAGAAGGATATCTCTTTAGATGTGTATCTATCACTGACCCAGTCTAAACCCCTGTTTCTCTCCTCATCTCCTAGAGTCCCCCTATCCTGAAGGGTTACCACTAGTCACAGCGTTAGAAGGAACCAACGTGACATTAACGTGTACAGAGTCCAGCTCCCTGCCTCCAGCCCTCACCACCTGGCAGAGGACAGCCCAGCAGGAGGACGTGGTCCCCAGCCCCAAGTACATCCTGTCAGAGCAGGGCCCCACCTTCACCCTCACTATAGTCAACATCACCAAGCAGGACGAGGGCTTCTACTTCTGCAGGAGCGAGAACCCACTGATGGTCCGCGAGTTGGAGATCTATTTAACAGTTAAAGGTTAGTTCAGAGAGAGGGTGTGTGTGTGTGTGTGGGGGGGGGGGGGGGGGGGGGGTTTATTGGTGAAAAATCTATATTTACAGATTGGATATCTCTGCAGACTCTTGTGATAATCTATGTTGATGATCATATAGGGGCCAGGTGGGAAGGCAGGTGCAGGAAGGTAGCAAGGCAACACCTTCTCTGGAATGTCGCTAAACCTGTTGCCTCTCCCAGTTAGCTTCTAACAAGACTTCTTAGATTATTGTACATTCATTTCTCTTTAGCGACTATTCTCTTAACTTTTTTTTAACTTAATCATGTCTAATGTTGTTTTGTTTCCATAGCCACCTCTCAATACACTGGAGCAATCATAGGGATATTCCTAGCGATTTTGATAGTAGGATCTGGTATTGTTATTGCTAAAACAATATACTCCAACCGTGACCGAATATGCCTGGGTAAGACCTTTTTCCCATGCATTATAATGTCCCTTTTGTTAATAGGGCTTCAAGTTTGTAACAGTCCGTGCCATATCAGATTATCTGCCTTCGTTATTTTCAGGGGTGCAACTTTCACTGCGGACGGGGGGGGACATAACAAAACAAAAGAAATGTCCCCCCACTTCTAAAACCAAAGTTACGCCCCTGGTTATTTTTGTATAATTTCATGAAATATGACCCCCGTCACCAAACCTAAGATAATATAAGATATACTTTGATGATAACTGACTTGTGAAGTTACTGACTTGCTAAAAAAAAATATATGCAAATACTAACAACCAACTTTGAAATCTAAATGTATGTTTTTTTATTACAGGAAATGGATTTGAGCGAATGGAGGAGGAGAGAGGAGATGTGTTGAGCCTGGTAGAGGCAGATGAAGAGGAGGTGTTTCATGAAGCTGTACCCAGACTGCCACCTCTGTCTCTGACCAACGGACACAACACTACACTTGTAGAGATACACACAATACCATCCAGTAAGGAATGATTTTCTGCTTCCAGGTTGTGGAGGGGAGGGATTGCCCACTTGGGTATTGGCTGTATATTAGTTGTTTTCAAAATGTGTAGTTGATATGAAATGCAACACTATTAATGATGTTGTATTTGCACATGTATCCATAATATACAGTGGATAGAACTGTTACTGGGTGGCAGGTAGCCTAGCGGTTAAGAGCGTTGGGGTAATAATCGAAAGATTGCTGATTCGAAATCCCAGAGCCGACAAGGGGGAAAATCTGTCTGTGCCCTTGAGCAAGGAACTTAACCCTAATTGCTCTTAAAAGTCGCTCTGGATAAGAGTCTGCTAAATGACTAAAATATTACTGTTCTGTTGCTGTTTTGTATTGACCTTGTACTGTAGATGCAACTCTAACCCAAATCTGTAACCCATCTCTTTTTCAGTTGACCATGAAGATGCAGAAATTGTTGAACATCCATTACAGCTAGAAAATCCTGATATTGACGAACTTGTCACATTTTAGGTGTTGTAAGACTTTTAGAAACGTTTTTTTTTTTGGTGTATTGATTGGTGGTTGGTTTGTACAGTATGTAGATACAGTATATGGGTCTGCTTTTTACCATCATTTTTAACTGTTTTGTTTCAGCTTCAGGCTTATTAATTTATACTTAACAGGGTTATTTCAATGAATTGTTGCCATTTGCCACATTAAATGACATATTTGACAATAATGTAACATTTTGTATTACTCAATCACAAAATGAAATCTGAATAAAACATTTGAATAACAAAAGCAAAGGCAGGGATGTAGGCCTCCCTCTCTCTCTCTTTCTTTTGTTTTTATTAATGAACAATATATACAATTTACAAGTTGGAATGTGTAGGCTTATCAGAGCGCAGTTAAAAAAAATAAAAAATTCGCCTATCGATAGGATTAAAATCCATTGGAATAGAATGAATAGAACGGACGAATCAGTAGGCAGTTTTCCATTGACCCAGGTTTATTCGTCAAAAAAAAAAAAAAAAAATTCGTGTGTGTGTGACGTCATTACGTCCTGCTGCTTTGATTTGAATGGGGACACTTGTTTTGTTCATTCTATTTCTATGCATTTAATCCTATCCGATAGTCGAAATCCAGATAATAATAATAATAATAATATGCCATTTAGCAGACGCTTTTATCCAAAGCGACTTACAGTCATGCGTGCATAAATTTTTTTGTGTATGGGTGGTCCCGGGGATCGAACCCACTACCTTGGCGTTACAAGCGCCGTGCTCTACCAGCTGAGCTACAGAGGACCAGATAGATAACTCTTTATAAACTGTGCCCTGTAGAAAAAACAAATCATGGACAAATCAATGTTACGTAATAGAAAACAAGGTAGCCAATCATATCGCATTTGAGAAATTGAATTTTACTGTACAGGAAATCAGATGAATTATTCTCTTTGGACTCAAAAATACACAAAAATCAACAACAATTAGGCTATTTTACATCATTTAGCGATCTAAAGACACAATGTGCACTCTGTTTTTCTCTCGGAATATGATATTTAAACATGTGATTATTGACTGGAAGGCATTGTTAGAAAACCAGGAAGAGACAGTAAACTGATCAAGGATGTGATAATCTGCTGTCAACGTCTGTCATTTGCAACAATGTGTTCATCGGAAGACAATAATCAACACACACGGTCCATTTGATTTATAGGCCTATAAAAAAAACAATAGTGGTTAGAGAGGCGAGCCAGCAACCAGAGGGTTGCCAGTTCGATTCCCGTCTCCGACGGGAATAATCTGCAGAAGTTAGCCGTAGTGCCCTTGAGCAAAGCATTTATACCTCCACAACAACAGCTCCCCGGGCACCCAGTGTGGTAGCCCCCCAGCACAAAAAAAAAACTGTATATGTATGTGTCTTTAGGAGGGAGGGGCTGGGTTAAAAGCGGAAGTCAAACATGTCTGGTCATGCCTCTGATCTGGCGGACTCACTAAACACACATGCTTCGTTTGTAAATTATGTCTGAGTGTTGGAGTGTGCCCCTGGCTATCCGTGAATATAACATTTTAAAAACGAAGCAGTCTGGTTCGCTTCATATAAGGAATTTGAAATTATGTATACTTTTACTTTTGATGCTTAAGTATATTTTAGCAAACACATTTACATACAGACATTAAACATACTTTTAGACTTACTCAAGAGGTATTTCACTGGGTGACTTTCACTTTTACTTGAGTCATTTTCTATTAAGGTATCTTTTACTCATGTATGACAATTGGGTACTTTTTACACCACTGGTGGTCGCCTGGGCGCTTCAGTATGAGATGTACAGTTGAAGTATGAAAAATGTATGCACTCACTAACTGTAAGTCGCTCTGGATAAGCGCGTCTGCTAAATGACTAAAATGTAAATGTAAAATGTAAGTCGGAGGTTTACATACACTTAAGTTGGAGTAATTAAAACTTGTTTTTCAACCACTCCACAAATTTCTTGTTAACAAACTATAGTTTTGGCAAGTTGGTTAGGACATCTACTTTGTGCATGACACAAGTAATTTTTCCAACAATTGTTTACAGACAGATTATTTCACTTATAATTCACTGTATCACATTTACATTTACATTTAAGTAATTTAGCAGATGCTCTTATCCAGAGCGACTTACAAATTGGTGCATTCAACTTAGGATAGCCAGTGGGACAACCACATCTTTGATCACAGTAAGTACACTTCTTCAAACAAGCAGCTGTGAGCAAAGTCAGTGCAATTAGGGACAACTACATCTCGATCACAATAAGTACATTTCTTTAAACAAATCCATGCTAGCAGGTGAAATAAGTCAGGTGTTAGTTTAGACAAAAGAGAGTGATAGTAAAGGGGGGGGGGGGGGGGGGGGGGGGGGTAGAAGGATTACTATTATACTATTCCAGGTGTTCCTTAAAGAGGTAGGGTTTCAAGTGTCTCCGGAAGGTGGTCAGTGACTCCGCTGTCCTTGCGTCGTGGGGGAGCTTGTTCCACCATTGGGGTGCCAGAGCAGCGAATAGCTTTGACTGGCTGAGCGGGAACTGTGCTTCCGTAGAGGTAGGGGGGCTAGCAGGCCAGAGGTGGATGAACGTAGTGCCCTCGTTTGGGTGTTGGGTCTATATCAGAGCCAGAAGGTAAGGAGGTGCCGTTCCCCTCACAGCTCTGTAGGCAAGCACCATGGTTTTGTAGTAGACGCGAGCTTCAACTGGAAGCCAGTGGTGTGTGCGTAGGAGAGGGGTGACGTGAGAGAACTTGGGAAGGTTGAACACCAGACGGGCTGCAGCGTTCTGGATAAGTTGCAGGGGTTTAATGGCACAGGCAGGGAGCCCAGCCAACAGCGAGTTGCAGTAATCCAGACGGGAGATGACAAGTGCCTGGATTAGGACCTGTGCCAATTTCTGTGTAAGGTAGGGTCGTACTCTGCGAATGTTGTAGAGCATGAACCTGCAGGATCGGGTCACCACTTTGATGTTAACAGAGAATGACAGGGTGTTGTCCAGGGTCACGCCAAGGTTCTTTGTACTCTGGGAGGAGGACACAATGGAGTTGTCAACCGTGATTGCGAGATCATGGAGAGGGCAGTCCTTCCCCGGGAGGAAGAGCAGCTCCGTCTTGCCGAGGTTCAGCTTGAGGTGGTGATCCGACATCCACACTGATATGTCTGCCAGACATGCAGAGATGCGATACGCCACCTGGTTATCAGAAGGGGGAAAGGAGAGCAATGATAGGAGAGACCATGTGAGGATATGACAGAGCCAAGTGACTTGGTGTATAGAGAGAATAGGAGAGGGCCTAGAACTGAGCCCTGGGGGACCCCAGTGGTGAGAGCACGTGGTGCGGAGACAGATTCTCGCCACGCCACCTGGTAGGAGCGACCTGTCAGGTAGGACGGAATCCAAGAGTGAGCAGCGCCGGAGATGCCCAACTCGGAGAGGGTGGAGAGGAGGATCTGATGTTTCACAGTATCAAAGGCAGCAGATAGGTCTAGAAGGATAAAAGCAGAAGAGAGAGTTAGCTTTGGCAGTGCGGAGAGCCTCTGTGACACAGAGAAGAGCAGTCTCAGTTGAATGACCAGTCTTGAAACCTGACTGGTTAGGATCAAGAAGGTCATTCTGAGAGAGATAGCAGGAGAGTTGGCTAGAGACGGCACGCTCAAGAGTTTTGGAGAGAAAAGAAAGAAGGGATACTGGTCTGTAGTTGTTGATAGTGTAGGTTTTTTGAGGAGGGGTGCAACTCTCGCTCTCTTGAAGACAGAAGGGACATAGCCAGCGGTCAAGGATGAGTAGATGAGCGAGGTGAGGTAAGGGAGAAGGTCTCCGGAAATGGTCTGGAGAAGAGAGGAGGGGATAGGGTCAAGCAGGCAGGTTGTTGGGCGGCCGGCCGTCACAAGTCGCAAGATTTCATCTGGAGAGAGAGGGGAGAAAGAAGTCAAAGCATAGGGTAGGGCAGTGTGAGCCGGACCAGCGCTGTCATTTGACTTAATAAATGAGGATCGGATGTCGTCAACCTTCTTTTCAAAATGGTTGACGAAGTCATCCACAGAGAGGGAGGAGGGAGGGGGAGGAGGAGGAGGATTCAGCAGAGGTGGCAAAGAGCTTCCTAGGGTTAGAGGCAGAGGCTTGAAATTTAGGGTGGTAGAAAGTGGCCTTAGCAGCAGAAACAGAGGAAGAAAAAGTAGAGAGGAGGGAGTGAAAAGATGACAGGTCCGCAGGGAGTCTAGTTTTCCTCAATTTCCGCTCGGCTGCCCGGAGCCCTGTTCTGTGAGCTCGCAATGAGTCGTCAAGCCACGGAGCAGGAGGGGAGGACCGAGCCGGCCGGGAGGATAAAGTCACCCATAACAGTGAGGGGTGAGCCATCCTCAGGAAAGGAACTTATCAAGGCATCAAGCTCATTGATGAACTCTCCAAGGGAACCTGGAGGGCGATAAATGACAAGGATGTTAAGCTTGAATGGGCTAGTGACTGTGACAGCATGGAATTCAAATGAGGAGATAGACCGATGGGTCAGGGGGAAAAGAGAGAATGCCCACTTGGGAGAGATGAGGATTCCTGTGCCACCGCCGCGCTGACCAGATGCTCTCGGGGTATGCGAGAACACATGATCAGACGAGGGAAGAGCAGTAGGAGTGGCAGTGTTTTCTGTGGTAATCCATGTTTCCGTCAGCGCCAAGAAGTAGAGAGACTGGAGGGTAGCATAGGCTGAGATGAACTCTGCCTTGTTGGCCGCAGAATGGCAGTTCCAGAGGCTGCCGGAGACCTGGAACTCCACGTGGGTCGTGCGCGCAGGGACCACCAGATTAGAGTGGTAGCAGCCACGCGGTGTGAAGCGTTTGTATGGCCTGTGCAGAGAGGAGAGAACAGGGATAGACAGACACATAGTTGACAGGCTACAGAAAAGGCTACAATAATGCAAAAGAGATCGGAATGAAATTAACTAAACATCTGGGGAAGCGAGAGAGCAGGGCCTCCCTCGACTAACTCCCGCAGAACAACTTGGCAGAACTGTTTTTGTTTCAGGGACAGTCTTCGTTTTGGGGACAGCTGCCGCTGAACAAAGAGGTTGTGCTAATAACACCAAGCTAATTGCCTAGCACAAGTGTAGCCACTCCCCCTCCTATTGAGTTGTAATCTGCAGAGAACAAAAGAAGTGGCTGGACCTGCGTCCAGTGTGAATGAGTAGCAATCGCTTCTTAAGCAGACTGGGTAGCTTACTAACTATGACAGACAGACACAATTCCAGTGGGTCAGAAGTTTACATACACTAAGTTGACTGTGCCTTTAAACAGCTTGGAAAATTCCAGAAAACGATGTCATGGCTTTAGAAGCTTCTGATAGGCTAGTTGACATCATTTGAGTCAATTGGAGGTGTACCTGTGGATGTATTTTAAGGCCTACCTTCAAACTCAGTGCCTCTTTGCTTGACATCATGGGAAAATCAAAAGAAATCAGCCAATACCTCCACAAGTCTGGTTCATCCTTGGGAGAAATTTCCAAACGCCTGAAGGTACCACGTTCATCTGTACAAACAATAGTATGCAAGTATAAACACCATGGGACCACGCAGCCGTCATTCCGCTCAGGAAGGAGACGCGTTCTGTCTCCTAGAGATTAATGTACTTTGGTGCGAAAAGTGCAAATCAATCCCAGAACAACAGCAAAGGACCTTGTGAAGATGCTGGAGGAAACAGGTACAAAAGTATCTATATCCACAGTAAAACTAGTCCTATATTGACATAACCTGAAAGGCCGCTCAGCAAGGAAGAAGCCACTGCTCCAAAACCGCCATAAAAAAGCCAGACTACGGTTTGCAACTGCACATGGGGACAAAGATCGTACTTTTTGGAGAAATGTCCTCTGGTCTGATGAAACAAAAATAGAACTGTTTGGCCATAATGACCATCGTTATGTTTGGAGGAAAAAGGGGGAAGGCTTGCAAGCCTTAGAACACCATCCCAACCGTGAAGCATGGGGGTGGCAGCATCATGCTGTGGGGGTGCTTTGCTGCAGGAGGGACTGGTGCACTTCACAAAATAGATGGCATCATGAGGAAGGAAAATGATGTGGATATATTGAAGCAACATATCAAGACATCAGTCAGGAAGTTAAAGCTTGGTCGCAAATGGGTCTTCCAAATGGACAATGACCCCAAGCATACTTCCAAAGTTGTGTCAAAATGGCTTAAGGACAACAAAGTCAAGGTATTGGAGTGGCCATCACAAAGCCCTGACCTCAATCCTATAGAAAATGTGTGGGCAGAACTGAAAAAGCGTGTGCTAGCAAGGAGGCCTACAAACCTGACTCAGTTACACCAGCTCTGTCAGGAGGAATGGGCCGAAATTCACCCAACTTATTGTGGGAAGCTTGTGGAAGGCTACCCGAAACGTTTGACCCAAGTTAAACAATTTAAAGGCAATGCTACCAAATACTAATTGAGTGTATGTACACTTCTGACCCACTGGGAATGAGATGAAAAAAATAAAAGCTGAAATAAATCATTCTCTCTACTATTATTCTGACATTTCACATTCTTAAAATAAAGTGGTGATCCTAAATGACCTAAGACAGGGAATCTTTACTAGGATTAAATGTCAGGAATTGTGAAAAACGGAGTTTAAATGTATTTGGCTAAGGTGTATGTAAACTTCCGACTTCAACTGTAGGTGTTCCTTTTGTCCAGGTGGGAAAGGGCAGTGTGGACTGCGATTGAGATTGCGTCATCTGTGGATCTGTTGGGGCGGTATGCAAATTGGAGTGGGTCTAGGGTTTCTGGGATGATGGTGTTGATGTTAGCCATGACCAGCCTTTCAAAGCACTTCATGGCTACCGACGTGAGTGCTACGGGCGGTAGTCATTTAGACAGGTTACCTTCGCTTTCTTGGGCACAGGGACTATGGTGGTCTGCTTGAAACATGTAGGTATTACAGACTCGGTCAGGGAGAGGTTGAAAATGTCAGTGAAGACACTTGCCAGTTGGTCCACGCATGCTCTGAGTACACGTCCTGGTAATCCATCTGGCCCCGCGGCCTTGTGAATGTTGACCTTTTTAAAGGTCTTGCTCACATCGGCTATGGAGAGCGTGATCACACAGTTGTCCGGAACAGCTGGTGCTCTCATGCATGCTTCAGTGTTGCTTGCCTCAAAGCGAGCAAAAAAGGTATTTAGCTCTTCTGGTAGGCTATCGTCACTGGGCAGCTCGCAGGTGGATTTACCTTTGTAGTCCGTAATAGTTTGTAAGCCCTGCCACGTCCGACGACCGTGAGAGCCGGTGTAGTAGGATTCAATTTTAGTCCTGTATTGACGCTTAGCCTGTTTGACTGCTTCTGGCCACTGGGCTGGACAACGGAGTCATCAAGATATGGGATGTTGCAACTGGTGGGACATTTTGCTGTGTTTGTTATGGAATCAAGGCTAACGTTTCATTTGACGATAGCACTTTTCATTTAACCGTTATTTTGAATAGATTATCCCTCGGTTTGACCTCAAAGGACATGAGGGTATTGCGAGGGACCTGGTCTTCACTCCCAAAGGAAAGCTCACCCTGGTATCTACCTTTCCAGATAAAACCTTAAGGATATAGCATTTAACCCAGAAAGGTCAGCCATTTTTATATCTAAAAAAATATATTCAGCCAGAGCTTTTCTCTGTTTATCTCTTTTTTAATTGTCTGTCTAAGTTCATGGATATTTTTATTGCACATGGAAATAATCTTAAACATCTCTATACTTACCTGCTTCTCTGCCTTCCATAGGTACAAAAATAGCCACGTGTCCTCACTGGCTACAAGGACTAGTGTCTCACCAGACTGCAGCATGATGGCATCCCGTCGGCAGGTTTAACATAGTTAGACCCCATGACCAATATTTCGAGAAAAATGACAATTCTGTCCAAACGCTTCTGATAAAGTTTGTAAGTACAGCGCACTCCTCTTATAGAGATAACGTCCATGCAGGACAATTTTATAACTTGAATAACTGTCTCACTCTCATTAGAATGACTTGATACAAACAAGTTTTAGATACATACATCCAAACTCTGTCAAGCCTGGATGTAATCAACTATGAATTATGAGGGTAGTTGAGTAATAACGATGGAGAGGGTCAAGGTGTACATCACATATCTCCATTATTTTACATTGTTCATGTGCCCATCTGCCTTGAGTACACATTTCTGCTATCATCTCAATAGTCTGAAGGAGCTTCTGTTGAGATGCACCTCCAATATCCTCTGCTTGTTGTTGCAGGACCAGAGATGGCCATGTGAGGTTCTGGACGGTACCCAGGGCCATGCCTAGCCTGTACCCCTGCACCACTCTGTCTCCACCCACCAGGTGGAGGCCCTTCCCATCCCACGCAGGATCCTGGAGTTCCTCACCTACAGAGAGAGACATGCCGGACTGCGCCAAAACACAATGCTCCATCTGAGGAAAAATTTATGAGTTTGGGGAATAATGAGAGAATACTTATTGGCTTCCATTTGAAATGATTTTCAGTTGTTTGGAAGTATTGAATAACTAATGATAGCACAGTCAAGGGAGGAGAGCTCATTATTTGCCTCTGTTTGGAAAGCATAACAAAATGGTGGGAACAGTCTGACAGAAGTCACGGGACTTTCTAGGGCCCTGTGTGGATGCATCTTTCACTCCGACCTTCTCTGAAGTTAGAGTTGATCTAACATGGTTGGATAGGTGAAGGCAAGGGTTCTACTTTGTGGTTTAGACTAAATCAGTCATGTCCGATCAACTAGTTGTCCAAGGAAATCTCTCAGGATGTCAAAATGCTAATGCAACTGGATGCAAATAGCTAGTGATCATACTCAAACATACAACTGAACTCTTAAAAGCCTTGAATCCTAACATTATTCAAGTTAATTTACATAAATGTAATGGAAATGACTTATCAAGAATGACCAATATATATTTTTGTGCTAGATGTATATTGTACAATATATAACTATTATAGCGTGTATTGTTATTTAATGTACATTTGCTGAGAGTAAATCTAAAGTTTGCATTGTGTGCAGTAAATTGGTCTATTGAAACCTTATTCCATGACTTTCGGACAGTCTACAAGACACTAGATTACATAAGAAACCATTTTATTTAACAGACAAGCGATATCAAATGTACATACAGACAGGAATATTGAGCAGACAAGCACATGTATTTTTTTTGTGAACAACAGGGTATGCAGGCCTTTAATTCCAACCTAGCACTAACACACCTAACTCAACTAATCATGGTCTTGACCAGCAATGTATAGATTGCATCAGGTGTGTTAGTGCTGGGCTGGAATAAAATCCTGTACACCCTGTAGCTCTCCAGGACCATGGTAGGTGCCTGAGGGCCACTGGTCTAGGCGGCCTCATTGACCACGATGTCTCTCACTGCCTGGAAAGCTGCCACCATCGAACTCAATTGGATCTTCTCACTGGTTCCCGAGGCCAGCCGGTACCTAGAAGAGGAAGAAAAGACATCATCAAATAAGTGTACCATATTAGTCATCCTAATTTACATTGAAGTCATTCAGCAGACGCTGTTATCCAGAGGGACTTACGATCAGTAAGGTATACAATTTGATGGGTATATAACCACCATACTGAAGATATGCGCACTTACTCAATGTCTGCCAACTTGATAAGCAAGCCCATCCGAATGGCAGGAGGGAAGTCCACTGTAAGAAATCAACAAACATGGTTATTATACAGCACAGAAGTGTATCAAATCTCTCAAAACATGCATCATAAAATGAACTGTTGTAACGACGTTAATGCCGTGGCATTGATCTTAGAGCTGAGTCGACCCCCCAAGACCTGGTCCACACCGTCTGACCAGGAAGGACTCCTTATCCTTCCAATCTGCATCTACAATCTTCAATCAACACAGGACTGAGGCGTCGACCAATCTCCACAAGTCACAGGAGGAGACCTCTCCATGGGGGGAGGAAGATCCTCATTCTTCTTCAATGGCTTCACCTCACACCAGGAAGTCACCCAGCTAAGAAAAAAAACCTTCTTCCTCATCTTCCTCCTTTTCAAAATGAGATTACAGACTACTGCCAAATGGCCACAGTTTGAATGTCAAAGGAATTAGCATCGGTGGAGGCTTCCCCAAATGGTTCCCAATCAATTGAAGACCCTTACGTTTGCACGACAAAGAGATGTTGCAGAGTGTAGACCCTGGTCGACACCAAGGGACCGGACTGCTACAGTGAAAGGACACTAAAACTTACAAAAACCTTAAAATTCTATTTTACCCAAGGATACAGTGGCCAAGAGTATTTCTGATATCCAGTGTAACAAAATGATTGTGTAATTATGCTACAGTATGTCTTTCACTTTGCTTTTTTTGATAATGAATTTCAGATAGTTTCAAGCAATCATTAATTTGACATTATTACCATGTCAATGTTAGTATCTATGGAACCACAAGGAAATGACATGAACATTGAAACAGCGTCTGCTAAAGTACAGACAGTTATGGACATAATTTGTTATGAACAGAACCTAACTCCGCCTTCTTTCACACTTGGACTCAAGTGGGTGTGACTGAGCTGGAGCTCGGCCAATCAGACTTCAACAGATAAATAAGTATACAAGCTGATTGCATTGGTGTTAATCTTATTACCTTTACATTTACATTTTAGTCATTTAGCAGACGCTCTTATCCAGAGCGACTTACATGAGCAATTAGGGTTAAGTGCCTTGCTTAAGGGCACATCGACAGATTTTTCACCTAGTCGGCTTGGGGATTAGAACCAGCGACCTTTCGGTTACTGGCACAACGCTCTTACCCACTAAGCTACCTGCCGCTCTTCTATGTATCGATTAATGAACTGCAGTTTTTATTCCTAATGCTAATAGATCATTAGATTTGATGAAGTACCACAGACAAGATATTCTCTCCAAACTCCTTTTGCCAAGCAGCTACAGGTAACCGAATGCGTTGCTAAAATCACTATCCCATTTCTGTATTCCATTCAGGAAACCCCATTATTTTATTCTGTATCATTTTACCATTATATAAGGAGTGACATCTCTAAAATACACCACAGAAGTGTACCAAATCCCTCAAAAAATATATAAATCACATCATAAAATTAACAGGTATCAATCCTATAATTCAAAGGCCCTCTATGGTAACCCCTGATGAATCTGCCAAGACAGCTTAGTGAAAACAGAAACACATAACCTCAGAAATAAGAAAACAGGCAATCTAAACCAAATCTAAAAACGTTGCAGTAGTGATGCGTGCCACACTAACATTGGAAAGCCATTCATTCTACAATGAGAACACTGGCAGCCATGGCAGCCATGGCAACCGCGAGGGGTCTCCCGGGAAACCAGAGGAAGAAAACATCACTATGCAGATGGTGTCAAATTCAGACCTAGTAGCATTCCTCTTATATACTGTGCTGTGCGAAGTCTGTTCAGAATATATCTACCAAATATACAATAATAAATATATACCGGTATATATATATATATATATATATATATATATATATATATATTAACAGTAAGCTAAGCCCTGCCAGACAATATTTTTTTTAAAGTCCATAATCTAGTATATAATTCACACAATTAACACATTTTCTAAATACAGCTTCAGACTTTGGGGATACAGTGATTCTGCCTGTGATGCAATACCATACAGTATGGAAATGCACAAGTCTGAAATACACAGTATCTCTAAAACCACTGCATTGTACAGGTTTACTGCCTCCAGTCCTTACCTCTGTGTATCAGTAGATGGACCTCAGTCAGAATGTCATGCAGGGCTAGGCCTTTCAGCGTCTTCAGCTGAAGAATCTCTATGGATCAGAAGCTAAGGAACATCTCTCAAATATCAAGGATGGGATTTGTCCTTCAGTATAATTCCTGGAATTCATGATTTCCTGACATGATCCTCTATATATCCATACATACCAGAAACTGACATACAGTGTCATCACCTAGCCAACATTCAGATGTTCTGTTGTCCTGATCCCATATAGGGGTGAGATTCTTCCTGATTAAAATCAGGAATTTGTGCTTTTCTGACATGATCCTCTATACATAGGGTACATCACTGAAATTTACTTTCTATACCGACCTAATAACATCACTTGAAAATACACCACAGCAAGGCATTCAGAGCCACTTCCTAGAAGAGGTAGACGCTGCTGAGCACAAGGTGTCCTCATATACCACATATTGGAGATATTATGCTAATTTGAGATGGCTATTTAGCTATTTCTAGATAATGCAGTAATGTATGTAGATATCATACATTGGCGATATTGTGTTATTTGAAAGAGCTGCTTTGGCAATACATAAACATACCATTGTGGGGGGAAAAACAAGCCATTTGGTTGTTGAAGAGAGTAGGCTAAACATAACTTGTGGTAATAGATATGGCTGTAATACATATGGTTGTAATACATATGTCTGTAATACATATGGCTGTGAGAGAGAATAAAGGATACGGTTGTAAGCGGAGGTGAAATCCTTGTTTAGGGACCAGTCCAGGATGTTGGCTATATCTGATCGTAGTGGGTGACCAGTGCAGGTGTAAACATTATCCTCTGTGACCTTCCCATATGCCATGCTGGTGCTCTGAGAAATACATGGGAAAGGAATCAGTCAGTCATTAGAAATAACAAAAAGAAATCCACCGTAATTAGTGTACTCAGAATCTGTCTAACATGGTCAATACTAGTGATGGGCACCGATATGGAAAGTTGATATCAGTTGCAGTTTTTTAAGCGATATACACTGAACCAAAATATAAACGCAACATGTAGTGTTGGTCCCATGTTTCATGAGCTGAAATAAAAGATCCCAGAAATGTTCCATATGCACAAAAAGCTTATTTCTCTCAATCTTTGTGCACAAATGTTTTTACATGGCCTCCCGAGTGGCGCAGTGGTCTAAGGCACTGCACCGCAGTGCTAGCTGTGCCACTAGAGATCCTGGTTTTAATCCAGGCTCTGTTGTAGCTGGCCGCGAACGGGAGACCCATGGGGCGGCGCATAATTGGCCCTGCATCGTCCAGGGTAGGGGAGGGAATGGCCGGCAGGGATGTAGCTCAGTTGGTAGAGCATGGCGTTTGCAACGCCAGGGTTGTGGGTTCAATTCCCACAGAGGGGCCAGTATCAAAAATAAAATAATGTATGCACTCACTAACTGTAAGTCGCTCTGGATAAGAGCGTCTGCTAAATGACTAAAATGTAAAATGTACATCCCTGTTAGTGAGCATTTCTCCTTTGCCAAGATAACCCATCTACCTGACAGGTGTGGCATATCAAGAAGCTGATTAAACAGCATGATCATTACATAGGTGCACCTTGTGCTGGGGACAATAAAAGGCCACTCTAAAATGTGCAGTTTTGTCACACAACACAATGCCACAGATGTCTTAAGTTTTGAGGGAGTGTGCAATTGGCATGCTGACTACAGGAATGTCCATTAAAGCTGATGCCAGATAATTTAAAATGTTCATAAGCCGCCCCCAGCGTTGTTTTAGAGAATTGTGCAGTATGTCCATTCTGGCCTCACAACCGCAGACCCGTGTATGGCGTTGTGTGGGCGAGCAGTTTGCTGATGTCAACGTTGTGAACAGAGTGCCCCATAGTGGCGGTGGGGTTACGGTATGGGCAGGCATAAGCTACGGAGAACGAACACAATTGCATTTTATCAATGGCAATTTGAATGCACAGAGACACCGTGACGAGATCCTGAGGCCCATTGTCGTGCCATTCATCCTCCGCCATCACTTCATGTTTCTGCACAATAATGCATGACCTCATGTCACAAGGATCTGTACACAGTTCCTGGAAGCTGAAAATGTTCCAGTTCTTCCATGGCCTGCATACTCACCAGACATGTCACCCATTGAGCATGTTTGGGATGCTCTGGATCGACGTGTACGACAGCGTGTCCCAGTTCCTGCCAATATCCAGCAACTTCGCACAGCCATTGAAGAGGAGTGGGACAACATTCCACAGGCCACAATCAACAGCCTGATCAACTCTATGCAAAGGTGATGTGTCGCACTGCATGAGGCAAATGGTGGTCACACCAGATACTGACTTGTTTTCGCATGAGGCAAATGGTGGTCACACCAGATACTGACTGTTTCTGATCCACACCCCTACCTTTAAAAAAAAAAAGGTATCTGTGACCAACAGATGCTTATCTGTATTCCCAGTCATGTGAAATCCATAGATTAGGGCCTAATTAAACTTATTTCAATTGACTGATTTCCTTATATGAACTGTAACTCAGTAAAATCTTTGAAATTGTTGCATGTTGCGTTTATATTTTTGTTCAGTATAGATATGTTTTTTATCAAGAACATTGCATCTGTGTTCATCTTCTGTTAACTTCCAAGGCTTTGTGAAATCCCATTGGGCCAGGTGTGAATGTCCTGGGGGCCTGAACCTACCTAACCACTTTGAATACAATCAACTATTATTCAGCAGGCCAATAAGTATGCTAAATTGAGAGCCTGTGAGAAGGTCAGTTTAATGCCTACAGGAACAGTCATGTAATATATAGTGTACCAAACGATATATAGTGTACCAAACGATATCATATCGAATTAGCGATTTTGATGCCCACCACTAGTCAATACACTAATACATTTAGACCAGCAATAAAAACTCAACACTGTGATGCAATGAACTACATTTAGCTACACACAGGTAATATGTTTTCCATACCTGCAGTATGTTGAGGGATCTTCTCATGTCTCCTGATGAGAGGGTCACAATAGCTTTCATTCCATCTGGAGTTACATCAATGCTGCAGGGACGAGAGCAGACATACATACATATCTGAATAAAAAGCAATAATAAAGCCCAGCAGACATTAGTCTCGAGTAAGTTTCAAGTTTTATTTCACACATGCACAAGTACAGTGAAATGCTTAACTTGCAAGCCCTTCCCAACAGTGCAGTATTCAATATCAAAACAGTATAACAAAAAAACAGAAGATATAAGAGGAAGAACAATACATACAACGCCAGTACCAAATTCCTTGAGGAACAGAGTGATCTACCCTCTGGAGCCCCCACCACCAGGCCTCTCACCTCTCCCACCACCAGGCCTCTCACCTCTCCCACCACCAGGCCTCTCACCTCTCCCACCACCAGGCCTCTCACCTCTCCCACCACCAGGCCTCTCACCTCTCCCACCACCAGGCCTCTCACCTCTCCCACCACCAGGCCTCTCACCTCTCCCACCACCAGGCCTCTCACCTCTCCCACCACCAGGCCTCTCACCTCTCCCACCACCAGGCCTCTCACCTCTCCCACCACCAGGCCTCTCACCTCTCCCACCACCAGGCCTCTCACCTCTCCCACCACCAGGCCTCTCACCTCTCCCACCACCAGGCCTCTCACCTCTCCCACCACCAGGCCTCTCACCTCTCCCACCACCAGGCCTCTCACCTCTCCCACCACCAGGCCTCTCACCTCTCCCACCACCAGGCCTCTCACCTCTCCCACCACCAGGCCTCTCACTTCCCCCACCACCAGAACCATTAACTCCTGAGCCCCTTCACCTCTCCTGCTGGATAACAAACTCCAGCCTGGGTATCATCTGGTCCTGAGACAGGGGTCCGAAGCGGAACCTGGTGCAGCGAGACTGCAGGGCCGGGATGATCTTCGAAAGGTAGTTACAGATCAGACAGAACCTGGTGTTCTCTGTGTACTTCTCAATAACTGCAGGAGAGGAAGAGAGAGATAGGAGTAGAGAGACCGGGAGTGAGAAATGGATGTCAATAATTTGACGATCATTTACATTTTAGTCATTTAGCAGACGCTCTTATCCAGAGCGACTTACAGTTAGTGAGTGCATACATTTTCATACTGGCCCCCCGTGGGCATCAAACCCACAACCCTGGCGTTGCAAGCGCCATGCTCTACCAACTGACCTACATGGGACAGTGGGCATACACTCATTAAAATGTAGTAGGGGTGTAACGATTCGTTTTAACAACGATTCGATTTGTATCACGATTCGTGGTTGTCGATACGATTCAAGGACGATATTGGTTCATTTAGAACGATACGATCCGAAACGATTCAGTGACTTGAAATCGATTCAGTAACCTTTTAGCCAAAAATTCAACCAGTGTGACTGAAATAAATACCTGGATACTGGACAGTGCAGGTGAAGTTTCCTAGATTCCTGTTTCTTGTAAGGACCGCAATGGTGGCTTGATAATTTCTCGCTCGTCGGCTTCTCCTCTGTCGTCCGCCATGCTATGTTTTGTTGTCTTTGCGCCTTTGCGCTGCTGCTGGCGCGGGGCGATCACGTCACGGATAGGCAGACTGAATCGAGTAATGTTTAAAGCCTTTATCATTAAAAGTGCTAAGAAAAAACATCCATATAAAGTCTGACGTGCTTAAATCCAATGGGTTATTTCCTAGTATCGATACAATCGATTTATTACATTTTAAAACGATGATAGATTGATATATGTTGTCCAAAAGGCCAACTCGCCGAGCACAGATCGATGTAGTTGGATCATAGGAATATAAATCGATACATCGATGTAGTAGATGGATCGTTACACCCCTAAAATGTAGAAAATAAAACTTGAACTGTTAAATCAATGGCATCTATTACAAGCAATTGCAACACATTAATATTCTAAATAATCAGGCGGTACCCCTCCCAAATGCATTCAACATTTGCTTGTTGTCTCATGTCCCATTTTACAGTAAGCAGATCTTTTCATCAGTGAGAATTACTGGTTAGCACGCAGGCAGCTCATTTGGCCAGTTGGTACACAGCAGGTGAGCCACTCAAAACAGATGGTTACCTCGCCGCAATGCATTCTGGGCATCCCTGGTCATGGCATCAGCCTCATCCAGGATCACCAACTTGAAACCCTTCCTGTAAGACAAAGATGAATAAATAAACACTAATTTTGTCAATTGAAGTCAGGGTTGTCTGTGACACGCAGACGTCCAATCCTCTTTTGCGTTTCCTTGTCCTCACTGAAAAGACTGGGAACCTCATTGCAATATGGTAGACAACTACTGGTAGCTAAGAGACCTGCTTCTCTACAAATACAGACCTTTCAGTGACCGCAAGGAAACATTTTGTAGTATTATTCATTATTGTCATACTTGAATATGGTCCTGGTGCTGGCAAAACTCAGGATGGGTCCTCGTACAACATCGATACCTCTGTCGTCTGACGCATTAAGCTGAAAATAAATAAATGCATGCATTACCATGTAAGAAGAACAATAATATGTTATGATAACACATACGTTGGAGCATAACCTTGATGCACCCGAGAACAGTTATGTATGCTGCACACTAACATTGAATGTTAAGAATCAATCTTGCTCACTGGAAAACATAACAACCCTCAAGTGCAGTGTTATGAGCAGAGCATTTCTCTTTGATAATTCTACATCTCAGTGCTGAGTTGGTGCATACCTCCAGGACCATAGCGTTGAACTCCTTCTCCTTGTAGAGCTGCTTGGCAGAGGCTAAAACAGTAGATGTTTTCCCTGTGCCTGGGGGTCCATAGAATAGGAGATGTGGCAGCCTGTCCTCACTGATAAATTTCTGGACTGAAAAGAGAAGAGGATTGGTTATGACAAATATGTTGTTACATATGCACTCATGCAACAAAAAAAACACAACTATAGTTCATTTGAGCATGAAAACATTATTTTTAATACATTCACTGGTCATGGCTCACATCAACAGCATCATCACGGATACCCTAGACCCACTCCAATTCGCATACCGCCCCAACAGATCCACAGATGACGCAATCTCAATCGCACTCCACACTGCCCTTTCCCACCTGGACAAAAGGAACACCTATGTGAGAATGCTGTTCATTGACTACAGCTCAGCGTTCAACACCATAGTGCCCACAAAGCTCATCACTAAGCTAAGGACCCTGGGACTAAACACCTCCCTCTGCAACTGGATCTTGGACTTCCTGACGGGCCGCCACCAGGTGGTAAGGGTAGGCAACAACACGTCTGCCACGCTGATCCTCAACACTGGGGCCCCTCAGGGGTGCGTGCTTAGTCCCCTCCTGTACTCCTTGTTCACCTAAGACTGCGTGGCCAAACACGACTCCAACACCTTCATTAAGTTTGTTGACGACACAACAGTGGTAGGCCTGATTACTGACAACGACGAGACAGCCTATAGGGAGGAGGTCAGAGACCTGGCCGTGTGGTGCCAGGACAACAACCTCTCCTTTAATGTGAGCAAGACAAAGGAGCTGATCGTGGACTACAGGAAAAGGAGGGCCAAACAGGCCCTCCATTCACATCGACGGGGCTGTAGTGGAGCGGGTCGAGAGTTTCAAGTTCCTTGGTGTCCACATCACCAACGAACTATAATGGTCCAAACACACCAAGACAGTCGTGAAGAGGGCACTACAACACCTTTTCTCCCTCAAGAGACTGAAAAGATTTGGCATGGGTCCCCAGATCCTCAAAAAGTTATACAGCTGCACCATCGAGAGCATTCTGACCGGTTGCATCACCGCCTGGTATGGCAACTGCTCGGCATCTGACCGTAAGGCGCTACAGAGGGTAGTGCGTACAGCCCAGTACATCACCTATATACTAGGCGGTCAGAGGAAAGGCCAAAAAAATTGTCAAAGACTCCAGTCACCTAAGTCATAGACTGTTCTCTCTGCTACCGCACAGCAAGCGGTACCGGCGCGGCAAGTCTAGGACCAAAAGGCTCCTTAACAGTTTCTACCCCCAAGCCATTAGACTGCTGAACAATTAATCAAATGGCCACCAGGACTATTTACATTGACCCCCCCACTTTACCCCTACCTACATGTACAAATTACCTCGACTAACCTGTACCTCTGCACATTGACTCGGTACCGGTACCCCCTGTATATAGCCTCGTTATTGTTATTGTGTTACTTTTTATATATTTTTTTACTTTAGTTGATTTGGTAAATATTTTCTTAACTCTTTCTTGAACTGCATTGTTGGTTAAGGGCGTGTAAGTAAGCATTTCACTGTAAGGTCTACACCGGTTGTATTCGGCGCATGTGACAAATGAAGTTTGATTTGACCATACATTTGAAATGAATTGTTGTTGGAATGGATAAGGGTCAGGTTTTCTACATGAGCAGTTCCATCCCTGTTGTTCCAAAGACTGAAAAAAACATACTTACTGGTGCTTAATATGTCCTTGTGAGAAATCAAGTCATCTAGGGTCTGTGGCCTGTATTTCTCAACCCTAAAATAAAAATATAAGATGTCAGACAGCATCGGCGCATGCGTAGCTACATTGGAAGCAGGGACGAGGTGGTGGGATGTCCATGAACATACAAGACAACTAAAATACACATCACTTTGCTACACCGTATATAGGCAAGGGAAACATATTAACACAATGATTGAAGTTCGGCGAGCTAATTAAGCCCGCTAACGTAGCTAGGTAGCTTGCTTGCTGGCAACAAATAAGCTAGTTAGCTAGCATCTGACACCGGCTAGCTAGTGGAATCAATTTACCAGGGCAAATTTCTTGACTGCAACGGTATCTTGCTAGTCGATGCCATTTGAATCGATTCAATATTTTCTCCAAATGAACGTGTTCATTGACATACAAAACAGCGCTTCTTTTCACGCTCTAATCTGCAGCATTTCCTTGGCGCGCTTTACCTCAACAAAACGTGCTTTACGTCACGATACACTGTTTACGGCAGGTTTGCAACCAATCGCATCCATTGTTTTACTGTGGGCGGAGTCAAATTACTCTTTATAATATTTCGCGGCATGCTACCATTTCCTTTTCCGTCGACGTTCCTCTCCAAGCAGCAGCTCTTTCTGGTTCTGTCCGCAAAAGACAAAGAAACATGTCCGACGAAGGAAAACTTTTCGTCGGTGGCCTGAGCTTCGACACCACAGAGCAATCTCTTGCAGAAGCGTTCTCCAAGTACGGGAACATCTCCAAATGTGATGTCATCATGGACAGAGAAACAGGAAGGCCTCGTGGATTCGGCTTCGTAAAGTACGACAATCCCGAGGATGCGAAGGACGCTATGGATGCAATGAACGGCCAGTCTCTCGACGGCAGAACCATCCGTGTGAACGAGGCAGGCCAGGGCGGTGGTGGCGGTCGTGGAGGTGGCGGTGGATACAGAGGTTCCCGAGGTGGCGGTGGATACGGCGGTGGAGGTGGCGGTGGATATGGTGGAGGCGAGAGGAGTTACGGTGGTGGCGGAGGAGGCCGCAGTTATGGCGAAGATCGGGGCTACGGAGGTGGTGGCGGATACAGGAGTGGTGGTGGTGGCGGCGGTGGAGGCCGAGGCGGATACTCCTCCGGTGGCGGATACAGGGACAATCAATAGGTTGGGCCCATGAAGGCTACGGAGACCGTTCTAGGCCGGGGATCCTACAGAGACTGCTAGCTACAACAGTTAACGTTATGCTGCACACGAGTAAACTCCGATTCAAGATCATCCCTTGGCTGGCTGTATTTAAAAGATGCGCTCCTCAAGAAATGTCCACGTGTTGTTGTTGACCGGATGACTTTTGTAGTCCTATTCTGTGTTTAATTAGCTAAGTTAGCTTGCTAGCTAGCTCGATCGTCTTTCAATTTAGCCACGTGTGTCGGCCATTCATTTACAAACCATGTGAAAAGTTCATGTTCTCTTGCCCGATAACATTCCACCTTTGTACTTTCTGTTCTTTGTCTCCTCAACATTATTTTTTGTGTCAATTTTGGCTTTATGGAACCTATTAAACGATTTCTTTGGAAAAACAACTTCTCCTCAAGTTATTAGTGAACTAACATTTGTCATGCCTTATCATCAATCCATGAAAACGCGGTAATTTAAGATGAATGATTCGGGTTTGTGTTGAATTCTGCCTAAGGCCTTTAAACGCGGGATTCCGCAGTCGAAACTACAAAGCCACCCCACCCCCTCAGTACAAACTGCAGGATCGGTCTGGGGCGATGTAACACTTAAATTAATAGACTGCTGCAAGGACTGACCCATTAAATCTGATTTGTTTTAAACCATGAGCATATAGTTGGTTCACAAACACGAGTTAAAAAAACATTTGTGGTAAGCTCGTGAGGCATAACGTTAAGTTATATTCAAGAGTCGATGGGTACATATCAGTTTACAAGTCAAAATGTATGTCGCAACTCCAAATTGCCCCTTAAGACTAACGTGTTTTCGTGTGTCGAAAATCTTCATTAAAGACATTCGGCAGAAGTAAATTCATCCACAAACACGAATATAATAGTATGTATATAGCTAGCTATCTTTATTGACCGCGTTCTCACGAGTTTTATGCATTTGATGGTACGGGAATGGATACGGAAGTAAAGCGGAAGCGGGCGTTACTTTCGCACCAGTGTGAAAAATGGTTTCCACTAGAGAGCACAGCCACGATGTCAAACTATATACGCTATATCGTGAAGGCTCATGAACAACAGTAGCGTTTTGGTCATAATTTAGGTGTAAGGTTAGCAGTGTGGTTAAGGGAAGACTTGGGTTTAACACATTTTAAGAAGATACATTGTAGAAATATGCATGATTTATGACTTTGCCTGTGGTAACAAGTGACGACCGTGTAATATCAAGAGGGCATACGTAATTTTTCAGTTACACAATAACGAATGGCAAAAACATGGCGAAGGCAGATACCAAGCCCAGTCGTTTAGTTGTCAATTTAAATATTTATACTCTAATGCCAAAACAAAGGCTTTTAAAATTAAGAAATGAATCCCTTATTGGTAGCATACGCAGTTTTGCAGATGTTATCGCAGGTGCAGCGAAATGATTATGTTTCGAGCTCCAACAGTGCAGCAATATCTAGCAATTCAATAACAATACACACATAATCCAAAAGTAAAAATAAATACATAAGAAATTAAGACATCAAAACGAGCAATATCTGAGTAGAATATAAATATGTGAATGTGAATGGTGTGTGTGGACAGTATATGAATAGAAAGGGTGTGTGTACAGCAGTAGTTATATAGGATGAGCCATGACTAGAATACAGTATATACATATAAAGTGGGTAAAACAGTATGTCAACTTTATTAATGTGACTCTATGTACATAGGGCAGCAGTCTCTAAGGTGCAGGGTAGAGTACCAGGTGGTAGCCGGCTAGTGACCATGTCTAAGGTTCAGGACAGGGTACTGGATTGCCTGATGGGAAAAGTAACCCCCATGATTGATTTTTCTAAATTGTTATTTTAGTTGTTGTCCATCATTGTTTTTTCGGACAAATAAGTAAACTCTACTGCCATTTGGATTGCATAGAGAGGTAGGTATCAGAATAGTATTTTGGGAAAACCTGACTCTATTGCTCTCTTGGGAAATACATGCAAATGTAGCTTTTAATAGCACTTTCCAAGAAAACATGCTCTGCTTAACAAAAAGTCTGAGTTACATTTGTATACATGTCGTTTTTAATATTTAAAAACAACAACTAAATACCTAAATGAAGTGTTAGAGCATGTCAGATATCATGTCTACACTAAATGAGACAAAATTGGGTGCCACAAATCATAACAAAGAGAATGGTTGTTTTATTGTCGGTTTTGTCAGAGTATTGTAGGAGGCTCAGAGTATTGTAGGAGGTTCAGAGTATTGTAGGAGGCTCAGAGTATTGTAAGAGGCTCACAGTATATAAGCCCTTATGATTTGCCATTATTTGTGCTTGATTGGCCCTTATGATTGGCCCTTATGATCACACACTGTACAACACATAGACTGTACAATGTTTCTAGTGAACTCTAGAATAGGATCTATGTGTAGTGTCTTGACACACACACAGCACCAAGCCTGTTCAGTCCAGCAGCGAGACACAATAATGCTGTCTGATGTCTCTGCAGGTGACACAGAGGAAATGTCAGACAATCTCTGGTTCCCCACCACCGGCCTCATTCAAATTGACCCCGCAGGTGTAACACTAAATTGTTCCCCTGTTTATTTCACCCCACCCATAGAAGAGAAAATGCTGTCATAAAATAGGCTATAATTCAGTGAGAGATGTTGGCCGGCCTACTCAGTGTCACTCAGCGTTCTGTCATTTAATTTAGACAGACAACTGTTGCAGTTCATTTGGAGTATACAACCGTAACACATGTAGCTATGGTTATTTTAGTGGTGTGTGTGTGTGTGTGTGTGTGCACGTGCACGCATGTGTGTGTGTGGCAAGATACCTACAAGTAGGCTTAAAAGGGCACATGTAAACAGAATAGCCTAAATGTATCTTAAAAATGATCCCAATTTGATTCTGTGAAAAATGACATATACAGTGCATTCGGAAAGTATTCAGACCCCTTGACTTTTTCCACATTTTGTTGCGTTACAGCCTTATTCTAAAATTGATTAAATAAAAAATGTTCCTCATCAATCTAGACACAGTACCCCATAATGACAAAGCGAAAACAGGTTTGTAGACATTTTTGCAAATGTATAAAAAAATAAAATAAACAGAAATACCTTATTTACGTAAGTATTCAGACCCTTTGCTATGATACTCAAAATTAAACTCAGGTGCATCCTGTTTCCATTGATCATCCTTCAGATGTTTCTACAACTTGATTGGAGTCCACCTGTGGTAAATTCAATTGATTGGACATGATTTGGAAAGGCACACACATGTCTATATAAGGTCCCACAGTTGACAGTGCATGTCAGAGCAAAAACCAAGCCCTGAGGTCGAAGGAATTGTCCGTATAGCTCTGAGGCAGGATTGTGTCGAGGCACAGGTCTGGGGAAGGGTACCAACAATGTTTTGCAGCATTGAAGGTCCCTAGGAACACAGTGGCCTCCATCATTCTTAAATTGAAGAAGTTTGGAACCACCAAGACTCTTCCTACAGCTGGCCTCCCAGCCAAACTGAGCAATCGGGGGGAAAGGGCCATGGTCAGGGAGGTGACCAAGAACCCGATGGTCACTCTGACAGAGCTCCAAATCAAATCAAATCAAATGTTATTTGTCACATACACGTGTTTAGCAGATGTTATTGCGGGTGTAGCGAAATGCTTGTGGAGATGGGAGAACCTTCCAGAAGGACAACCATCTCTGGAGCACTTCACCAATCAGGCCTTTATGGTAGAGTGGCCAGACGGAAGCCACTCCTCAGTAAAATGCACATGACAGCCCACTTGGAGTTTGCCAAAAGGCACCTAAAGACTCTGAGACCATGGGAAACAAGATTCTCTGGTCTGATGAAACCAAGATTGAACTCTTTGGCCTGAATGCCAAGCGTCACGTCTAGAGGAAACCTGGCACCATTCCTATGGTGAAGCATGGTGGTGACAGCATCATGCTGTGGGGATGTTTTTCAGTGGCAGGGACTGGGAGACTAGTCAGGATCGAGGGAAAGATGAACGTAGCGAAGTACAGAGAGATCCTTGATGACAACCTGCTCAAGAGCGCTCAGGACCTCAGACTGGGGCGAAGGTTCACCTTCCAACAGGACAACGACCCTAAGCACACAGCCAAGACAACACAGGAGTGGCTTCAGGACAAGTCTCTGAATGTCCTTGAGTGGCCCAGCCAGAGCCCGAACTTGAACCCGATTGAACATCTCTGGAGAGACCTGAAAATAGCTGTGCAGCGATGCTCCCCATCCAACCTGACAGAGCTTGAGAGGAACTGCAGAGAAGAATGGGAGAAACTCCCCAAATACACGTGTGCCTAGATTGTAGCGTCATACCCAAGAAGACTCAATGCTGTAATCGCTGCCAAAGGTGCTTCAAAAAAGTACTGAGTAAAGGGTCTGAATACTTATGTAAATGTCATATTTCAGTTGTATATTTTTAATACATTTGCAAACATTTCTAAAAACCTGTTTTTGCTTTGTCATTATGGGGTATTATGTGTAGATTGATGAGGGGGGAAAAGTATTTTATCAATTTTAGAATAAGGCTGTAACGTAACAAAATGTGTAAAAAGTCAAGGGGTCTAAATACTTTACGAAGGCACTGTAGGTAGGCCTACCATCCTGATAACACATTAAACTGCTCATGTGGAGCTGATGGAGCGTATCGATAATGAAGTTCAAACAGTGAACTCACTCTCTCTGCACTGATGCACATAATCTCGCGATAACTCCTCCATCACTCGGCGGTGGTGCCTCTCCTCCCGCTGCTTCCGTGGGCGATGCTATGCGGTTGCTGTAGATTTGATTGACGGGAACATGTCGGTGTGGTGGTGGGAGCGACCCGGGATACAGCTTCTGGCAAGGGAGACGGGGAGTACCTGTACCCAATCCACACAGCATCACCTTTAAAATGATTATACTACGCTGCTTTAGTTTTATGGATCCGTTTATGTTATTGTGATGCGTTGTTTTTTTTTGTTTTGAAATGAATAAACAACGCTCAATGGATTTATTAGCTG